CCCCTTCCCCCCCCATTCTTCCATCTTGTGAACCTACCCACTCCGTCATATACGTGTACCATCCTGCCTTGGCCACGATACAAAGACCTTTTTTTTTCCCCCTCCCTTCAAGCTTCGTCCTGATATCTGCGTCTGTTCCGTCTGGTGCATGTTTTGCAATTTCATGGGGCAAAGCAGGCAGCTACTTTTTTGTTGAGCGTGCATGTGGACTTTCTCCGTTTCTTGTCTTGATATAATTCTTTTCTTTGTTAGTCTAAGCGTGGCGTGGGGGTCATGGCAAATGGTGCCAATCACCACTTCTTTTTCACATTTACCTTCTGAACCCCGACCTTTTTGGTCTTGTCTTGTCCACATACTTGTTTCGCATACTCTTGACGGATTAGCCTTACATGGCTCCGGGTTAAGCTAGGTTTTTTACACCGGCTTTTTCTTTTCGGCCCTGACACATGTTGTGTCCCATTTTCTGGCTTCTGGTCAACGCCATCACCAACCGCCTTATCACACCCCACAATACAACAGGGACGACGGGGCTTGTTAATATTCACAGCTGGGAGACCGCTTTGGCTTGTCCAGCTTCCACCGTCGAGGTCGTCATCACGGACGTGGCAGCCTGAAGCTGCGTGACCAGGAGCGCCACTTGCATGGCGCGAGATGGATTCAGCTGGACTTGATCTGGGTGTTACGCCTTCTATAGTGGTCGTTTGTGGAAACTTTCAATCAAGAAATTCACCATGTCAAAACTAAGATAGTACTCCAAACGCGAGACTCATATGGCCGACACCTCGGTCAATGCATCAGGGGCTGTCTATACAGCTGCACATAGTATGCCTTGATTACAAGGCTGGTGTTGGCGCTACATAGCATAAGTAGTCACAATGATAAAGTGATTACATTTAGCCAATGAAAAGCGAGGGTCAAAGGTTTGAATTATCAGCTGTGCCGCGATCCCTAGACTACCTCGGGTGTGTATCAAAGAGGTGCGAAAGCCGAGGCTCCTCCTAGTGTCGCCATTGCACCTCCCGCCTGTTCGAGTCCCCCTGCTACACTCCGATTCGCCTAAAGTTGGTTGAGTTGTCAGATCCTCCTGTGCCTTTGCGGGCGTTGGCGTAGTTTGGTGTGCAGAACGAAAGCAAGACTCAGCCCCCAACACAGCCTCCGATGTGGAAACAGAGAGAAAGCCAATGTCTAGCAGCCGTGGCGGCCGAGGGCGGTAAAGACGTTGATGCGGGCGGCGCCCGTGTAGGCGTGGCCCTCGTGGGTGCCGTCGCACTGGCAGATGGACGTGTGGGATTCGAGGACGCCGCGCGGGGGGAGTGCGCCCACGTGCTGCAGTTTGGTTGTATCGAAACGAGGTGGGCTGCGAGGCTGCGAGAGGAGATTGGGCAGATGCAACTGCATAAACCCCTCGTGGCCGTGTCCGAAAACGGCAGGTGAAGGAACGGGCGTGCACCCAAAGTGGGACACTCTTCTGTGGTGATCGACCCGGCATAAAGCTTGACTCGAGCTAAGCTTCAGTTGGATGCTGCTATAAAAAGGGGACCAAGGCCTGCCAAGCCTGGAGGACGGTCTTGGCATGGTCCTTGGCAACCCCCCCTGTGTTTGCCAGCCGAACTTAACCTACCCTGCAAACCATGAGGTTCTCCACGCTCGCCCACGCCCTCGGGGTCACCCTGCCGGCGCTGTCTTCGGCCCTCACCGTCGGCGACGCCGTGGGCAGCTCGCTGGCCCACTTTGGCCGGCGCGAGCTGGCCAGGCGCGAGAGCCTGTCGGGCGTGCTCAAGGATATCGAGAACGTCGCCTCGTGCGCCGCCTGCAACCTCCTGCTGCTGGTGCTGCAGGCCCTCGCCCATACGGGCAACGACAACTTCTCAAAGGCCATCACGGCCGTCTGCCAGGCCCTGCACGTCCAGGACGCCGACGTCTGCGCCGGCGCCATCGGGCTCGAGGGCCCCATCCTGGCCCACGACCTGCGCACCATGAGCATCAACACCAAGACCTCGCAGCTCTTTTGCCTCACCGTCTTTGGCCTCTGCCAGTGGCCCGACGTCGACACTGCCAGCGCGCCCAGCCTGCCGGCCAAGCCCGCCGCCGCCGCCACCGCCGCATCCCGCCCGGCCCCGAGCGGCCGCGAGCCGCTCAAGGTGGTGCACATCAGCGACATCCACGTCGACCAGAGCTACACGGCCGGCGCGAGCCGGAACTGCACCAAGAACATCTGCTGCCGGCCCTACACGGCCGCCGACGCGCCGGGGAACAGCAGCTCCCCCGCGGGCGCCTTTGGCGACGCGCACTGCGACACGCCCGTCTCGCTCGAGGAGAGCATGTACGCGGCCGTCGGGTCCCTCGTGCCGGGGCGCAACCTGTCCATCTTTACCGGCGACGCCGTCGAGGGCGCCGTGTGGCTCGTCAGCAGGCCCGAGGTGACGGCGGACCTGGGCGACGCCTTTGGCCGCATGCGCCGGCTCGGCACCACCGTGTACGCCGTGGCGGGCAACCACGACGTCGCGCCCGTCAACTCGTTCCCGCCCGCCACCGTCGACACCGACATGTCGGCGGGCTGGGCCTACGACGCCATGGGCGCCGGCTGGCGGGGGTGGATCGGGCCCGACGTCGCCGCGCAGGTGTCGTCCAACTTTGGCAGCTACTCGGTCAGGGACCAGGCCACGGGCCTGCGCGTCGTCAGCCTCAACACAAACTTCTGGTACAAGCAGAACTTTTGGATGTACGAGCGAAACATGGAGGCCGACCCGAGCGGCATGTTCGCCTGGCTCGTCGCCGAGCTGGCCAAGGCCGAGGCCGCCGGCGAGCGCGTCTGGCTCCTGGGACACATGCCCATGGGGTCTGGCGATGCGTTTCACGATGCATCGTATTACTTTGGTAGGTCCTCTCTCGAGCACCCAACAATGTGAGTGTATCAAAGCTGATCACCCACCAGACCAAATCATCCAACGCTACGCTGCCACAATCGCCGCCACCTTCTACGGCCACACCCACAAGGACCAGTTCATGCTCGCCTACAGCGACTACAGCAACCGCTCCGCCGCCGCCGCCACCATGGTCTCGTACATCGCGCCCGCCCTGACCCCGACGTCGGGCAACCCGACCTTCCGCGTCTACGACGTCGACCCCGTCACCTTTGCCGTCCTCGACTACACCGTCTACTACGCCGACCTCGACGCGCCCACCTTCCAGACCGAACCTGTCTGGCAGAAGCTCTACTCGGTCAAGGAGGCCTACGGCCCGCTCGTGGGCCTGACGGATGCCCGCGCCGAGCTGACCCCGGCATTTTGGCACCGCCTGACCGAGGTCTTTGAGGCCGACGACGCCGTATTCGGGCAGTACAGGGCCCGCAAGACGCGCGGCCACGATGCCCCGTCCGCGTGCGACGCCGCCTGCAAGGCCGCCGAGATCTGCCAGATGCGCGCGGCCGACGCGCGCTTCAACTGCGTCGACGTCAAGCCCGGCGTCCACTTCAAGAGGGACGACGGCGGTAGCGGCGGCGGCCTGGACGCGCACGCCGCCGCGCACGACGAGTGCGACGGCGGCCAGGCCGCCCCGATACTGAACACCGTCGCCACCTCGTCCGCGGGGCTCGAGGCCTTGAGGACCGCCATGGTCGAGGTTCTTGGCGAGGCCTTCTTGAACCAGACCGTTGCTGCATGAGGCGGCAAGTCCCAAACCGAATCAATAATCTTGTCGACGCCCTTCAACATGATTTTCGTTTGTACAAAGTCCAAAAATATAATTTCCATCTCGCTTAGGCAAGAAATAATCCTACCCATAAAAACAAATCTAAACCAACCGCCTCTAGGGTATCTTTACGCATATGGATATACTGTTTACTCGCTTCAAAAGAAACCCCCCCGCCCCCGAGAGAGCAGAGAGAACATAACGATAATAATAGAAAGAAAAAGCTTATTTCTCGCCCGTTTTGTTCAGGGCAGCGAGCTCCATGATATATAGGCACATGCGAGTTCCACTGGCCGAGAACAGTAAACTGGCCAAGGCGCTGATGCGATGTATGTCGTTTCATACGAGTGTATACGTTGGCGCGTAATGATTCGATAATGGTCACTTGGCGGGTTTCATGCGCTGCATGCGGGATAGGAAGGCCGAGGAAACCTTCAAGACGGCCGGCGACCTCGTTTGACCTCTGTTCCATTGTTGTGACCCTGACGCATGGACAAGACGAGAGGAAGGAGTGTCCATTCCCATCTTGCCCATCGTGACTGAAAGGGGCCGCCCATCCATGGAAGGGATGGGGGATGGGATGCCTGCTTCTGCTCCAAGGGGCCTCGAGGATCCAAGATAAAAGTGTGTAGATTGGAATGGATGGCTCGCAGCCGCACCGCCCTGTGTGACCTCTGGAAATCTCGCTCGTGTCGACAGAAGAGATCTTTTTGTTTTCTTTTTTGTGCTTTGTTGCTGTTTGTTTTGGTTTCCTTTGCAGTAACCCTCGACCTCCTTGTCCGCTCCTATCTTTCCCTTCATCCTCCCATTCGATATTATCAACTGCGCCCTGAAGTTCGTACAGTCTTGGACGTGTAAACCGTCCCTCGCCATAAAATGTGTAAAGAAGAAAAAGAGAGATTAAAAAAGTGAACGCGTCGTAGCGAAAGGACATAAGTTTGTTTTGTTGTAAGACAAAATGGACAACGAATCATCCGTCAAAAGCCGAACTCGGCAGTGGAGCGTCGAGAGCTGTTGCGTCAGGAACCAACGGGATCCTAGCGCGAGTTATACTGACGCGGCGGGTTCGTCCATTTATGGCGTGGTGGCGGGTTCTGCTGGTGCTGTTGCAGGGCTTGTGTCAGTGGCTCCTAACGACGCTGACGCTTATCGCGGTCGGTGGGAGCCAGTCCTGCTGCGTCATCGCTCCGTCGCTTCCTGCTGCCTCGGTCCTCGCGACCTCCGCCACCGCCCTCCCTGCGGTCGTCGCCTGACCTGGGCGGCCCGCCACCGCTTCCTCCGCTTCGGCCCCCTCGACCACCACTGCTGCTGTTTCCACCCCACTCGCCGCTTCCGTTGTTGCTGCCGCCGTTGTCTGATCGCGACTCGCCCCGGTGCCGGGATTCACGACCGCCGCTCGCGAGGTCGCGTCCGCCGCCGCCAAGAGGAGTCAGGGGCTCGCGGCCTCCGCCGCCTGCGGATTCGCGTCCTGACCGACGACTAGAGGATCCCTCCCGATCACCTCCCTCGCGAACGTGGCTGCCAGAGCCACCGCCCGAGGGCGCTCCGCTCCTTCGATCCCTGGGTTCGCGGTGCTCTCTTGGCTCCCGCTCTCGGTCTGTGCTCCGCTCACGGCTGCTCCGACGTGATGGACGGCCGGATCGGTCTCTGTGTTCTCTGCGGCTCGAGCGATCGTGGTCTTTGCCATCCCTACCATCCCTGCTACCGCTGGGCGTGTGTTGGCCATCACCGGCACCACTCCTGGGCTCTCGGTTGGGGGGAGGCAATGACCCGTTGTTCAAATCCGCGTGATGTCCTAGTGGGCCTCGGGGACCGGGCAGGTCGCGGCGCATAGGATCCATCCGATCTTGAATCGGTGTTGTGGCGGGAGACCCGCCAGTGAGAACCTGTGCGTCCGAGCCCGCCATGGTACCATGGGCCCTGCCGCGGTGGCTGGTGCGGCCAGCATCGCCAAGACGGCTCTCCTGGCCAGCCTTCTCGAGTGTGGTGTTGATACCATCGAGCATTGTCCGGCCTCGGCCTCTCGCACGGTCTGACCTGTCGGTCCGTTCGTGGGACGAGGAAGGGCCTGATGGGGCCGGGTAGCCGCCACGGCCATCTGTAGCTGAGCCGGATTGATGGTTTGGTCCTCCAGATGATGACACGCGTTGGTTAGACCCAGAGCCTGGTGGGCCATGGGGCTGAGGAGGCCGGTCAGGGGTCTGCTGAGGCGGGCCCATGCTGCGTCGCGGAGGCTGTGGTGGCAAGGACGACGCGTTGATTTGGTTCATCCGGTCCGGATTGATGGGGATCGAGTTTGCCGACATCGAGCCACCAGCAGGACCGGGTCCAGGGCCGTTGGGCCCGGGTCCAGATCCAAGTGTGGACGGCCCGCTGACTAGGCGCATGCGGTCCGGGTGTACACCAGTTGACTGAGGGGGTGGGGCAGCGCCGGCTGGGGATGATGGAAGTGGTACATTTGCCGGGTTTTCGTACTGTCCTCGCCCCCTACGTGCCGGCGGTCGTCCGGACGAGGGCCCAGTCGGAGGATGTCGGTCGGGAGAAGGCGGGCGGGGGATATCCCCATTAGGCGGGAAGCGACCGTCATGGCGTGGAGAAGGCCCGGGAAGGTTGAGAGAACTATGGCGCGGAGCTGGCTCCCTCCCTCCGCCCCCTCTCGCGCGAGGACCCGAGGGAATCTCGGAAGCGACGGATGGGATGTGGTTGAGCCGGCCATAGTTAGGGTCCTGGTAGCTTAGTCGGCCGTTATCTTGGTCAAATGACTGCCTGGACGACGGTGCAGGGCCAGCCGTGTTGTCTCTTGGTCGGTCTGCTTCGCGATCCCTGTGACGGTCCCTGGACTGCATGTGAGATGCGTGCTCGCCATAGCCATCACGGCCCGGGGGTCCGGCATGGCTGGGATGGAGAGTCCGGCCGTGCATTCCCTCCCGCTCGCGCTCTGACATAACGGACTCTATGTGGAAGCGCTCTCCGCTGCGTGGGGACTGGTTCCGGCTGGAAGGGTTCCGGCCGCGTGCGTCGTCGCGGGGAGACGGACCTGGCGATGAACGCCTGTCACGGGCGGTCCCGGGCCGCTCGGGCTGGAATATTTCTGGCTGCTCCCTGGCCAGTAGTCTCGCACGTTCAGGGTTGATGGTGGGCTCCTGAACGCTGGCTGCTGGTGGCGGCGCTGCGGATGGCGGCGCCCCGGGTCCGTCGCGGTGGCTGTCACGGGGGCTGCCCCTGCTGCTCTCACGGCCTCGGAGGCTGCGGTCTCGCGGAAGCTCCTTGAGAGCGTCCCTGGGCGCTGGTTCCCTGGGCGGATCTCTGGCGCTGTCCCTCGAGGAGCGGTTGGGGAGTGCTTCTGATCGCGGATTCCTATCCTTGTCGGTGGGCCGGGATGATGATTCCTTGGGAGCACCAGTGTTGTTACCGTTGCTATCAGGACCAGGGGCACGACGATCCGTGCCTGTAGAGTCACGAGACAGACGCTCGGGACGGGACCCCTCGACCATGCGATGGTCGCGAGGATCTCGAGGATCTCTAGCCTCCCTCTGGTCCCTGGCTTCTCTTGTGTCCCTCGACTCTCGAGGCTCACGATGATCCCGGGGCTCTCTAGGCCCACGTGAATCTCGCGTGTCCCTCGAGTCTCTAGAAGCGGACTCACGCCGATCATGTGTGCGGCCCCCAAGACCTTGGCCGGGCACAGGTACATCCGGCCGCTTGGGAAGTCCCGGGATGTTGCCAGATGGTAGTGTCGATGGCTTCGGGGTTTCGGGGCGTGCCGGCGTGCTGTTGGCTAGCTGCGGGGTGGATGCTTTGCTGCCAGGCGCGTTTTGAACTACACCCTGCCCTTCTCTCCTGCTTGGCTCCTTGTCGACGACGGATGGAATGCGGTTGGTTGCTGGCGCTAGTCTCTTGTCTTGAGATGAAGGCGTCAACGTGGCGGACTGAGCGGGCGTGTTGGCATCCTCGGCTCTGGCCACAGATGGCGGGCGGCGGTCGGTCGTCAAGCTTTATTCGCCAGTGGTATTAGCCTACACACGGTCCACAAAATATCAGACGGGGAATGTAGCATACTTGGTTGTTGGTCCCCGGGGCTTGAAATCGGGTGCAGTTGGTCGCAGGGTTTTGGCGCTGGTGTCAGCAGTGGGCTTCGACTCCTCTTGCGGCTCGCCGGTCTGTTTCGTCGCATGGTTAGCAAAATTTGCTCTCGGCTTTATTCAAGTGGAAGGGTGGCGCGAGTAACAACACCTACAGTGTTAGGCCGGAAAGCCTGAACCATGACCCATTTTGCCTTCTTCTTCTGCAGAAGTGAGCTGACGCTTTGGGCTGTTGTGGCAAGATCGCCGCGGTGGCCGTCATCCGACTTGGAAGCTGTCTCGCGGTCCGAAATGGTCTTCAGCTGCTGCACAAACTGCTTGCCCATGAAATCCACAGCGGGGAAGACGTCCAGGGCAGACTGCAGGACAGTGATGGCGTTGCGAATATGCATCCAGTCCATGCCCTGGAGACACGACTTCAGTGCTGTGTTTAGGTTCTTGTGCCAGCCGTAGAGCAGATCCCGGAAAGGCCCATGCTCCACAAACGTCTGTGGGGTCCCGTCGGCGTCAACAGAGGTCACGAAGCCAAGATAGACACGCTTCCCGCCGTCCCGCTGGCGCCCCAGGGCCTCCTTCTCGTACACTGCCTTGTCACTGTGCCAGTTGGAGAGGTCTGTGAGGATGTACTTGATGAACCGGCCAAGATGCTCGGCCTCCCTTTGCGTGCATGTGAAGATCATGGTGCGCAGTCGATTGGCGCTGAAAAGCCGGTCGTATAGGGACATTAGCTTGAAATGCTGGACGCCGGTTTCGTGGAGGAACTTGGCGAATCGGAACGCGTAGGTGGCATCGGTGGCCGACAAGAGAAGCCTCGGCAGCAGACACTGCTCAAGGAGCACGTCGGCGACGGCGGCGTCCTTGGCTGTGGCCGGGAACCATGTTGAAGAGCGCCTCGTTAGTCGAAGCCGGAGCTTCGACATGCGCTCGCCATCGGCCATCATCTCGTCGCGGATCAGCTTCGCCGTGTCCAAGAGACCGTTCTTGTGGTCCGTCTTCTTCTGCATGCCAGCCCTGGTCATATCAGAGCGATTGCGCATGACCTCCTCGGCTTGTTTGATGAGCCGCGAGTTCTCGACCGAGTAGCTTGGCTGGGGGAACGCGATTGTGGTGAGTTGGAGAGACCAAAAGAGGACAAAGAACTCTGGGCTTATCGACTGCCAAACAGTGGCTGGCCGCAGGGGTTGAACGGCCTCGACCAGCGGCTGAATCAGTGCGTAGATCGGATCAGATTTACGCGCGACAGTCGCTGGGGCTTCCTGTGTTTCCGGAGTCGTCTTGGCAAGCGACTTGTCACCTGTCTCGCCGTCCTTTGGAGCCTCATCTGGTGCAGACATAGAGACATCACCGTCAGCGTCCGCAGCAGCGGCAGGAGTCGGTGCTGGCAGAGCCTGTGGTTGAATTGGCTCGTCCTTGGACGACGACTGGGATGGTGGACTTGTCAAGAAAGTCAGGCTGCCCCGGCCAATCATGAAGGCGAGACTGACATCCAGCCCGTATTCAGTGATGAGAGAAACCAGGTCGGGGACGAGTGAATCGAACCGCTCAGGATCGAGGTTGCTCCGGAGCAGGTCCAGGTATTGGCTCAGTATTTGCTGGGAGCCATCCACCAGGCTGGCCAGGTACTTGATGTGCGCCTCGTCTTCGGGAATATTGTAGATGGCCGTTTGCCGATATTGCGCAATGTTGATCAGCAGACGACCAGCAAGATTGCTGCTGACCATAGCCCTCATCAACCGTTGGGCGCTCTTCTGCGTTCCCGGCTCGTACCGCTTGTCCTTGACATTGATCAGTGTCTGCTTTCGCAACACGGCGCCCCCCGTCATTGCGGTGAGCTGAGCATCTGTGAAGTCGACGTCCGAGACAACGCCACCCATTGACGTGATGAACTCCTTGAGAATGACCAGGTCGGTGGAGTTGCCTCTGAAGAGCTGGTCATTGACGTAGAGCAAGACGGGAGTTGGGTCCAGATTCGAGTAGCGCTTGAAGACATGACCCGAGAATTTGGAGAGAGCTTGGAGCCACCGGCTAGTGACGAGCACAGATGCTCCAGTGCGGCTCCGGCTTCTACCCAGCGAGCTCAGCAAGGACCACAAGAGCACATCGTAGCCTAGGTCGGTGAAGTACTTAGCACACTCGATAAAGGCATCGATGAGGTTCGTGTAGGCCTCGATCTGGTCAAGCGACACCTTGAAGACGATGCCGGGAGACGAGTATGCCGCCTTGGCAAGGGCCTTTGCCATAGTAGGGATGTTGGTGGCTGCAAGCCGCTTCAGCGTGCTCAGCGTCTGTAGCCTAGTGACCTTGAATGCCTCGGCCATGGCTGGCAGACGCGAGGTCTGGCCCTCGAACCACTCCGAGTAGATGTTGTATCGCACGGCGGTGGGGTATTGCCGGAGCATCGACCATGCAGAGTCTACCAGCGAAGCATTCTCTTTTGTGAGGCTGAGGGCGGGAATCAGAATGCGCTTCAGCAGCTCCTGCCATCTGTCAAAGTTGGCGGCTGACTTGTCGTTCTGCAAACTCCATTTGCCGATTCGTGTAAGTCCGGCGTAGAGGTGCTCGTCTAGTCCGATGTTCACACCCGAGATGTTGAGAAGGGTGCTGCATAGGGTGAATACATCGTCGATGCTCTGACAGACGGGTACGTTGTCGGTCCACTCGCTAAAGTAGTAGCGGTAGTTGGACAATGACGTGTCCCACTTGTCGGCGTGCGGCCACCGGAGGAATTTGGGCTGTGGCTGATCGCTCAGCTTGACACTGCCCTTGCGCACTCCGGTCTGATCAGGATCGACGACCTTCTTAGCCGGACAGCCCCGGGTAATGTCTGATGACACAGGCTTCGGAGCGCACTCCTCGTAGACCTTGTGGATGGAGTGTCGCAATATCCTGTGGATGAGCGGGAAGATCTTATGGCCCCATAGTTCAGTGAGCCAGGGGAAGCGACCGAGCATGAAGAGCGCCTCGGGGATCGCTCCAGCCACAAGCAGGTGCTCCAACAGGGCGGATTTCGGGTCATAGTATCCATCTCCGCTCGAATCGCTCTTGGTTGTCGCATCCTTGGCGCCGCGGCCGGCGTCAGGCTTGGCTATGGGGTTATCCCGCCGCGTCACGGTGCCGGTCATGGTCGGGGGAGAGTCGTCGGGGAGAGCGCCGGCCATCATCAGGGCGTTCGCAGTGGCACCAGGCCGCTCTTTCTCCTTCATGGCCTCGAGTTCCTTGGTCATCTGCTCGCGGACAACCGTCTCCATCTCCTCGTCCGAATGGTGGAGATGTGGGTAGATATCGGCGAGCGTTATGAAGCCGATTTTGATAAGAAGCGCGGCCATCCAGATGAGATTCGCAGGCATCCCCCCCTTCTCCAGCTTGCCCTCGGGCGTCTCGTAGAATTTGAGCTTGAATCCCAGAATTGAGGCCGCAGCTCGGCTTCCGCGCACAGGCAACGTTTTGGTGACCTTGATCCATTCCCGCTCAGCGGCGGTGTAGCCCGCCTTGCTGTCGTCGGACGTGAGCCGCTCCAAATCAGACTCCGCAACACCTAGCGAGCCAAGCTCGAAGAAGGCGTCGAGGTGCGCCTCTCGAGCCCGGTCCCAGAAGGCGATATCACGCTCGAGTTTCAGTTTGTTGAAGTTCTCCTCTCGCTCGGCATCGGTCATATCGTCGTCCTCGTATAGTTCTGGGCGGGCCCATCTTGGCAAGCCGCTGAAGGGGCCTGGGGCCTGGCCCTTTACCAGGCCCTCGGGCCACCACGCACTCACGCGGAGGAATCTGAGGAAGGGCCGCATCTGCTTGACGATGGTCGCTGCAAAGACATCCAGCGTGATGTCGAGAACCCTGGCGACTGCCAGATCGAAGGTCCCGATAAGCCTCTTGACCTTCTCAAAGGTCTGGTGGGCGGCCTCCCAAGACAAGTCGACATCTTCGTACTTGAGGCTCAGATACAGCTCGGCCGTCAATTTGGAAAATCCTTCCGTCTCCTCCCGCAGAAGGTTATGCGCGGCCTGGCGATACACGGTGTTGGTCGCGTGCTGGTTGCCCCGCTTGACGAAGTTATCCCGAAGCAGGCCTAGTTCGATAAGGAGGGATTGGTCAAGAAGCTCTCTCATGAGTGTGGGTGAGATATCGGTAGCTGTCAAGAACTCGCGGAGCTGGTCTGGGAACTTGACGCCCTCGGAGTCGACTAGGACGGTGAGGTTATCAAGAAAGATGATACGTGGGTCGAACACCGAGTAGTCCGGTTCGTTCTCGGATTGTGCCGTCTTGACCATCTCTCTGACTATACCACCGGCGTCTTGGGGTGTGAGGCGCGAGTCTATCACCAAATGCAGCAGCTCCTGGTAGAGAGCCGAGACCTCTGTGTCGTCCTCGTCGTTTGCGGCCTGGACGCCGTGATCTATGACGTGCTGGCGGCCTCCCTTGGTCCACGAGCTCAACTGCGACTCGGTGACGATGGAGTAGTCGTAGTGCGGAAACGCGGGCGCAGGTGGGGTCGCGACGGGTGTTAGGAGCGAGGGCGCGTTCATCGGCTGGAGAGCGCTTTGGGACGAAGCGCTGGGCGGGCGCGGTGCCGTGGGAGAGAGCGGGCTGGGCGACGGCGCCGTGCTGGATGGGTACTGCCCATTCTGCAGCGAGTCGCGACGGTCGTTCCTTCGGGTCGCTCGCGTGCGGCCACCTCGGCCGCCGCCGTCTGGGTACGCGACGTCATGGCGGCCTAGCGACGTCTGCTCTGGACGATGAGGCGATGGGCGGCTGGCGGGGTTATCGATAGACTGCCTGTCGGCGCCATGTCTCTTGCGCTTCGGAGCCATCGTGCTCCTCGATCTAGATGTGGCGACGCGAAGGCATGAAGACACGGGAGTCGTGGAGGACGATGCGCGTGTCGACTAGCGGGTCGCGGGTCAGCAGTCGTTACGACGACGGGATTAAGTTGAGCGGCGCAAGGCAGGATCGGGGCTGATTAGGCTTCAAACGCGCGATGTTCGGTCGCGGTCGGGGTGCATGGCAATTGGGCTGGGCAGGCGAGCCAAAGAGAGGAAAGGCGACGAACGACAAAGGGCGCGCAGTACCGAAAGCAGAAATGGAAAGAAAAAAAGGCAACACCCGGGCCTAGAGGGAGGATATTGACGAGAGAAGAGAAGGGCGACGCCGAATGCAAATACTAGAGACGGATTCCGAGAGAGTGACGCTGGGCAGAAAACGGCCGTCCCGTGGTTGATGATTGATGAAAAAACAGACAGAAAAATGGTTTCTCGGCTGGGCTGTCGAAGCTGTAGCGTGACTGAGGCTGTTGTGGAGCCGCGATTGTGCCAGGCAGCGTGAACTGTGGAATCCGACTCAAGTTCGCTCCCGCAGGGAAAGAGCCAACGACGGATGACTCAGCAGCCTCGTTTGCGAGGCTCAGGGTCCCGCATTTTGCAGGAGGTCAAAGCTCCACACCTTGGTGCTCCACCTTTGGGGAGCCCCACCAACCACTGCTTTGGCAGAAGCGACAGCCGATTCAGTCTGGTGCCCGACACCGGCTCCACCCGTGGATTGCGCAATTCAGGCTTGCAATTCGTCCCAGTCACGGATCCTAGAGGTATCCTAGCGTGGACAAGGTCTTGGGTCTAGAGGAGAGAGGGATATATATTTGGTTCCTTTCCTCTCCCCGTGTCTCCGAGCTTATTTATGACTCTGCCCACATTCGGTCTTTATTTGGAGCTGTTGCTGTTTTCGCTCGGTACCAATCTAGGTACCTTCATTTTGCTTCTTTTTGATCTCTCCCCCAGAATACTCCTTTTTTTTTTTTTAGGTTGACTCGGAACAACAAAGCTGGAAACGCCTTGATATCCCAACCACCCCAAAACACCATCGCAATGGCGTCTTCCAACGGAGAAGTCCATGGCAACGGAACTATACTCTACGGTCAGTTTATCTCCCCTCGCTGTGTTTGTCCGCCCACTCAGTGGTGTGTCTCCGAGATCGGTGGCTGAATACCTGCAAGAAAGAACTCGGTCGCAACCGGAGAACCCGTTTGCGGCTCTGATCCCCGACCAGGAGATCGCTATCATCCCATCCTTCACACTCGAGTCTGGGGTGACACTGCGCAATGTCCCTGTGGCATACACCCGTCGGGGCGAGCTGTCGCCTACCGGGGACAACGCCATGGTCGTCTGTCATGCCTTGACTGGCAGCGCCGACGTGGCTGACTGGTGGGGTCCGCTCCTTGGTGGCTCCGGCCGCGCGTTCGATGCGACCCGGTTCTTCATTGTGTGCATGAATAGCCTGGGGAGCCCGTACGGCACGGCCAGTCCCGTAACCGCCAAGGACGGCGACCCCAGCAAGGGCCAGTATGGCCCGGAGTTCCCGGTCACCACGATCCGTGATGATGTGAAGTGAGTTAACTTGCTCCAAACAGGATCTGGGCCGTCAGCCGGACAGTCGCTGACCTGCCGAGCAACGCGTCTCAGGCTTCACAAGCTTCTCCTGGATGAACTCGGCGTTCGTCAGGTGGCTGCTGTGGTTGGCGGCTCTCTCGGTGGCATGTTTGTGCTCGAGTGGGCCTATTTCGGCAAGGAATACGTCCGTTGCATTGTCCCCATCGCCACCTCGAGCCGCCATAGTGCATGGGGGATTAGCTGGGGCGAGGCACAGCGTCAGAGTATTTACGCAGACCCAAAGTACAATGACGGGTACTACCCCTTCTACGATCAGCCAGCCAAGGGACTGGGCGCTGCCAGGATGTCGGCCCTGCTCACCTACCGCAGCCGCAACTCATTCGAGGCTCGTTTTGGCCGCAACATCCCCGACCCATCCCGTCGCCAGACCATCAGAGAGTGCCCGCGCCCCGGCACGCCGTCAGAGGCCCACTTCCGTGTGCACAACGACGGCCACAACATCTCCAGCACGGGCCTGTCCCGGCACAATAGCAACCAGGGGATCGCGGGCGGTAAAGAGAACAATACTAGTCCGGACGGTAGGAATGGTAAGGCTGAGGGTGTGGATAGTGAGCGAGGCGCCGCGGAAGCCCCCGATCCGCAGTTCCACGGCCCAGAGAAGGTGAAGAAGGAGAGCCTGACGGGCGGGGACGCCCAAGTCCCCACGTCGACCTACTTCTCGGTGCAGTCGTACCTCCGGTACCAAGGCGAGAAGTTCGTGAAGCGGTTTGATAGCAACTGCTACATCGCCATGACGCGCAAGCTGGACACGCACGACGTTTCGCGCGACCGGACCGACTCCATCGCCGAGGCTCTGGCCGCCATCGAGCAGCCAACGCTCGTGCTGGGCATCGAGAGCGACGGGCTCTTCACATTTGCCGAGCAAGAAGAGCTTGCCGAGCACATACCCAACGCCCGCCTCGAGCGCATCGACAGCCCCGAGGGCCACGACGCCTTTCTGCTCCAGTTCGAGCAGGTCAACCGCTACACCCTCGAGTTCCTGCACGAGGTGCTGCCCGACATCATGGGCAAGGATGGCGGCGGCGCCGCGGCTGAGAGCTCGGTCGGACATCTGACCAAGTCCAGCACATTTGGCGAGGCCGAAGTTGATGACATCACGGCGTGGTGAGCGCACCGAGTGGGGTTTTGCATGCCGGCGGTGTGATCGAATACAAAGATAGACCTTTGTGATTAGAAAGCAAAATTATATTCGTTTGCAGTTGACATCAGTTCAAAACCGACCAACTATGGAGATGATATCGTGTGCTGCGATGGGGTTAACGGGAAATGAACGAGCCAAGCGCTCAGTGAGAGACCAGGAACCGTGCGTCCCAGCAATCCCCTTCGGTGCTCCTGTTGGCAGGGATTGTTGCTGCGCAAACTGGACTTCGAATGGCTGTCTGCCTTTGCGACCACCCAGCGGCGTAGATAGCGAGGGTTTTCGCCATTTGCTAGTTCGGTTTGAAGAGTCTGACGATCGGATAGGTACGCAAAGCCGTCAACATGAAAGACAAGAACTCGGGGAGCAAGTCCGCAATTGCGTATTTTCATCTGGCCGCAATGTCCATCTCACACCAGTCCGGCTTGCATTGACAGGGAACCATGACATTCATAATTATATTCACTGCAGCAGTAGCCCTTCGCCGAGGACTTGACGTCAAGGTGACGATGGTGGTATATAGGTAGGTAGGGTCAAATCCGATGTCCCCAGTAAAAAAAACCGAACCAGAAAAAAAAAGGAAATAAAAACAAAACCTCGTTTACACAGGGCTAGGCAGGCCGCTCTCGCACTTGAGCGTGTCGCTGTAGCACACGGTGAAGAGCCGGTCGCTCGAGTCGCCGACCCACAGCCTGTAGCGGCCGTCGAACTTGGGCATGACCCAGTTCTGGGCCACGACGTCCCAGACGCTGAGGTCGCGGCGCGTGACCTTGAGCGTGACGGTCTGGCTGGCGCCGGGCGCCACCTCGGCCGCCGTCTTCTCGAAGTCGCGCAGCTGCACCACGGGGGTGTCGTAGTCGATGCCCTCGGGGAACTGCACGTACAGCTGCGCGACGGCCTTGCCGGCGTGCTTGGCGTCCGTGTTGGTCACCTTGACCGAGACCTCAAAGGCCGTCTCCCACAGCGCCGGGTTGCCGCCCTCGCCGCCGCCGGCGGCAGGGCCGGGCCCCTGCTCCTCGCTGTAGCCGGCCGGGTAGGCGTTGTACTTGGCCTTGGTGGACTGCTCGCGCGCCTTGTCGGCGTCGCCGTTGCTGAGGAAGGGGTACAGGTAGCGCCAGATGGAGGAGAAGTTCTCGGGCCAGTAGGCCTCCTTGGACGGCGGGATCTCCTTGGAGTACTGGGGCGTGGCGAGCTTGGCCGGGCGCGCGGCCGGCAGCGGGCTGAGCTTCGTCACCCGCTTGACGGTGGCGTCGGAGAAGGAAAAGTTTGCGTAGCTGAGGCCGTGGCCGAAGGCGAAGCGCGGCTTGATGCCCTTCTTGTTGAGGTGACGGTAGTCGATGTAGCTGTGCAAGAAAGTGGTTAATAAGCGAAAGAGGGCTATGGTGTTTCCGCGGGCGCGATAGTACTTACAGGCCCTCCGAGTAGGTATCCTGGGATTGGCCAATCGCAAAGCCGGTGAGCTTGGTGACGCTGTCCGGGTAGTCTCCCTCCTTGACCGGGATTGAGTAAGGGAGGTGGCCGCTGGGCGAGACGGTGCCGAACAGGACGTTGGTGAGAGACTCGCCAGCCTCCTGGCCGGGCAGATGCGCAAACAGAACCGACTTAACCGACGGGAGGTTGATCCAGTCCTCCATGGTGATGGGGCCGACGGTGTGAACCACGACGATAACGTTGCTGTACTTCTCAGCTGCCTTCTTGACGAGCTCGTCGCCACCATACCAGACCCTCAGGCCAGAGTTGTCTATTGGGAGACACCAGAGATTAGTTTTTGTTCGTATCCGCGGCTGTGTTTGGAAAGTGCCCGCCAAGGGCGGTGCCAGGGTTGCTTGCTGTCACTTACCGCGATCTCCGTGGTTGCCCTCGACAGTATATGTGTTCTCGCCAGAGTCAGAGCTGACAAAGACGATGGCGACATCGTCCGAGGTTGGGTTCGGAACGTTCGGGAACCTGTCCGTCTGGTAGTAGGTGACGCTCTTTGCGTTGCGCTTCAGGGCGTCCATGGGCGAGTCGAAGCTCGAGTAGGTGCCGGCGCCAGAGCCCCAGCCGAAGCCCAGGGTGCCCTTGTTGCAGTTTCCGTTCTCGCAGGCGTTCATGCCGTTGGGGTTGACCTCGGCTCCGGTGCCGAAGATGGAGAGGGGGCGGTCCTTGGCGAGTGGCAGAAAGCCACCGTCATTCTTGAGCATGGTGATACCATCCTGGGCGACCCGGCGGGCCACCACGGCGTTATTGCCCCGGACGTCGACAAACTTGTTGACGACGCCCTGGGGTGAGAAGAGCGCGGCCGGGTACAGCGGGCCGACCTCGTCCTTGGTGTTGACGGAGAAGTTGGGCGGCTCAAAGCCCTTGTCCTGGCCCATCTTGTACCAAGAGGCGACGACCCTGGTGGCCATATCGTTGAGTCTGTCCACAGGCACGGAGCCATTGAGAACGGCCCGGCTCATCTCGTACTGCCAGAAGCTGGCGCCTAAGAGGATGGGCACGGTGTTGATGTCGCCAGGCATGTTCATGTCAAGGCCGGCCAAGGCGGCGGGGACACCAGTGATCTGACCGAACCAATCAGACATGACAAAGCCCTGGAATCCGAGCTCATCTTTGAGGAGACCGTTGATCATATGGGCGTTTTGTGAGCATTGGGAGCCGTTGACCTGGGCGGGGGTTAGTCTCTTGAGATCGGCTCGTATCTGAAGCTGGGAAATATCGGAAATGGCTTACGGCGTTGTAAGCGGTCATGGCAGCTCCAACTCCGGCGTGGACGCCATCAGCAAACGGCCATAGGTACAGTTCGTGGATAGTCCGATCATCTGGAAATCGTGAACATGCTGGTTAGCGGGAATCATTGACGAGAAAGGGTAGAATCGAGGACTAGGTCTCGACTTGGAAAGGAATTAGAGCATCAATAATTAGAGCATCAATAGACTGCCTACCAATATTGGCACTGTACCCTTCCTGGAAGACGTGATACATGCGGTACATCTCCTGCTCGTTTCCGATCAGGTGCTTGATGGTGGCGATGACGCCCTGCGACTGGACGCCCTCGATGGTCATGGCGCCGAGCTTGCCCTGCAGCACCGGGTCGCTGCCGAAACCCTCCCAGTTGCGGCCGCCGCGGGGTTTCCTCCCGAGCGCACCGACCGAGGGGCCGAGGTAGATGTTGGCACCTTTGCCGCGGAACTCCTTCCCGATGGCGACGCCGCGGGCCTTGATGAGCTCCTTGTCCCACGTAGCGCCAGCGGTGATGCCGGCGGGGAACACGGTGACGTGGTCCGTTGTCCGGACGCCAAGCGGTCCATCCTGAAGGCAGAGGTTGGGGAAGCCGAGTCTAGGGATGCTGCCAGTGTTTCCTACGCAGGGGCTGAGGAGTGAAGCTGTGTGTCAGCTGGGCCGTTTGGCCATATCTCGTGGTACACCCGTCGGTATTTAAAACAGGTACTCACCCTATATGAAGCAGAGCCGTTAGTCCATGATCATTCTATAAGCCCGTCGGAAGCTCATACCGCCACACCAAGAGTCGTGTTACTCACCCATATACATGCCCGTTCCACCGGTGATGTTGACCTTCTCAGCAAGGGTCATCTGCTCGACAAGCAGCTTCGCCTTGGCGTAGCTCTCAGTCCAGCCCGGCGCCCATCCTCCATGCGGCGCAGGGTAGTAGGGCGGCGAGTAGTAGCCGTCGGGGACCCTGTCCCTGCGGTGGAGGCTTCCGGCGTCGGCCACCGAGGCCAGCCGGGCAAAGGCCAGCAGGGCCAGGTGGAGCGCGCCGCCTGACACCATGGTGTCTTGAATGCTTGCGCGCGGCTTCTTGATGTGTCTTCCTTTGGGCTGGGCCGCTGCAAACCGAATTGTAACGGGCAAAGGACACGGGACGAGGCAGGTGGGAAAACGAACGGCCAACAAGCTGAGCAGGGTCCGGATTTCCGCCTCGAAGGAGCTAACGATCAAGGCCACAGCACACGTGTCGAGGCAAGCTAGAGGGATCGGGGGAGGACCGACGAGGCATGTCGAGAGACGGCACTATTATATAAACGGCCTCTCTCAGCCCGTGGGGATGCAGGTCCCAAAGGCCCGCATATACCCCGTATCAGGCCGGGGTTACCGCGACGGCGGACCGACATGGCAAAGAAGAAGAAGAGAGAGAAAAGCAAGCAGGGGTTGGGCAGGTGCCGCCGAGCGCAGTGGCAGTCACGAGGGCTGCGTACTAAGGTATTGTTAGCCGGCGATGTTGCAGTCGCTGTGGGCAGCGCGCCCACTCAGCCACGATGTCCTCGGACCCGGGGGCTCGTCGTTCTGGGCGAATGTGCGGGGGGCAGCCCTCGCTTCCAATATAGAGATGGATACGTGCATACGCCGTGCCTGACCCACGGCGTTCTGCTCGCGGGCCCGACATACCAGGGTCAGAGCGGCGTAAAGAGGTCGGCTCTGTCGTATTACGGCTCTGTTCGGCCGGCAGTGTTTTCCGGGGTCTACTGGAATTGCTGCGAGTCGCGGTGAGGGCGGCTCTAGCTTGCATCCTAGGGTTTGGTGGGCTCCATTCTTTCCAGTCCGCTTTCTATTGAATAACGTGCGTCTGGCCGGCAATATCCTCGGAAGCACCGTAGCAGAGCAGAGCAACAGGCCGAGGCAAGCGAATGTCTGCAGACGCCCTTCAAAAAATACGGCGTACACCAGTCGGGCCGTACTATGTACTAGCTAGCTGTCCAGGCACACTCGTCATTGGCAGAAGCTATAACACGGGTCGTATGGCGTATGCGTATCTTGTGGCGAGAGATGCCGAGACGGGGAGCTAGACCCGGCGTCTTGTTATTGTTGGGAGGGGAGGTCTGCATGACCGGGCAGCTGCAGCGGGCTAGACCAGTACCGGATGACGAGTGTGCGGCACGAGCTGCGGGTAGAGATTGCTGTCCAGACCAAATGTTTGGATGGGTGTTGTGGTGTGGCACTGTGGGTGCTGGTGGCCGCCGTTGTCGTTGCTTTGGCAGCCCTGAGAGGCACTTGGCTGACTGCGTCAGCGGCTCCCAGCCCCTGGCGGACAAGCTCCCCCACCTTCTGCGCCCAGAGACCGGCGCAGAGATTGGGCGCCATGCTTGGTGCAGGGATCCCCGCGCCCTTTGGCGTTTTGCCACCGGCATCAACCCTGTTTTAATGGTCATCTTGCTTGACGATTCGAAGACGCGGCAGGGCCAGGCTGGTGTCTGACCCGAAGAGGAAGCCTCGCGGGCGCATAGCGATCCGTGCATGTCTCTGTTTAGGCACGTGGTCCTGGACCAAGGCCCCAGTCCTTTGGTCCCTGTCGCCTGTCGGTGGTCCCCTGCCCCACGGCAGAGGGCAACGCAAGTCATGGATGGTTGAGCTGGGGAAAAAAGGCGGCGGTGCAACCCGTGAGCGGGATTCGTTGGGCGCATTTCACCCGACGATCCCTCTCATTCGAGCGCAAGATCGTCCAGATTTGGTGCTTCGCCGACCGGCCTTCCGGAAGGGTCGCGTGTCCCAATTTGCCCATTGCCGACGGGACATCGACACTAAAGGGCGGGTTAGGATCTTTTTTTTTTCTGCTTCTTTTCCGCTCATCTCCTCGCGTGGCTGGTGGAAAAGCACGAGCCTTCCGGACATTGTATGTCGACAGCAGTCAGCACAGCTGGGCTTTGATCTGCACCCTTGTTTTTTGTGCTGTTTTTCTTTTGTCAGTTTTATTTTCGCCGCCTTGGCAAGGCCCCACTTTGACTCCTAGGTATCTGCATCCCCCATCACGACGCGAACTGGCGGACACAACCAATGGACGATTGGTCACATCCTTACCTAGCCGATCACCAGACCAGATAGAGGCATAGAGGTCCATTGCAGGTGCCCACTTACGCTGTACGCGGCTGCCGCGTGGCTTGGCTTGGCCCTGGCTCGCGAGAGGGGTGTGATAGGCGATGGCATCTTACTCGGTATCGTGTGGAAAGCTCCTAGCCGGTGAGGCATCGAAATCTTTGCCTTGGCGTATGTGATGAAGCGCGGGGAAGGGGGTGCTGTACATATCCCGAGATATGATGAGCCAGGTGATTTGCTCCGGCGTTGCTGCGCTTGATTGCCGAAAGCCTTGTCTTCCCATCGATTAGAAACTGACTAAGACGTTGCCGACGTGACGTCGTTGCTGTGAGCTGGGATCGGCATTCCAAGTTAGCGAGGATGCCCCATTTCATCTAACGGTTGAATTGAAGGATCGAGGCCACCAACCACTGGCGCATACTCGCGGGGCATCTGCATGTCGCAGTCCACTTGCCCTTGGCCTTTCGTGCTCGCCAGAGGAGGTATTTGTCGGTGCCATGTCCACACAGGTGGAAATCAGCCGAGCGGGTGGATAGGGGGTTTTCCATCCCCGAATTTCCCTTGATGGAGAAAAAGGGTATCAACAGTGCTACGGCGGGGCTTTCCTCTCATGAAATACGACCATTAGAATAGTATGATATATGCATAATCTTTGTTTCACTTGCCTTGGTCGGTACTTCACCGTTTAAGCGTCATTATTTATTATTGGTGCCTTGGGAGTCCCTAATGACTGGGGTGCACTTTTGGCTGCTGCCAGGATTTCGCGACCATTTTGATGTGGTCAGGAGGAAAGGGCCGAACCCAAGGCGATATGGAGTGATTGTTGTCAGGGTGAAGCCCCTGTTGCCAGTGGCCTTCGTTGTTTTGGAAATGGGGAGAACCTCTGTTGCCCGTGGTTCTGATTATTCTCGAAATGAAGAGGCTACGTTGAGGTCCTCGAAGGTACACAGAACTGTAGCATGTGTTTTACAACGGTTGCGTAGCCGGTTATGGTCCGGCATACAAAGACTGGAGCTGTAGAGCAGAGCCACCAGAGAGATATATGAGAGTCAACAACACCGAGGTGAAATACAGCAAGCAGGTCGGGGAACGGGGACATGGCCAAGTGGACTTGGAAGTTCTAGCGGAGTCGCAATTTTGGACGCAGCTTGGAACACCTCCCATCCGTAGTGAACGGATAAACCAAGGCGTGGCGTCGGCCAGACGCTCGCTTTCCGTCTGCCAGTCAGGTTGGGGGTGCGGGAGGAGTGGCTGTTACAGTCTCATGAACGGGTGGTCTCGGGGCGCGCCGATGCAGACTGTTGCGTGTGATCTGGGGCGGCCCGAGACCATGAGCTTGGAGGGGTGTCTGGCCGCACGCTTTTGCGTGGCCCGTTGGTGTCTACCTGGGGTGAGAATCACTGGCCGTGAGAGGGGACGGGAGACGAGACTGATTTCTTAGTTGGGTTAGGCCTGCAGGTGGGCGGGATCGGAATGCTGTAATCACTGCCCGTCGGGATAATCCCGGCAGCCGACGATGTGTACCGGCCGAAGACCGGACCTGACTCCCATCCTGCAAGTTTTAAGACCAATCGGCTGCTCCCCAATGGTGGTAGGTTGTTAGGTACTATATGCCCAACACACCCTTTTTTTTCCCGCCCAGTCGACCCGCGTTGCTGACTTTGGCCAGTCATGAGAATCTCAACCGCGGCCCTTCTGGCCGTCTTTCCGCAGTGGCTGACTGGAGCACATGCGGGCTGCTCCCAAGCGGGGTCGGTGCTAGACACCATCCTCGCCCGCGGCCGCCTCCGCGTCGGCACCACGGGCAGTTATAAGCCCTTTTCGTACAAGGTCGCAACTGGCGGCGGGGGTAACAGCTCGTCGGCCGGGTACATCGGCGCCGACATTGATATGGCGCGCGCGCTCTCGTCGGCGATGGGTCTGGCCGGCGAGCCCGAGTTCGTCCCGGCCTCGTTCGCGAACCTGACGGCCGACGTGCGCGCGGGCCTGTACGACATCGGCATGACGGGGGTGTCCATCACGATGGGCCGCGCGCTGTCGGCCTTCTTCACGACGCCCGTGCTCCGCGTCGGCAAGGCGGCGGCGGTGCGGTGCGGCGAGGCGGACAGGTACCAGACGCTGGCGGACATCGACCGGGCGGGCGTGCGGGTGGCGACGCCGTCGGGCGGCAGCAACGAGGCCTTTGACCGGGCAAACCTGCACGCGGCGACCATCGTGGTGTACAGCGAGGCGGGCAACAACATCATCTTCCAGGCGGTGGCGGACGGCAAAGCCGACGTCATGATCACCGACGTGGTGGAGGCGGAGCTGCAGGCGCGGCTGCACCCGGGCGTCCTGTGCGCCGTCAACCCGGACCGGCCCTTTAGCTTCGAGGAGCTAGGGTACATCCTGCCAAGGGACGTGGTCTGGCTGCAATTTGTGAATCAGTGGCTGCACATCCAGCAGGGGAGCGGTGCTTGGAACAAGACGTTGGATGGTTGGATGAGCTACCCCTGGCCGACCACATAGCCTTTTCGCCAGCTCCGACGGCATTTATATCGGCACTTACCCGAATCAGAGGAGAGGTGAATCGATCGCTGCTAGGGGAGAAGGCACAGGGCTCTCCAAACTCTATCTCCGCCACCATCTCAAGTACCTACATTTACCCCTTGCCAACCGCGCACTCGGACACACCATCTCACCATCCGTCGGCTCACCAACTTTCCATCTTCCAATATCCGAACGGCATCATGTCAGGTCGATCAAACAGCGCCAGCGCGGGAGACATCGCGACAGCCCCCCATGCCTTAGGTTCCTCGTATAAAGTTCAACGTCATCGAGAATAACGCCAATCTTTGTCTCTACCGTTATGAGGACCACCAGAGGGTGCTAGACTTTTGCATTTTTTTTTCCGGGGTTGTAAAGTATGTGTACTTCCCGCAAATTCACTTTTATATTTCGAAATATCAGATGCTTTTATTGGATCCAGTCCTTGGTCGTGTGCACTACTAGAAGGCCAGAAGGGTCGGTGGGATGAACTCCACGTGCCTATAATACGTGGTTTGTCTTCGATTGCCTGATTCCATGACATGTGCTTACCCGGGTTCCCTCCCAAATGCACCACCTTCGCACTTCTAAAAGCAAACCTCCCGACATCTATTCCACATATCCTACCGTCTGATTTAAAAGAAGCGGGAAGCCCTCCAAAAACATTCAAGCATTCGGGCTTTGCAGATCTTGGTCGGGAGATCTTGCTAATGCTTGGCGATGATCACGTCTTTGCGATTTGAACCCTCTGCTGACATGATGGCCACATCCCGACGCGTTTATCTTACCCTTTCGCATTTCCCCCTGGATTTTCTTTCTCCTGTGCCCCTTCGGGGTTGTCACGCAACCGCACCCGCCGTGCCACCTCTCGAGAGGAAGGGCACATGGGCCAAGCTAGAGATGCAGTTGGCTGCTCTGCCACGACACTTTAGTTTCTTGGAGCCGCCCGAGGACGCCAATGCCATCTCAAAACCGTCACCGAGGCCCTGCCAGGGGCAATCCTGATGTCGTGATGTTTGCGGCGGTGCAGAGATTAGCATTGATACAGGCCCCCAAGTAAGCATTTCTGCCTCAGCGCTGAAAAGAAAATAAAGGCCCCCAGTCACTCGGTTGGGGGGTGCTGGGATACGTCAGAGGCTCTTGGCCTCTGGATGTAGCAAATGCCTCAATGCTCGCAGCCTATTGGCTCCTACAAGAGCAGCTTTTCCCCATGTGTGCGATTTGTCGCATTCTCTCGCCAATGGCTCTGGTTGGATGGCCGGATGGCGAGCCCGGCGGGCCACGATGGACAAACCATACGGGCACGTTCACAGCACCAGTCCCCAGAGCCTGGCTGGTCGCACCGCTTCCATCAGCCGTTTCTTCAGCCCCAGGTGGGTCAGGGCCGCCGCCCAGGCAGTAAACTGAAATGAAGCCATCAATTCGCCGTCCCTCGCGGAAACGTGAGGACCGACAAGATCCCTCTCGGTAGCCTCGGACGCTGCCTCGGCTACAGCACAAATCCCAACCAAGACCCGGGCGAAGGGGCCGCGTGCGGCCAAGCAACCTGTCTGCCGTGCTGTGCTACTTGTAACGACGCGCCCGTCTCGTCTTTGTCCAGGCTTATAACCCGGGCAGATGCACGCCGAGTCGTTTCTCCTCCACCTTCTCGAAGCACATTTTCTCCCCAACGACCGGTCTCCCTGCATGCTTCATCCTTATTCGACCACGCTTATTCGGCCACGACTCCTTTCTCCCGATTAAACCATGGTAGCCCGGAGCGGCGGCAACTATGCCTTCTAGACCAGCCGCTGCTCACGTCAGTCCCGCGACGGTTCCTTCCTGGCAGGTCTCCCGTTCCACAGACTACAGCCTAGGTACCTAGGCTGGAAACAAACTTGCCCCATTGCAACCGGCCCTGCATCCCCACCGTAGGCGTTGGGACGAGTGCCTACCTACTAGTATCTCGGACTATCTAGCTTGCGGCTGCCCCGCGCCCCCAAGCAGCGACAAACTGTCGATTCTTGGCCGGGAGAGTCCCTGCACTCGTGCGTCTTGGCAGCAATTCGAGAACTCATGGCCTGGCATCTCGTTGTGGCAGATGAGACGATGACGAAGACATCTCCAAGACTTTTCTTGCTGAGCCACCGCCTAGACGTTCCGATCGAACATCGGAAGCTTCGCGAATCCCCCGAGGGGAAAACCCAACGCACCCCGAGGCGGCCGCGTACCAGCCAGGGCCCAGCACCGACACCCGAATAACTGGACGTGGGAAATCTTCTCGATCTGGGCCTTCCGCGGTTCGCGCCGACAGTTGGGCTGCGTGCCGACTGCCTGGATATCGAGAATATCTAGGTCGGCCTGTCCGCATCGGCAATGTCCACGGCCAATCACAGACACAATGGAGGAAACAACGCATTCCACAACTTGGTGCGCCCGCTCGGTTCCGGCCTCAACAACCTTCGAACTATCATATGGCTGACAGCTATCGTACATGATTTCCAACAGCCGACGACTACTCACATATCAGGGACCCGAACTTGCGGAGGAGGCTTGTCCTGAGGGATATAGATAGGGTCCCGTTCGGCCTGTACCGTGAGCGCAGTCCCCCTTCTTCTCGACCCATATTCGCTCTCCGGGCTCCTTGCCATGGTTGATGTAGAAGGCGCTGACCAGTCGCAGATGTCCGGGCTGTGGTTGTGGCAGGGGTTGGCTTCTTCCTCGACTCCTACGACATCTTCTCCATCAACTTTTTCATGATCTACCTCGGCGTCGTCTTCTGGCAGGGAGAGCCGGGGGCTGCTACCAACGGGTTCGGGGGCAACCACGGCCATCTTCCGTCCACCGTTAACCAGTCCTTGAAGGCGGCGACCAGCGCAGGCATCGTCATCGGGCAGGTCCTCTTCGGGTGGCTCGCCGACGTGTACGGCCGGAGGAGGATCTACGGCATCGAGCTCGGCATCGTCCTGCTTGCTACCTTGAACTGCGCTCTCGCCAACCCCAGCCAGTCGATAAACTCGACTGGTATCCTCGTCTTTTAGAGAGTTGTGATGGTGGGGACATTTTTTTCACGGGCTAGGATGACGGTCCTTCCCCATCTGTCGAGAACCGTGGGCTGAAGACTGGACTGATGCAACCAACATCTAGGGTATGGGCATCGGCGGGGACTGCCCCCACAGTTCGGTGATAACATCAGAGTATGCTGATATTCCCCCTGTCTCTGTCTGAGTCCTCGCTAATCTTGGGTATGGTCGCAGATTCGCCCCGACGAGATGGCGCGGCGCGATGGTGGCGTGCCGTGTTTTCGATGCAGGGCATGGGCCAGCTCATGGCTGCAGTCGTGGCTCTGATCGTGGTCGTCGCCTTCAAGGGCTCGTTTATCAATGTCACCGACCTGTCCCGCTGTGGCGTCGACTGCCAAACTGCGGCCGATCGTTCCTGGCGTCTGATCGTGGGCGCAGGCGCGCTCCCTGCGTGCTTCGCCCTGTATTATCGCATCACGATCCCCGAAACTCCGCGCTATACTTTGTACGTTTTGGATTCTCATCTGCCCACGCGGCGGAAACGAACCAACTAACTGTTTCTTGTATTGTAGGACGTGGCTCAGGACATTGAAAAAGCAGATGCCGATATCAAAGCCTATATGGCCAGCAAGTCGACGGCGGCGTGGACTCCGTAAGGCAAGCCCGCGCCAAGCAGCTTACGACTCAATTATTCGCCATCCCCTCTGCCTCTTGGCGTGACCTGTGATCTTACTTCAGCCAGTGGAAGAACGCAAAAGTTCTCATTGGCACCATCTTGCCGTGGTTCTTTCTCGTGAGCATACCTCATCCCAGCATAACAGTCCGAACCAAGTTCGTTTCTAATGGATCAACTACTTTCCCAGGACCTTGCATTTTATGGCCTAGGCCTCAATAACTCGATTGTCCTCCATAGCATGGGGTACTCTCGTGGCCCGAACCTGTTCGATACGCTTTATAACAATGCCGTCGGCCTTATCACCCTCGCCTGCGCTGGGTCCTTGCCTGGATACTGGACGGCTGTGCTTACTATAGATACATTGGGCCGGAAGCCTATTCAGATAATGGGCTTTGCTGTCCTTACCATTCTATTTTGCGTCATAGGTGTCAGTGATATCTCCAGTGGCCCAAAACTATGCTCAGGAAGCCTCAGAACGGACACCCATCTCGATCATCTCTCTAGTTCAACCACAAAAATATGAACGAGGCTTCCACTATGGGGCTTTACGTTGTCGCCCAGTTCTTTTCAACTTTGGCCCCAACACCACCACATTTATCGTCCCGGGGGAGTGCTACCCGACCCGTTACCGCTCCACAGGCCACGGCGTCTCAGCCGCCATGGGCAAGATCGGCGCCATCCTGGCCCAGGTCATCAGCATCCCCCTTCTCGAGAAGGACAAGCCCGAGACGTGCGCCGGCAACGACTGTTCACCATTCTTGGACCGCTTGATGCAGATATTCGCACTGTTCATGCTCCTCGGCACGGTCACCTCGCTCCTGATACCCGAGACGAAGGGGTCGACGCTCGAGGAGCTTGCGGGCGAGGAGGGGCACGGTAGCAGCTCAGGAGGAGGGCGAGGGGGAGGAGGAGGGAAAGGGCTTGGTGGGGCGACGCAGTGGTGGAAGAACCCGCTGGCCAGCGGGCAGCCGGCTGGATTCTTCCTCGCGCACCAGCGCGCCTAGCCCGCGCGGAACCGCGTGTAGGCATCATGACCAGCCCGGAGCTGGCGGCTCAGCAGCAGCAAAATCTGCATGGCAGGAACAGCACCGCGACAACGGCAGGGTCGAGACGGGGGCTGCATGGATCCGGCGGGGCGGGCAGTGGGAGCCCTCCCCCGACAGCGGCGACGAATTGGTCGCTTGGGTCCCCAGCCGTTGGCGCCCACGAAGTGCGGGTGTCGGCAGAGGACAGGGAAGCGGGCAGGAGGCAGAGATGGGGCTGGGGCGGCAGGGCGAGGAGGAGATACAGCACGTCGACCAACGAGCTCGGCCCTGGGGCGTCCGGGATGGACGACGACCAGCTGCCATCTCCGGCAATATTACCGGGGTGGGGAGCGGGCTGGGGCAGGATGGACAGAGGTGGGCAGCCGGCCTCTACGGACAATATATCGGGCAAGTCTTCCCTCCTCGAGAGCCTCACCGGGTTCTCCTTCCCCCAGGACGTGGGGCTGTGCACCCGGTATATCACCAAGATCACCTGCCGCAGGGAGGGCGTCCCTAAGACCACTGTGTCCATACGGGCTAGGCCCGAGGCCTCTGCCGCCCAGGTGGCCAAGCTTTCCGAGTTCAAGCGAGACTTGAGTGGTGTAAGTCCCGAGAGCACCGAGTTCCGAGATGTGTTCAGGGAGGCGGCTACGGCCATGGGGATCCGCTCCGGTGATGAGCCGGACACGAGTCTGCCGTCCTTCAGTCAAGACATCCTCAGGATCGAGATTTGTGGCCCCAATGAGGATAGTTTTACCATCGTCGATCTTCCAGGTGTGTTTAATTGGTCTTCTCTCTTCTTTACGCGTCTGCGTTGGATGGGCCCGAGCTGATTTCAGGACTTGGCCCGCTCCCCCCATCACTGCAGGCATATTCGAGACCGAAACGCCTGCCTGGGGTGACCGAGAAGAGCGATATCGAGCTCGTCAAATCCATGGTCCGCCGGCACATCTCGGAGACGCGGACCATCATCCTCGCCGTCGTGGCGTGCACGTCCGACGTGGCGACACAGGGCATCCTGTCGTTTGCTCAAGAGGCGGACCCGGAAGGCAAGCGGACGCTCGGCGTGCTCACCAAGCCCGACCTGCTGCGGGAGAAGGCCACCAAGGGGGAGATCGTGCGGCTGGTGCGCGGCGGGCGCAACGACCTCGAGCTCGGCTACTACGTGGTCGTGAACCGCGGCGCCGACGACAGGACGTCGACCGCCGCCGAGCGCGACGCAAAGGAGCGCGCCGAGCTCTCCCGCCCGCCGTGGTGCGAGCTGGACCCGTCCCGGCTCGGCATCGCCGCGCTCCGCGGCCGCCTGTCGCACCTGCTGCTCGACCGCACCAGGGCCGAGCTCCCCGCAATCCGCCGCGATATCATCGAGCGGCTGAGGGAGAAGAGGGCCGATCTGGCCCGCCTGGGCGCCTCGAGGGACGATGCGTACTCGCAGCGCGCATACCTGGGATAGATGGCGACGCGCTTCGCCGAGATCAGGCTCTGCGCCCTGAACGCGTCGTACACGTCGCACAATGTGTTTGAGCAGCGTGACGACCTCAAGATCGTGACCCGCATCCGGAACATGAGCAAGGAGTTCGCGGCGACTATGCGATCGCAAGGCCATACCTACTCCTTCCAGCAAATCCCCGGGCACGAGTATGATGGTGGCCATGGCCCTCTATATGAAGAGGGTATGTTAGGGTTCGGTTTGGCTTCCGTGAATGTCTCGGCACTGGAGGACTACCCGGAGCTGGACGATATCATTACTGAAGTTCCTTCGGCGGAGCCCACGTTCCCGGAAGCGGAAGATATAACCGCAGTCATCCGCCATGTCCATACCTCCACGCGTGGACTCGAGCTCGGCACCGTATGTACCAGTCCTAAAGCGTTCTCCCCGCCAACGGCATCGCGTTTATACATTCTAACAATATCTGCGCCCTTTCAACAGTTCAACCCATCAGCCACCTCCATGGCGTTCAAGGAGCAGTCCCGGAACTGGGGGCACATCGCCATTACCTACGTCAACGATGCCATCATTCTCGTCCATGACTTCATTTTCAAGCTTCTGAACCTCGTCTGCCCCGACACTCACGTTCTAGGACAAATCTGGAACATCCTGTCCGAGGAGTTACTGGACAAGTACCAGGCCGCTCTGGGCCGCACACGCTTTCTGCTGTTCACCACACGACAAGGAAGCACCCTGAGCCTGACTCCAGAGTATGAGCGGTACTTATCGCAAGTTCATGCTGCCCGTCATGCTTGGAATGCTGTGGCGATGATACCAAAAGCCGAAGGAATCATGGAAAAAGAATTCAAGCCCCCTCTGTACCACTCGGGCCGCTATTACGTGCCAAAGGACGCGGCAGAGCAGATGATCTACAACCAGGTCCTGCCGCTCTTCACTGCGCATCAAGAGCAGATGGGGACGGCGGATGACATGTGCGATTCGATCCACGACAGCCTCTACGGGTACTACCGCGTCACCCGATCCCGCTTCGTCGACAACGTCTACCAGGAAGTTGTCGACCACCTGCTGCTCAACGGCGACGACAGCCCGCTGCGAGTCTTCGGACCAGACCGTGTCCTACGCTTTACCGAGCATGAGCTTCGGAGCATCGCTGGCGAGGATCCCCAGACGGCACGCCGGCGGGAGGTTCTCCAGCGCGAGATTGCGAACCTGGAGGCGGGCAGGAAGGCCTTGGCGCGCGTGTGAGAACACTGTCACGCCCACCACAAAAAGAAAACGGCAGTTCCTTCGAGGAATAGGAACAGGAATAGGGATAAGAACGGGAACAAAGAAAAGAATAGAAGGGACTGGTGTCGATCAGCATGCAACGGCAGAAAAGATTAAAATGAATTTGGCTTGCTAAGCTGCGTGAGCGTGATGAGTTTCCAGAAAATAATGAAACTGCTGCTGATGATTGTGGTACAGGAAACAAAGGCAATGAAATCCTTCAAGGAGCTGAAGGCAGGCAGGCAAAGAAAGATATCACAGTAACTCGCGACTTTTTTTTCTCCCAGTGATGAGGCAAGCGGGCACTTGCTTCCTCCATGTGTGGCGAGGGGGCTTGACTTATTGGCTCTGCCCTCCGCTGCCACCGTTCCGTTTTTCCATGGTGGCCTTGAGCGCCTTGAGCTTCTCCTCCGTCACCTTGATAGCCTCCCTGATCTCGCGGTCGTCTGACCTGGCTGCCCGAAGCTTCTCCTCCACGCCTCGAGATGATTCCGCGGGGGCAGACGCCGACCTCTTCTGCGGCGGAGGCGCGCTGCGCGCCACACCACCTTCACCACCCAGCCGCTCCATGCCCACCCGCTCTTCGAGCCACTCCCAGAGCTCGCTCTCCTCGCGGCGCCACATCTCCTCATACGCCGCGACGCGGTCGGGATAGCCAAGGTAGCCAAGGTCGGCACCGTAGTGTCGTGACGACGGCCCACTGCTGCCATTGAAGCCACCAAACCAGGTGACCACCAGAAGCCCGACGAGGAGACCGTATACGACATTGCCAGTCATGAGCGGCTTCACTATGTCCACCACCGGGCCGACGATGCCATGTATAGGCTCCAGCATACCCCAGTCCTGATTGGCGGCAGCCTTGGACGACCTGCCCTCGACATCGCTGGCCGGGCTGGAAGCGGCAGCTGCCTTGCCCTTGCGGCCCTTCTTCTTACCCTTGCCGGCCGCACCATTGGTGCCTGCACGGGAGCGGGACGACACTGCGGCTTTGAGAGCGGCGAAGAGGTCCTTGCAATATTGCGTTTGGCCATCGATGACTCCCTTCTCGATGGGGCCTGATAATATCAGGCGTGTTAGAAAAGCAACCAAACCCCCAGAAGGAACCATAATGTTGTTACAAGACAAACGCACCTTTGAGCCAACTCTTGCCGGTCCACTCCGTGGTGCAGTTTACCTGCACACGGGTCGTATTGTTCTCGCCCCACGTGAGACAGTATCTGGTTTTGACGTTAAAGACGTTCCCGCTAGGAACGTCGGGTGTCTGAGTAGTGCATGTGATGTTGACGGCCTTTTCCAGGTCGATGGCGTCTACATGTTCAGACACAATGCACTTGGTCTGCTTGGGTCCCAATGACGCATACAGTGGTTTGATGTACGAATAGGTTCGCGTCGTGTTGTCAGCCCCGAGGCCCTTCTGGTCCTCCATCTGAAACTCAAAACACTTCTGCTCCCCCGTCAGCCACTTTGTCATCCACGTGACCGATGCAGGACCGAAGGTCATGTTGAAGACCTTGCCCAGTGGCGCAGGTACGATGTCGTCTGCCAGGAACTTGTCAAAGTGCGTGTCGGCATCGCCGCATTCAGTTGACGCATGTGTGGCCGGCCCGGGGAAGTCGTCGCCGCCTGCTGCGCCTCCACCAGCAGCCGAAGCTTCCTTAGGCTTCTCCGCCGATGGGCCGTTGCCATTAACAGCGCCCGACGGCCGGCGACTAATAGCCTTGTCCGCCTCAGTTTCCGCCGCGCGAGATTCGGGAAGTAGGGCCGTGTCTGGACCGTCAGCCTCCTCCTCCTCGTCTTCGTCGTAAACATCATCCTCATCGTCCTCGGATTCGTCCTCGGATCCGGAAAGACTCCGACTTGCGATGGAGCCTGCGCCACCATCGCCACCAGCTCCCTCCTCTGCAGCGATTTTCTCCGTCTTGTCGCCACCCATCTCGTCGATATTCACTCCATTCAGCGAACTCTGCAACGAAGGGTGTCCCAACTTCCAAATCTTGACGATCAGGTCGTATGTGGAGTCACGACTTGTGAAGCTGGCAAAGACGTGCTTCGCATGTAGAGTTGAGATCATAAGTCCGTTTTTGAAAACCAAGGCAGTGCTCCTCTTTTCAACAGCCACGATCTCGTCGAAACTCATAACAAGCGTTGTAGTCCAGCCGAGGATGTTGCTGCTGAAGCACAAGTGACCTTCTGACACATATAGCCTTCCGTGGGCGAGAATCTCCCGTTGCAAAGCACAGCTGTAGTCTTCGATAAGGTAGTCGTCATCCGGGACAGTCTTGAAAAGCGTGTGGAAATCTCGATTCCGCTTCTTGCTTGCAACCGCAAACCCAGTAAGCTTGGTTGTGCTCTGCATAGCGCTGGGGTGGGCCACCGAAGCGTTTGCGGCTGCGATAGCCGCAGCGATGGTGGCACTGGTCCCCGAGGTGCCGCCAGTTGCTGTAGAGCTGCCGCGTTTTCGGTGGTTCTTCCCAGCACCGCTCCCGACACTGCCACTGCGATTGATGCCCGAATCATCGTATACACTTCCCGCGGGCGTCGTGCGCTCGGCACCGCCGATGAGGTCATACTGGGACCGGCTTGCCGCGGATTGCTGGGGTTCGTCGTATTGGTATTCGGCACTGACACCAGATGACTGGGGTTGGGACTCGGCGGGGGCGGACTCGGACCGTCCTCGAGAGTCGGTCGAGTTCGGGAATTTGGCAGCTAGCGGCGTGTTGTTGTTACTGGAGGGTTCGGCTATGCCGAGCTGGCTAAGACTGAGGTCACCCTTGCCAAGGGTCCTCACCGCAGGCTCCTTATTATCCATGCCTTGGTCGGAAGAGCCAGGGAAGGGCTCTACTTCAACTCTGGGACGGTTGCTGGTACCGGTCTGTGCACCCTCGGACAGGCCTCTAGCACGGGCGGCGTTATTCGCAGGTGCGAGATTGGTGTTTGCGATGCTGTTGCTAAGAGTGTTGGCCGCGTTCTGTGCGGCAGAGAACATAGACGAGAAGAAAGTGGCTGCAGACGCTGCGTTGGGGCCACTCTCTGGCGTTGGGCTGAGGGGAGCCAAAGTGATGTTGGAAAGCTTGCTTGGTCCAGCACTACCTGATCCTGATCTAACGCGTCTCTGAGCGTTCATATTCCCAAAGACGGGCGGCGGGTCTCTCGGTTTTGCGGGTAACGCGGTACCCGGGGCGTCCGCGCCCACACTTGCCGGCCTCTTGCCGAGGCTGCCAACCGGGTTGTTGTGGTCGGTCGGCGTGGGCGGAGTATTGACAATGACAGGTGCGCTCTTCTCGTTGCTCGGTGGCGTCTCTGGCCGCTTGGTCGTGTCTATCGTCTGGCCCCTGGAGAGTCGCCTGAACCGCTCGGCGGAGCTGCTCTTGGCGCTCTGAGCGCTTTGGGGAGTGTCGGTGGATACAGCTGTCGGCTCAGCCGCGCTTGGTCTGGGGGGTTCGGGTCGTTTAGGAGCGGCGGCGGAGGAACCGGGTCTCCGCTCCGGGCTAGGGCTCCCCGTGCCACTCGGGCCCCCGCTGGGCCGGAACACCTCCCGAAAGCGAGAGGCAGGCGATGCGGAGCGTCTGTGTTCGCTCTTGTCTTGCGGAGCCGCGAGGCCGGTTTTGCTGCGGCTAAAGGAAGACGAGGCGGAGTCTATGGAATCCGTTCTGGAGGCGGGGATGGTCACAGATCGGGACAGAAGGTCCGTCTGCGACTGGCTGGGGCTGGGGCTGTTCTTGAGGTGTTCCTCCTGCACGATGGGCGAGGAGGTCGTCAGGTATCCGATCTGGGAGGGATGCGTCGAGACAGCGCCAGGGCGGGCTGAGCTGCTGCAGCACGAGAGTTGTTAGAAGAGAAGGAGAAGGCAACAGCAATCGACAGCTCGGAAAGCGGTTGTATCTGAGTGCGATCGCCAGACCGGACAGATCCTAGGCGAGGTTGCAGTGCGGGTCTCGCGTAGTAATAAGGGCCGGGCTAGGGGCGAGGAAGGATGCTTGTTTCACGGCGTGTCCGAAAGACACTCCTTCAACTCTGACGGGAGACTACATGAACAAAGATGTGAACGCCGCGACAGCAGCAATTGTCGACGACTTTGCGAGCGCGTGGGAGGGCAGCGGGAGGGAGGAAGTAGCCGAGCCAGCCAGAGTGGTGGTGGCACAAGAGGAAGCGGCCGCGGTGTGCTGAGCTCGCTTTTGTGGGATTTAACTTCGCCAGGCTGACACTTGAGCGACAGTAGCTCGGCATCAGCCCGTCCCCTGCAGCCCACGCTTGCTAACGGGCCAGTGGGGTTTCCAGCCAACCAAAGCCCGGCGTCTGATGGCAAGGGTAAAGCTCTGACGGCCACATGTTAGGGGGGCAGACAAGCACGCCGGCACTCAGCTCCAGAGGCGGGATTGGTCTGGCTCCGTGTTTCTGGGAGGGCGAAATTGGCAGCCGGAGCGATGTGTGCTGACGGCGGGCTCGGCTGTGCAGGGGAAAATAGAGTAGACAAAATAGAAATACATAATCGAATGGGATATAATGCCAAGCGAGAGGGGTAAGGGGATTCACGGAACGACGACCGAAGGGAGGGTTTTGCACGCGAAATAGAGGCGGACTTACGATTCCCAATCTGGATCGGCGATCGGGGTCGATTGACTGGCCGCCATCGCCTCGGTCTCCTCAGCAATCGAGAAAGATCGGCTGTTGGCGGCATCACTGTCGAGCGTGTGGTGGCTGCTGGCTGGGCTTCGTCCACGTGGGCCCTGTTCGTCGCCGCTGGCATCGCTGTGCTGCTGGTTCTTCTTGCGCCTGCGTTTGGCGGCGATTGCCTTGGGGAGCAGCTTTCCCAGGTCGCCGTTGGAGTCCATTCTCTCCTCCCGCCCGTCCCGACGGTAACGAAGGAAAGCACGCAAGCAGCTAGTGGGGGTAGGGGGGGTCCAGTCTGGTCAATCAGAGCAATTTCGGTTGGCCCAAAGTTCGGCCGATGCGAACGCGATGCGATGCGATGCTTTGGTCAACCACTCGTCGACTGGCGCTGGCTAGGCGGCGCTATTCCCTGTTTTGTTCGTCTGTGGCTGCAGCAAAGATGCGACCACGCCGCTGGACTGCTGCACTGGACGAAACCAAGATGGAGACCGGCGGTCGGTGATTCCAGCACGTCGGCAGGGCTGTCCATGGAATGCACGAGAGATCGGCGCGCCCGAGCCTCGGAAGTAAAAGCAAGACAGGTCGAGTCGGGGTTGGAGCGATGTGGCGACGGTGCTAGAATTGAATGCTAATCTGAGAAAGATGGGTGTTGGCGATACAGCTGTGTGCTTTGCTGGGCCGCGGCTGCGCTTCTTCTTCAGAGGCAAGCCACAGAAAGTCGGCTATTCCGGCAGAGGGGAGTTTGTTTGCTTGAACTTATTTCTCAATCATGCTCGAAACAGAGATCGACGTCGTTCTACGCCTCGCGTGCTTCCTGTTTCACGTCATCGTCATCATCCATTCCGTCGCCTCTGCCTTGAGTCGACCAAAGCAGTGAGCTGACTAGGCTGGTTTAGGCTAGACTGCCCCGGTCTTCCTAAGAGAATCGCTTGCCAGCCACAGCTCCTGCAGGCTGCTTCCAGGTGGCTGGATCGCGCTGGATTAGTGCTAGGACAGGATAAGGAAGCGGGGCAGGTGTCTCCATTTCTGGGTAAGCAGATGGGACGAGGGGTTGTTAGAGTCCTGCACGTCCCCTGAAGCCTTGCTCGATTTCAGGGATAGAGGAGAACCTAGGAAAGAAAAGGAAGACCAAAAAGAGGATGGGTGGGGAATGGAAATGAGGAGAAAATAAAGCACACAGGAATGTAAAGTGCATATGAACAGACAGGGACAGGAAAATCAGGAAAGGAAACAAGAAAGAAGACTTCAGCAAAATCTCGTGTTTGCATCGCACAACGGGAGAGGTCACTCAACAGGGCTGCCTGGACATTGGCGTGACTGGGGATAGCTGGGTGCTTTGGTGATAAGATTGCGCGCTATAGGGACCCACATGCCAAAGAGCCAGGCCCATGCGACCCTTGATCAACACCGGATTGTAAGAGGCTGAGCCTCCATCCATCCCGCCCCGTCGTCGCTGCATTCACGAAGCTATCCTTGCTCTCCGTCGCCAGACCAATTGCTGCGAGCGACAAAAGTCCGAAACGACAAGAACTTGGGCCCACGGATCAGGCTTACGGGATCTTAGAGCACCTAAGACCCCCGGTTTCCCGTCTGACCAAATGGAATCGTCGCCGTTAGTCAAGGTACTGGCTCTGCTTGTCTTGCGCCTCGGCAGTGGCTCCTGCCTGCCCCTCTGGCTCGAGCGACCGGCGCATCCACTGACAGGAGGCTTACTGCTGGCAGGCACATGATCATGCCAGAGCAGCCGCTCTCGCGCATACCGACTCGACCGTCGCCATCAGCGAACATGCGCTCGCCGCCGGCGAGTTCTCCAATGCGGCCAAGTCGACCACAAGCAGGGAGGCCCTGCGCACCCTAAAACTCCTCGAGGACCACCACAGAAGACTGTCGGATCTGCTGAAGCTGCCCCTCGACCGCCGCGCGTCAGGTTCCCCTCCCGAAAGTGCCTCACCGGAGCACGGCGATGCCGCCGAAAAGTCGCCCTCCGCGTCCGCTGCGGCACCGGATGGCACGGGTGAGAAGGCTGGCGCCGAGGGCCTGGCTTCTCCGCAGTCGTCCAGGGCCCCGACCGGCATCTCGTCTCAGCACCGCCGATACCCGCCGTCCCGTGAACTCTCGTCGTCCATCGCCAGCAATCTCGCCTCCGCGCGTGGTATTCGTTCGAAATATCGGGGCCAACCGCTTGCGCCCAGCATATCCAGCGAGTCGGCGCCCGGCAGCGTTGACGGGGCCGGGAACAAAGACGGAACGCGTTCCAAGATGCAGAACATGCTCGACCAGAAGGGGAAGCCGAGCTGGGTCCCCCCGGCGTCGGCCAGCAGCTCACGGGCGGAGAAGCGGGAGTTCGAACAGAAGCCACAGGCTAGTCCTGCAAGCGCGTCGAGTCCCGGAGACGAGGGCTACTCAAGATTCTACAACACGTTTGGGAGTCTCATCAACAGACTGTCCGCCCCGCTCGCCTTCGCAGGTCTTCCTCTGATCGCCGAGGAGTCGGCCCCCGAGACCAACTCCCCCGCCGAGCCGACGCCGGCGCCGAGGAAGCAGCATAGGACTTCAAAATCCCCACCATCCGCGCCAGCCGACCCCGACCTGTCTAGGATATACTCCAAAGCAACACTGCGGGCACTTGGCCGCGACGGCCACGGCCCCAATGACTCTTTCTACTTTGTTCCAGCCACAGGGGGCACAGTTTCGTACGCCAACATTCTCAGCTTCGACCAGAAGGAAAGGCGTCGCATTGCAGCATCTGTCCATGGCGGGGACGACAGTGACATGATCGATGATGTCGACGACGACGACTTTGCAGACGCCAGGGAGCTGCATGCCTCCATGTCTCCCGGCGTCAAGAAGCGCGTGGGCAGAAATCAGTCGTCCAAGGACCTGCAGAACGCCGTGGAGGAGCTGTATCTGGAGAATAAGGGGTTGAAGGAGATGTTGGACAAGCTCAGCAAGCGGCTCCACGCGTTCGAGGCCAACGCACAGAACTCCCATCTGGTCCTACAGTCGAGCATGCGACTGATGCGCCCAGGCTCGCCGCTCTCGTCTAGCGGCAGTGGCGGGAAGAAGGAAGCAGCCGACGACGCCTTCGTGCGGAAGAGGAACAAGGAGCTAGAGGACGAGCTTGCGATGGTGATGAAAAGCCTGGATACGCTGGAACAGGACAATAACAGGCTCAAGAAAATCAACGGGCAATACAGGGACAGGTGGGAGGAGCTGAAGACCAAGGCCAAGGCAAAGCGTGCAGGGAAAGGATCAGGCACTGAAGCGGGTGACCCGTCGACATTATGAGATTTATCATAGCTAGAATGTACGCTTTCTGTGTAAACCCTGTGTGGCGAGGGCAATCAATCGTCTGGCTCCAAGCATCTGGTGCAACGCTACTCGCCCATGCTAGCAATCCTTTGATCCATAAGCTTCGCCATCTCGGCCTCCTGGTCGACGGCCATGTCGTCCGCCCCCCTCCCATTGCCGACGTTGGCGCCCCTCCTCTCCAGCTCCATCTCCACCTCCCTGCGCGTCAGCGCGCCCCTGGCCAGCCCGGGCGCGTCCTCCCTCTGCCTGCGCGCCCATCCCTCGAGGCTGCGGAGCCCGACGACGAGGAAGCCGAGCTCCTCGCGGTCGACGTCAAAGACCTCCCACCACTCGCACTCGGGCATCTTTGCGCCCACGTCGCGCGCGGCGTTGTACACGGCCGCGACGGCCAGGGCGCCCGGCTGGTGCGTCAGGTACAGCATCTGCGGCGACAGCAGCGCCGCGTTGAGGTAGGCGACGGCCCGGCGCGACACCTCCTCCTTGGGCCGCCCCAGGAAGTCGAGCGCCTGCAGGTACGTGACGGCCAGCGGGTGCGGCAGCGACACGTGCGTGTCGAACGAGAGCGAGTAGAGCATGCGGCCCTCGAGCGCGAGCACGCGCCCGTAGAAGGCGTGGTAGTCGGCCTCGGTCTGGTAGTACTGCGTCGGGTCGCTCTTGGGCGGGGGCGGCGCGTCGTCGGTGGTGGTGCCTGCGTCGGTGCGTCGGCGCGCGAGCGGCGAGGCGGGGGAGAGGAGGTAGGCGTAGACGTTTGTCACGTCGCGCGGCGAGCGCGGGAAGGCGCCGCACTTGGCGACTATGTAGATGGCGGCGGCCGAGACGTCCTGCGGTGGAGGAAAGGTGTTAGCGGAGCAGATGGGTGCGGCCCCGACCGGGCTTCTGAGGCAGCCGGGCAGGGCTGTACGGATGCTAGAATGCGGAATAGGCTTACGCTGAACTCATGCAGCATCATGGGCTCGACCAGCCAGAAACGCGCGATCAGCACGTTCGCCTGGGCCGTGGTGGACTGGGGCAGCTGGAGCAGCAGCCCGGCGGCCTGCGTCAGGCATTGCGTCGCAAAGAAGATGGCATCTAGGAGATCTGCGGGCAAAGCGCTCAGCGAACTCCGACGGTAGAGCTGCTCGGCGGTCGCCAGCGGGTTGGATAGAAGAGCCATGGTTTTGTTTGTGTGGCTGCATCGAAGCGTTCTCCCGTGCTGCTCTAGTCGTTTTCGCATGCATGTGGAAACCCCGTCTCACGTGCCACCCCAGACAACCCTTTCCTTTCATACGCAAAAGCAACCACCATGCTATCACCGTGTATTGCACTAAAGGAAAAATCTATGCTGGAATAGTTTGCAAGTAATTCCCGTATGTGCCGATGGAAGTCCTACTAAGGATGTATGCGATTTGGCGCTCCCTCGTAGCTTCCTCTTCTAGTTCTCTCAATCGCGACTTCCTGAACTGCCAATTATACTTTGTAATACCTGCGGTGCCTCCCACGCAGCTTCATATAACCTCCTCTTTTCTTCTCGCACTTCTCTCTCAGGTTAAGATCATCTCTCTCTCAGCTCTCTCCCAAACTTGATCCTCCATACCAACAGTCTAAACCTGGGGGTCTGCTTCAAAGCGTACTCACCGGGACCATATCGTGCCGCATCTAATTCCTTCGATTCTCAAGACGCCCATTTCTTTACTTCCTCAGTGTCTTCATCAATATCTACTCCTCGTCGCCTACCATTTCTGTTTCTAGACTTTTACCCAGAGAGACATCCTACTGTCTACTGCCTATTTACGGCGCGACCCAAATCTTTCCATCATTCATTTTTCAACCCGGAGTTCTGCATACAACCTGATAGGACTAGCTGGTGACTATGGCGGAGCTGGCCAGTACCGAGCCTGGCGCTATGGACGCGATGATAGACGAGACGTCAGCCCCAAATGACTCCTCTCACCAAGACCGTGGGATCGCCGATGACACCACGGGCGACCATGCCGAAAGCCCGGCTTCTTCTCACGAGCAGCCCACTCCGGGCTTAGAGAGCAGCAGCCAGCCCACGATGAACCTGGAGCCTACAGACGTCGATACCGAAGGCCGAATTGACCGGTGCGGCTCTCCCAAGAACCCGGCTTCCGCTGACGGAGAACCCACGATGAACCAAGAGCCTACAGACGTCGATACCAGAGGCCAAATTGACCAGCATGATCTTCCCAAGAACCCGGATTCCGCTCACGGAGAATCCACAATGAAGCTGGATTCTACAGACGCCGGTGCCGAAGATCACATTGACCAGCGCGATCCTCCCAAGAGCCCGGCTTCCGCTCACAGAGAGCCCACGATGAACAATGACCCTGCAGGCGTCAACCAAAGCGGCTTGTCGCGGCCAGAGCCTCAGGACAAGCGCAACATTCTGTCTGACATATGCAGCGAGAATTCACTTGAAGTCTTGGAGAGGAGTGCTGAGGTCGGCGTGGCCTTGCTCAAAGATCTGAGGAGGCACATTGCTGACATCGACACTGAGCCCGGTCGAGAGTACCTCCAATCGGTCGACAAACTTTCTCAATCTGCCCAGAAGACTCGCTTCGTTGTCGGCATCGTCGGAAGTACAGGCGCGGGCAAGAGTTCGGTCCTAAACGCGATCCTCGATGAAGAGCGGTAAGGTCCGAACTATATTGTCTTGTGTCAACTGCAGCTAATATGTCTACTTAACAGCCTGCTCCCCACCAACTGCCTCAGGGCCTGTACTGCTTCCCCGACCGAAGTTTCCTACAACCATTCACAGAACCCGGTCCAGCGGTACCGAGCCGAGGTCGAGTTCATCTCAGCTCATTCCTGGACCAAGGAGCTTCGGACTCTCTATGGAGATGTCCTTGATGGCGATGGCAACATTGCCGATACCCTGGATGGCGAGGCAAAAGTTGCATTTGCAAAGCTTCACGCTGTCTACCCAGAAAAGACCAAGGCCGATCTTGCTCGATGTAAGCCGGGGAATCTGGCATCTGAGCGGCCGGTCCGTGACATCTTGGGGACAATGAGGTCTTTTGGCGGTGCCAGCGCGGAGGAACTGTATGACCAGATTCGGTTGTACGTCGATTCGAAGGAGAAATCCGGGGCTAAGAGAGGCAAGAAAGCAGCCCCCCAGCATGCGGCACCTGCGATGGAATTCTGGCCTTTGGTCAAGGTCGTCCGGATCTTCACAAAGGCTTCCGTTTTGGAGACTGGCACAGTCCTTGTGGACCTGGTAAGTTTTTGGGCTCCCATTTGCAGCCACGCATCACTACCATGCTTTGAAACTTTCTCTGACTGGACTTAGCCTGGCACCCAAGATTCGAATGCTGCTCGCGCAGCAGTCGCCGAGCGCTACATGAAAGAGTGCAGTGCTCTTTGGATCCTCGCGCCCATCACCCGTGCAGTCGACGATAAATCTGCGCGGAACCTTTTAGGCCGGGCGTTCCGTCGCCAGCTCAAGTTTGATGGCACTTACAACGCCGTCACCTTCGTTTGCTCCAAGACCGATGACATCTCGATTTCGGAAGCTGTCGAAAGCCTTGACCTCCACGAACAGATGGCTGCGGCATCTTGTCTCAAGAATGAGCTCGAGATTGAGTTGCAGACAGCCAACGACAATTTCGGCATCAAAAATGGCGACAGAGATAGTCTCGATGAGAAGTCGGAGGAGCTTGACGAAGAGATTGAAACATGGGAGAATCTGGCTGAGCAGAGCTCTCACGGCCAAAAGGTATACGCCCCTGCGTCTCGCAAGAGGAAGCGCGCGGTGGAACCATCACGCGCACGCAAGAAGTTCGCTTCACTCGACAGCGGCGATGAGGGTTCGGATTCCAACGCTGGGGACGACCTCGAGGATGAGCGTCAGGGGAACAAGCCTCTAGATGGGCGTCAGATCGCGGAGAAACTCTCCTCACTGAAGTTGCAGTCCAAGGACTTTAGGGCTTCCAGAAAGAGGCTGACCGTCGAGATCCATGAACTGAACACCAAAATCAATGACCTCACCGCTCGCCTGAAAAACTTCGACATGGAGGAGATGGCTGCATGCATCAAGGGAAGAAATGATTATGCCAGAGATGCGATCCAGGAGGACTTTGCCGAAGGCATCAAGGAGTAAGTCGGATACCACGAGGACCTACTATCTTGGGTCGTGGAATTATAACTGACCATGACATCCCTTAGACTGGACCAAGAGGCGATGGTCGGGGAGCGGGGAAAGTCCTTCGACCCTGGTCTCAAGGATAAGGACTACAGCGCTCTGGGCAGAGCTCTGTCTGTCTTCTGTGTGAGCGCTCGCGCTTACCAGCACCTCTGCGGCAGACTCACAAAAGACAAGATCAAAGTACGTGGGTTCGCGGACAAGGAAGCGACGGACATCCCGCGTCTCCGAGAGTATGCTCGTGCACTGTCCTCGGCGGCGAGAGTCAGCCAATGCCGTCGCTTCCTCAGCGACCTGGCCCAGGTCATCAATTCGATGCATCTCTGGATAGCGCCGCAATCAATGGAACAGCTAGGTCTCGAGGCCGAAGCCATCCAGGATCTTCTGGACCAAGGAATGCAACGACTCCGTCAGGTACGTACCACATCCCCCCCCCCCCCACATTAGTTTCTACCTTGACCTCAATTGTATTTTGCACCGTATTTAACGTGCCAGAAATGCACAGTCCTTCGACGCGTCGGTTCGGGAGTGCGCCAGTTCCATCTCCCATTTGCTGTCGGAGCGCATCGCCAACGGCTTCAAGAGGAGGATTCCAGCGGCGGTATCCAGTGCAGTCGATAAGGCGCGATCGTGGGGGGGACCCAAAAACCGGGGCGGGATGGCCTTTGGGACTTACAGAGCGACAACCTGTCGAAGTGGCGTTTTCGAGAGCAGGTCTGCTGGACTCAAGAACCTCAACTTGGATCTGCTCCAACCGATAATGGGGCCTCTCGCACCATCTTAGGAAGATGTGTTCCAGAGCCAAGTTCCCGAGATCTTGAGCAAGTTCGCCCGGGACGCGCAGACGGCTGTGTGCGAGTTCCACGACCGCATGTGCCAAGAGACGGGAATCCCCCCCACCGGTGGAATCGCCAATCTCCTCGACAGCCAGCTACAATTGCACATCCAAAAGATGGCTGATGTGTCGGAGGTGGTCGGGGAAACTATCACGAAGGAGCAGCGGGGGCTCAATCGGAGCCTGGAACCCATAGTCGTCAAGAAAATGCGCCCTGCTTACAACGGGTGTGCTGCGGAGAGTGGTAAGTAGAGCTATGCTTCCTTGCTCCGCTCGAGCTATTTTTGCCGCTGACCAACTCCTCGCTCGATAGGAATCGGCATGTTTGTACGCATGAAATCGCTCGTGGAGAATCATGTCGTGTCTATCCGAAACCAGGTGTTCAGGGCAGCTTTTAGTGCTCTAAACAGGGATCTCGTCAAGCTGGCCCGCAGCATCGCCTCGGCCCTCAAAGAATCGACCGATGATACTCTCGTCAAGGTGCACAGAGACTACAACTCAGCCTTGCTGGAGAACCAGGCAGAGACCTTCTCAGAACTGGCAAACATTCTCAGCCGAGTGAATACCCGGTTCGCACAGTCCACCTTGACTAGCTCGGCTCCGGGCCTCGAATCCGGCAGCATCGCCAAATATGAGTCGGAAGACGACAAGGGTGATTTGGGAGGTGCTGGTATCAAGATGGAGAACTAGGAGTGATCTGCTCTGAATCCCCTAGTCGAGAATTCCCGCCATTATTTTCGCGTTCCCACTGCAGTTTGATTTTATTGCTCACCTCATCTTCTGGGATTATTTGCCATTTGTTTTTGCATCTAATCTTTTACCGTTTCCCTCATCACAACATTCTACCTGGTATTTCTGATTTACATTTTGCTCCAGCGGCCCCCATGATCTGGGCAAGTAGCTTTTCGAGCTGTTTCGTATCATGGACTCCACATTCTCTACGCCCAACCCAATCCACGCATGCTTATGATTTCTTTTATTTTTTTTCTCGGTTTCCTTTATGAGATTCTCCTAAGGCTCTGATCAACACAGTGGTCTGTATCGCCTTGGGCTAGGGTCTGAGTTGAATGGGGCATCGGATCAAACGGGTCATTCGGGCTGGAATATTGACGATCTCGCAACTGAGTACCCTGGGAGTCTTGATACGTCCCCTCGCAGCAGAGGAGCTCTTAATTATTTGCCTTGCTTTCCGTAGATCCATAGCCAATACAAAGCTCCTTACTCGGAAATCTCCTGCCAGGGAGCTACTAGTAGAAGGCTGGACTAGGAGACCAGGGGCATTAGCCGCTCAAGAGTGGCCCGAGATCTCCTTGGCCCTGTACAGCTCCTCCAGGTATTTGGTTTCCTCCTCGGTCAGGACCTTGCCGCGCGCGCTGATGGCCTGCTCGATGCGCTCGAGGCTGCTGAAGCCGATGATGGGGCTCGACACCTTGGAGTTGATCCAGGCCAGGGCGACGTGGCTCATGGGCCAGCTGTGCTTTTCGGCGAGCTCCATGACCCGCTTGATGATGCTGAGGTCAGGCTCGACGGTGCCATGGGCCCCCGGCGCCATGGACCGTTCCTCCTTGCTCCGCGCCGTCGAGCCGTAGTCGGTCGGCGGCCGGGCCAGGTTGCCGCGGCAGAGGGGCGCCCAGGGGATCAGGCCGACGCCCGTCTCGTTGCAGAAGCGGTTCATCTCGCGTTCCTCTTCGCGGTACTTTTGGGCGGGGAAGTGTTTTTTTTTTTTAGCATTAGCTCTTGTCGTCATAAGGCAGGTAGGTACTGACGGTCCTGTGCAGACACGAAGTAAGGTCACTTACCAAAAGGTTGTACTGGTTCTGCATGCTGACGAACTTGGTCCAGCCGTTCCTCTCGGCGCAGAACTGCATGGTGGCGAGCTGGGTCGCCCACATGGAGCTGGCGCCAATGTACCGGACCTTGCCCATCTGGACCAGGTCGTGCAGGGCCTTCATGGTCTCCTCGATGGGCGTCTTGGGGTCGAAGCGGTGGATCTGCAGCAGGTCGATGTAGTCGGTGTCGAGCCGGCGGAGCGAGGCCTCGACCTGGTTGAAGATGGCGGCGCGGGAGAGGCCGTGTTGGTTCTGGTAGTCCTTGGACCTCGCGATCGGGTCCCTGACCAGGTACGCCCGCAGCTCCGGGTCCTCGCCGACGGCGAAGAAGCACTTTGTCATGATGACGACCTTGTGGCGCGGGATGTTGTACTTTTTGAGCGCCTTGCCCACGATGGTCTCGGACGTCCCGTTTGAGTACATGTTTGCCGTGTCCCAGGTGTTGAGGCCCCTGTCGTACGCGGCTTTGAGCAGAGGGAGAGCCTGTATAGGTTGATGGTTAGCTTTTTTGTCCCCAAAAGTTGCCAGTATCATTGAGGCCTTCGCTTAGTGACAGGAGGCAAAGCCGGTCGGACGGCCAGGGGGAGTATGACTCACCTCATCTTCTCCAATTGCCCACGAGAGCGTCTTTGGGTCTCCAAAGCTCATACAACCAAAGATTGGCACCGAGATGCTAAGCCCACTCTTGCCGAGGGTACGATACTCGCACTTGGAGTTCTCCACCGACTCTGCGAGCCCCTTGGGGATAATGGGAGCGGACATCCTGAGTGCCTGATTAGTGCGAGATTTTAAGTTGTTATGCTGGTGGACAGTGGTCTGATACCATCAAAGTTGAGAGCTGGTGGTTGAACTCACGTCGTGCCGCAGTGTCGAAGGGATGGGGTTTATATGCCTGGGCGGGTGCGGGGTCGAGGGCTCCAGTTTCCATCTGCACAAGCACACTGTATTCGTCCATGGCATCCGATATCATGCTGTCGGATCTTGTCCCCCATTAACACCGCTAAAACCGGGTGCGGTTGGGACGTATGTATGACTAGGACCGAACACCCAATATCAAGCTAAAACTTGACCACTCTTGGCAGCCCACCACCTTTTAACTGCGAATGGCACAGCTTATATCCGAAAACGTGATGTCAGCAACGCTAAATTATAACTGCCGCACAACGCATCTCGGCCCGAAATCCTTGAGCCCAACCTCCTCAGCGGTATGCTGGAAAAGGGAGTAGATCGATACTACTTTCCTGATCAGGCACCCCTGAACCGCGGTCGACTGGCAGCAGGAATATCACGGGATAAATCTCGTGCCGATTTCCGTCACTCTCTGGCGGCTTCCCCCATCTGCCCTGTTGGGCACTTGGACGAAATCTGAATACGGGCAGCTGTCTGTTGGAACCTTCGATAGACACTCGCATGTGGGTGTCATAATAGTTTGAGCCCAAAGAATTGCAGTAGAGCATATGACACGCTGAACCGGCAGCTACAAGGCTTTCGACTGTCCTTCACCTCAACCACAGTTCGGCTCCTCTCGGCTGGCGTCTGGTGCCTGCGGCGAGCCTCCATATATGCCACCATCAAGAATAACGCTCTCGTTGTCATTGAGATCGTCCTGAACCCTCCTCCAGCGCGTGGCCTTGTCCTTCCTGCCCTCCAGCTCGACACCCTTCCCCTTTGCGTCGTAAACCGGCTTGATGAGATCCTTGAGCAGCGGGTTGCGGCTGAAGGCCCCGCCGCCCGCGACCCTATTCCCATCTAGCTCTCCTAGGACCCCAGAGGCCGCGGCGCCGGCGTAGTCTGGCACTGCGGGCGTGTCGTCGGGGCTCGGCGGCCTCTCAGTGGCAACCATCTTCTTGACGACCTTGCCGCCGGCCAGATCGATACTGAGCACTTGAGTCCGCTTCTCATATTCTGGCCGGGCGTTCCACTCCATCTCGCGCAGGAGCTTCTGCTGTTTCTTGAGCTCCCTCGCCCTGTCCTCCGGCGTCGCCCACATGCTGCCCACCATGGAGACGTCAAAGTCGCTCGCCTCGTCGCGTACCGTGGTCCGCTTGGCGTTCTGCGCCTGAAATGCCAGCAGCTTGTCTCGGTGCTCCCTTGCTTTCGCCTCCGCGGCCGCGACGGCCGGGTCCTCGCCCGGCCGAGACCCTATGTCCTCGTTTCTGGTGCCCAGAGGTTTAGAAAAGGGGCGCGCCGTCGTGGTGACGTCGGCCCTCTTGTTGGCTCGGCGGTCCTCGGCCATGCGCTCCTTACCGCGCTCGAGCTTCAGCTCCTTGATCATGGCCTGCACCTCGGCCGGCGACAACAGCGAGGCTCCGCAGAATGTGCACGGGCCCAACCCTTCCTTGAGGCAGACTACTTTGCCGCAGCTGAGACAATTGGGCGCCGCCGTCTGTAGCGGGTGCCGCGCCGCAACGCAGTTACATCGGCGGGCGGTGTTGTCACCGTCGCCGCCGAGTGTAGGGTTTGTAGTGATCTCAAGCGCCCGTATTGCCGCATCGAGGTCTGAGATGGCCGTTGACGCCCCGTGCATTGGCGTGCCGCCTGTGATGACTACCTTGGTGGTGGCATTTTGGTTCTTTGGTTGCGGCGCAGGTGTGGAGGATCGGCTGCTGGAGTTGGACTTCGACTTGCGCTTGGGCACGGGGAGCAGGTCCGAGACTAGGGAGCCCGAGGCGGACGGGGGCGGCTTTGGAGGCGGTGCTACAGCAGATGCTTTGGGAGAGGGCTTCGCCGAACCGGGTCGCTGGGCCGGGGTCGATGCGCCAGATCTACTCGAGATGTAATCGTCCTCGAAATCCTTCTTGCTGTACGACGTACCCGGGCCGATACCGGTATTGGCGACTTGGCGCGGTGCAGGAGTATGCAGTGCTGCTTTCTTCTTCTTCTGGCCCCTTTGGGGCTTCAGGACTGCATCAGTCTCGCCAGGTCGAGCTGTGACTTGCGGTTGGCTGGGTGCCACGACTGTTGGGTCTTTTCGTCGACCGTTGAAGGCGGATATAAACTCAATGGCCTGGGGTGCGTCGCCGAGGAGGTTCTTGAAGTGCTCGGCCGCCTCTTGTTTGGAAAGCGTGAGGGCATAGTCAAGGACTTGCTGGAGGTCTGGCTCGGGGAGGTCTATCAGCCTCGACAGCTGGATGAGGGACATGTTCACTCTCGGTTTGCGCAAGCTTCAAGACGAGACCTGATATACCGGGATCTATTGCCTGTGGTGTAGGATCTTTATGGTGTTTTGTTGGAGGGAATGATTGAAGATGGCACAGGATGACGCGAAGCAATCATGGATGGATGTTTGCTTAGTGGGGTCCAGGGACTGGGGATGCTGGGCTTTGGCTTGGGGCACCCCCACAGCGCACTGACAGGCACTCTCAGCCCCGGCACGACTCCTCAGTTGGTGAGCAGGGGTGCTCGAAGATCAAGCCCCTTCATCCTGAGGCACAGATGTTGAGAAGCAGTAGGATGGACTAGATCTATCTTCATTTATAAGATGCCTACCTACTTGTAGCAGCCCGAGCATACAAGACATCATGCCGTTCTCGGCGTGGCCAGGTCCAGTCATGGCGGTTCGGCTGACCGTGACGAATCTCAACGGCTGTGCAGCCCCAGCCGTTTGGGCACAGAACCAATAAAGATCCGTGCTTGAGAATCGAGAAAGCCACGGGCTTCGGAATGGGAGGTAGAGACAAGTATATGACGTAGGCGTAGAGACATATGTAAGGGTCGCTCTGTAGGGTGAGGGCATTCAGCGTATCTGTCATTTTTGAACAGATGGGGACTCTTGAAATACAAATCAGAATCAGAGTAAGGCCTCAACACTTAGCTGTAAGCCAGCGCCTAGGGCCTGATGCTGCCCAGAGCCGAGGACCAGGATATGCGACGCACGTACAAGGGCTCCTGCCCTGGGCGGAATCCTGCGTCATCCGCTTGTGTTGTCCGGACATGGAGGCAAGGGACTCAATTTGCTGCACCAAGATCCAGGCCATCCACAAGCCAGGCCCGTGCGCACAGCCCCAGACTCTACCCCGAAGCTTTCGCCGGACATCCACGAAAAGTACAGATCGCATTGATGGGACGCAGAGCTTGCAGCTTTAAAAATAAAACCAGGCCCAGCACGCGGCTCAACGTCTTCCCCCCACCACGCACAACAGAGCCTCGACTGCCGTGTCGCCATCTCGACACGCAATGATCTTGTCTCTGTCCTCGATACCTTAGCTACCCAACCAACGACAGGCATCTGCGAGTCTCGACACAAGAGCGAACGCCGCACTCGGCCGAGCCGACCATGGCGCCCTCGCCGCCGCCCCTGGTGGACAATGTCCAAATCCGGCACGCACAGCTGCTGAGGCCGCTGCCTCTGTACTCCCACGCATACGTCTGGCCCTTTGCCATCGCATGGCCCATCTTCCTACGCTTCTACCTCAGCACAGACCTGTACGACAAGTACATCGGCGCCCCGGAGTGGACCTTCGTGTGGCTCGGCACCATCATCACCTTCCAGAGTCTGGCCTGGCTGAGCACCAAGTGGAGTGTCAACATCAGGGCGCTCTTCACCGCGGCCAAAAGCAAGTCCGTCGAGGATGCGCAGCTGATCAAGCTGATCCCCATCTCTAATGCCGGTGCCGCCGACATTTGCAAGATCGAACGCGACAAGGTACGACTCCCTCGCCTGCTGCAGTCTCTTTTGATGATATCAGTCTCCTGTTGCGCGGATCACACCCTTGGGGCTCAGTTCGCCGGCCAGCAGCCGTTTGAGCGTCTTATACTAACACGCTGGCTTTGATGACATAGGTTGGAGGCAAGAACAATGTCTCGTTCCTCTTCCAAAAACGCCGGTTCCTCTATGACCCCACCCAGAAGTGCTTCAAGACTCTCAACTACGACATTGATGCCGAGCCAAAGCCAAAGCTGGAAACCTTCCAGCTATCAAAGGGCATCACGACAGCTACCGAGTTGACTCGGATCGAGCAGCATTATGGAACCAATACTTTCGACATCCCCGTCCCCTCCTTTACCGAGCTCTTCCAGGAGCACGCCGTCGCCCCCTTCTTTGTCTTCCAGATCTTCTGCGTCGGCCTGTGGATGCTGGATGACTACTGGTACTACTCGCTCTTCACCCTGGTAATGCTCGTGGCCTTCGAGAGCACCGTCGTCTGGCAGCGCCAGCGCACGCTCACCGAGTTCCGCGGCATGAGCCTCAAGCCCTTTGACATGTGGGTCTACCGGCTGGGCAAGTGGGGTGAGGTCCCGAGCGATAGGCTTGTTCCGGGTGACCTGGTGTCGGTTTCGAGGACCAAGGACGACAGCGGTGTCGCTTGTGACATGCTTCTTGTCGAGGGTACCGCCATTGTCAACGAGGCTATGCTCTCGGGGGAGAGCACGCCGCTGCTGAAGGAGTCGATCCAGCTTCGCCCCGGCGACGCGGAGCTCGAGCCCGAAGGCCTGGACAAGAACTCGTTCCTTTGGGGCGGTACCAAGGTTCTGCAGATCTCGCATGGTACGGTCGAGGAGACAAGGCCTAAGATTGCCTCGGGCGTTCCACGGCCGCCCGACGACGGAGCCATGGCGATCGTGACCAAGACGGGCTTCGAGACGTCTCAGGGAAGTCTTGTGCGGACCATGATCTACTCCACGGAGCGTGTCTCGGCCAACAACGCCGAGGCCTTGCTCTTCATTCTCTTCCTTCTCGTCTTCGCGCTGGCTGCCTCCTGGTATGTGTGGGACGAGGGTGTCCGCAAGGACCGCAAGCGTTCCAAGCTGCTTCTGGACTGCATCCTCATCGTCACCAGCGTTGTGCCACCCGAGCTTCCCATGGAGCTCAGTCTCGCCGTCAACACCAGCTTGGCCGCCCTCGCCAAGTTTGCCATCTTCTGCACCGAGCCCTTCCGCATCCCCTTCGCCGGTCGTATCGACATTGCCTGCTTTGACAAGACGGGCACTCTGACGGGCGAGGATCTCGTTGTTGAGGGCATCGCTGGCCTCGGACTCGGCCACTCTGGCACTGACACTCCTCGCGAGTCCGACGGCGCCCATAGCCACATGACGCCTGTTAACGCCGCGGGTATCGAGACGACCCTTGTCCTGGCTACCGCTCATGCACTTGTGAAGCTTGACGAGGGTGACATCGTGGGAGACCCTATGGAGAAGGCGACGCTGACGGCTCTCGGCTGGGGTCTTGCAAAAAATGACGCCCTCACACACAAGCCTACCGCCGCCGCCAACGGTGGCATCACGGGCTCTGTCCAGATCAAGCGCCGGTTCCAATTCTCTTCTGCACTCAAGCGCCAGAGCTCCGTCGCCACGGTTCACGGCAAGGATGCGACTGGGCGCAAGGTGCAGGGTACATTTGTCGGTGTCAAGGGCGCGCCGGAAACCATCATGAAGATGCTGGTAACGGTTCCCAAGGACTACGAGGAGACATACAAATACTTCACCCGCCGGGGCTCTCGTGTCCTGGCTCTGGCCTTCAAGCAACTTACTACGGACAGCGAACTGGGAGCATCCAAGATCAACGACCTCAAGCGGGAGTCTGTTGAGTCTGGCCTGACCTTTGCCGGATTCCTGGTTTTGCACTGCCCGCTCAAGGATGACGCCAAGCAATCTGTCCAGATGCTGAACGAGAGCAGCCACAGGGTTGTGATGATCACGGGCGACAACCCGCTCACGGCCGTTCACGTGGCCCGAGAGGTGGAGATCGTGGACCGTGACGTGCTCATCCTGGATGCGCCTGAGCATAACGAGGGCGGCAACGGCCTGGTCTGGCATAGCGCTGACGACAAGATCCACATTGATGCCGACCCGACAAAGCCCATCGACACCAAGATTCTCAAGGACAACGACATCTGCGTCACGGGATACGCCCTCGCCAAGTTTAAAGACCAGGCCGGCTTCAAGCAGCTGCTCCGGCACACGTGGGTCTACGCGCGCGTCTCGCCAAAGCAGAAGGAGGAGATCCTGCTTGGGCTCAAGGACATGGGTTACTACACGCTTATGGCTGGCGATGGCACCAACGACGTGGGCGCGCTGAAGCAGGCGCACATCGGAGTTGCTCTGCTCAACGGAACCCCGCAGGATCTGCAGCGCATCGCCGAGTACTCGAGGAACGACAAGATGAAGCAGATGTACCAGAAGCAGATCGAACTGATGCAGCGCTTCAACCAGCCCACGCCCCCTGTCCCCGTCATGATCGCCCACCTGTACCCGCCTGGACCAACCAACCCGCACTACATGAAGGCCATGGAGCGCGAGGCGAAGATGAAGAACGTACCGGTGGAGGAACTAGTCAAGGCCAGCGGACACCCAATCGAGACGGTCACATCGCCCGGCGCGCAAAGGCTTCTCAAGCAGGACCCCCGTCAGGCAAAGATGGCCGAAAAGGCGGCCGGGCTCGCCGACAAGCTCACGGCTTCTATGATGGAGAGCGAGATGGACGACGGCGAGCCGCCTTCGCTGAAGCTCGGAGACGCATCGGTTGCCGCGCCCTTCACCAGCAAGCTCCGCAACGTCATCGCGATTCCCAACATCATCCGGCAGGGACGCTGCACCCTGGTGGCAACGATTCAGATGTACAAGATCCTGGCGCTCAACTGTCTTATCACGGCCTACAGTCTCAGCGTGTTGTACCTCGAAGGCATCAAATTTGGCGACGGACAGTACACCATCAGCGGCATGCTCATGAGCGTCTGCTTCCTGTCCATCTCGCGCGCTCGCTCCGTCGAGGGTTTGTCCAAGGAGCGGCCGCAGCCCAACATCTTCAACTTTTACATCATCGGATCCATCCTCGGGCAGTTTGCCGTGCACATTGCGACCCTGATCTTCATCGCCCGGTTTTGCGACAAGATTGCACCGTAAGTTTTTGGCACCTATTTCATGGCGCCCTTGAAATCACTGGAACTATCTCTAACTCGCCAACTTGTTGCAGGCGCTCCGATAGCATTGACCTCGAGGCTGAGTTCTCGCCGTCTCTGCTCAACAGTGCAGTTTACCTGCTGCAGCTCATCCAGCAGATCAGCACGTTTGCCATCAACTACCAGGGCCGGCCCTTCCGCGAATCCATCTCGGAGAACCGCGGCATGTACTGGGGAATCATTGGAGTCAGCGGCATCGCCTTCTCGTGCTCTCTGGAGCTGATCCCGGAGCTGAACGAGCAGATGAAGCTGGTTCCCTTCACGGCCGAGTTCCGCCAGACGCTAACCACGGTCATGGTGGTGGACTACGCCGCGTGCTGGATCATCGAGGTGGTGTTCAAATACCTCTTTAGCGACCTCAAGGCGCGTGACATTGCTGAGCGCAGGCCCGACCAGCTTGAGCGTGAGCGCGTCCGCAGGGAGGCGGATCTCAAGATCAAGATGGAGGAAGAGGAGAAGAAGCGGCTGGAGCAGGTGGAGGAGTACGAGCGCAAGATGGAGGCCAAGAAGAGGCAGCTGGCAGAGCGGTGGGGAGTCGAACTGCCCCCCGCAAACCAGGCTGCAGGTGGCCGGTAGGCCAGGTGGCTCGTCATTATTTTTCTGTTGTACTCATCTCCAGACTTCATGTTGCCGCACCCTAAAGCCACAGCCCCGGCCTCGCGGCCCATAGCGCGGGTGGGTGGACCAGGGCAGCACCTCTCGACTCTTTTTTGTGACTGGTCTTCATACATAGACTAGACTATCTGTTTTTGGTGATTTCGTACTGGTTCACAGCAGCAAACTTGTAGATATCAGGTAGCATGTCTTTGGTTGGTCGTGAATGGCCCTCTATAACAGCCTCGAGATGTTTTTATGTGCCTGCCTACCGACCAGCCTGTGCCAGTTGTGGATACTGTGTTTTTGGCCTTGTGGGTTCGAGACGGGTTTCGTCACGTTGAGCACAGACAACGCGCATCCCCGCACCGTCTTCAACCCCTCCATGCTGGATGGCAGCGCTTTTTTGAGCAGTTGATATCGTTGAGAATACAGTGAAAAGAACGTAGAGGTGAAAGTGGAAACTTGAGGTTCATTTTCTGTATGGTACACGACGAAAAAGATCGTCTATCATGGGGCTTTTGCTTTTTTTCCAGGCCTTTGGTTTTGGGCCAGTCGCAAGATCTAAAATGCTGCATCCGTACCCATGCTCTCTCATGCCCCGCCTGCCCCGCCCAGTCACGAGCTCAAGACACCCAAGTTGGTTCCAAGGTCGACGTCTTCAGTCGAAATTTTGGTAACACCACAAGTGGTACCCCGTCAGAGTGGGCGCGCGGTCGCCCGTCTTTTGGTAGAGGCTACAGATAACAAGGGTTCCCGCACTTATTTGCCGGGGTTGGAGGCGACAAAGGCAACGCCCTTCTCAATGTTCTTCTTGAGGTCGACGAGGCAGGCGTCGATCAGCTTCTGCTCGGCGGCGTCGACGTTGCCGATGGGGTGGATCTTCTCGACGCCGTTCGGGCCGAGCTCAACCTTTGAGCTGAAGAAGTCGATGCCCTGGTCCTTGTAGAGGGGCGAGTCGACAAAGGTGGGCTCGACGACGCCCTTCTCGCCCTGGGCGGCGCGCAGGACCGACTCGGCCATGCGGGCGCCGGCCATGGCCATGGACAGGGTGGCGGAGCCGGCACCCTCCTTGGCCTTGACGACCTCGTCGCCGCCGAACTGGACGCGGTTGATGAGGGCGGCGTCGGACGAGAGTTCAGGGTGGCTGCTCTGGCTCAGGAGCGGCACGATGGTGACGCCGCTATGGCCGCCGACGACGGTGACCTTCTCGTCCTTGGGGTCGGAGCCCTTGATCTCGGACACGAAGCGCGAGGCGCGCACGACGTCGAGCGTGGTGACGCCGAACAGGCGCTTGGGGTTGTAGACGCCACGGGCCTTGAAGATCTCGGCGCAGATGGGCACGGTGCTGTTGACGGGGTTGCTGATGACGAGGATGTTGGCCTCGGGGCACGACTCGGCGCACGCCGTGGCCAGGTCGCGCACGATGGAGGCGTTGGTGTTGAAGAGGTCGTCGCGCGTCATGCCAGGCTTGCGGGGCACGCCGGCCGGGATCAGCACAACCTCGGCGCCCTTGAGCGCCGCGGCCAGGCCCGAGGGGGTGGGGTCGTAGCCCTTGACCGAGGACTTGGTGTTGATGTGCGAGATGTCGGCGGCGACGCCTGGGAGGAGGTGGGGGAGTGTTAGTAGGTTGGAGGGATTTGGGAAGCGAGGAGAAAATGACGCACCAGGTCCGCCGCGGATGTCGTAGAGAGCCAGCTCAGAAACCCTGGGGTTCAGCTTCAGGAGCAGCGACAGCGGCTGGCCAATGCCGCCGGCAGCGCCGAGGACGGTGACCTTGGAAAGCTACAAGTCCCAACACGGCCAGTGTCAGTGCCAACTAGTTCCATGTACAGGGTCTGTTGCCCCGACAAAGGCTGCAAGGCGGGATCAAGAGGCAGCCCTCTCCGACGCCGGAACGACTGGGCGGGCCAAGATGACATGGTTCAGCAGCACGTACGTTGCGGACCGAGGCCGAGAAGGCCCTGGTCTGGATCCTTGAAGCAGCGAACATGATTGTTTTGTGTGGGGTTGTTTGTGAGGAGGTGGTCCTGCGAGATCGACTCGGTGTGATGGGGGAGGTAATTGGGAAACGGGGCTCCTGCTTGTGCTTAGCACGAGAGATATTTCAGATGAGAAGGGAGAAAAAAAAAAAAGTCGTGAGCGTGAGGCCATCTGGTCCGGTTGGCCGGAAAGGAGCTAAACCTGGAAGGTGGATACGGCTTGGCCTTGAGAGTGCGACAAGGGTGGCACGGACTCGGTGTTTAGTGCGAAGAGAGTCGGGCCCTAGGCTTAGGTGCCAGCTTAGGTGCCAGGTTTAGGGCTCGTGGTTGGTATTGAAAGGCTCCTTCTAGTTTAGACCCGTGACGGAATTGGGATTGGCTGCTGACGTAGAGGGAGACACGTCTTGCGTTTTACAGTGACCAATCTGTGTACAGGACTTCACAGGGAATTTCCAGGTTGTCGGTAAACTCTGCCGCGCAGCCGAGAGATGGTTCATTCTTGGGGTGTTGGCCTCGACTCTCACTGTCTGGCTAACTGCTAAGAAAACCACACCAAGGACCGACCAGTCCAGCCCAAGGCTTCTCAGCTGCCGGCTTGGTCCGAGAGGTACATCACACGCTCAAAAGCAAACATGTCCTTGAACCTGCAGAACTCGGGCGGCCCAAGCTCGAACTCGACCGGCAGCTCGTTGAAGTGCGATTGCACGAGCGCCCTCAGCTCCCTCTCCTGATCGGCCGTCAGGTGCCGCAAAAGGTACGCCACGCTCAGGTGCATCCCGTACCCCTCGTGTCCCGGGTGCCGGATCATCAGCAGCCCCGACAGGCGGTCCCTCAGCCCCCTGATCCTGGCCTCCTCCTCCCCGTCCTGCGGCCGCAGGGTGAGCCCGATGCCGACCTCGAGCGGGTCGACCCCGGCCACCTGGACGCAGTACGGCGGCGGCGCGTTGGCGCCGCTGGGTAGCTCCAGGGGCCGCAGCTTGCGCTCAAACAGCGCGTCGCACTCGGCAAGCGTCGAGTCCAGAGCCAGGTCCGACGGCCAGAAGCCCGGCTTGCGCACCTGGTCGCAGACGCCCTCGAACACCGTCATGTGCCAGCTCGGTGGCGGGAGCAGCGTCATTAGTCCCGCGAACGGGCTGTGCTGCAGCTTGACGTACAGGACCAGCAGCGAGTCGTAGAGTTCGCTTGACGGCGAGAGGTGGCAGAGGATGGTGTTGCCTGGGAAGGGCTGCACCTTGCCGTCGGGGTCGAACTTGCCAGGCACGCCGGCGGGGAACTCTGGGCGGGGAGCGCCGCTCGAGGCTACCCCCTGGGACTCTTTAGTTTCTAGGTCGGCCATACTCTGCTAAGACGCCCGTGATCTTGCTATCCCTTGCCTTCTCGCTTGACCTGGCTGATGGCAGAACTGGGCGATACTGTCGAGAACCCCGCAGTTGGAGTTGGGTTGGACGACATTCAGCTCGGGCTGGGGGTTTGCATTTATCTATTGGTTGTGATCCCTGTAGCTCTGCTTCGGCTATATTCATTGGACGAGAGCTCCGTGCTCGTTCCTGGGCTATGGAAGATGGGGTTGTCATGCAAGCAGCAACGACACAACTGCAGAGCCGGCTGCAGTTACTGCTCCCCCGTCCATGATCCCGTGGACATAACCATCTCCCACGAGTTTGTACGCCGGCCCGTACTCTGTACTCACGGGGCCCTCTTCGTCAACCATCCGCCTCAGGATCACCGGGACCCTGGCTCCAGGCAGGATAAACACAGAGTCGCCCACCCACAGATTTGACGCGCCCAAGCCCAAGTACCCCCTTTCCGTCAAGAACAACTTGCGGCCCATCAATCCAGGCGAGATGGCGTTCACCATGTCCATCGTGCGCGTGTCCGTGTTGAAGTTGCCCGTCTCCAGGCTATGAAGGAAGTCCTCAAATGACAAGCCTGGCCCGGCCGCACTCCTGGACTCCTGCGCCTCTTGGAGCGTCTTGAATGACATGCAGGCCTCCTCCCGCTCTATGGACGTCGACAGCACCCGAATGTCGTCCCCGGATGCTCGCTGCAGCAGCCTGCCTGGGCCCCAGCCATGGTCCAAGCAGAGCGTCCGCCACCACGCGTCGGCCCAGGTGCCGCCCCCCACGTAGGCGTCGCTCTGGGGATCCCGCGCTCTGGATCTGACCAGGTTCCTCCAGTGGTAGAACATGTCGGCCTTGGCCTCGTCGAAGATACTGCTCTGGTATTCACCCAGGCTGGCCGTGTCGGCCCACGCTGTTTCGTCGCCCGCTTCATCGTCTGACACTTCAGAGCTGTCCGCTTCCCAGTCCCAATCACCAAAGAGCGCGTCGTATGTGCGCGGCCAGACGGGCCGGCGCTTGGTGGCAAGCCTCGCCACGCGGTCGAACTCGATGCCCTGCAGCAGGAGCGTGTTGTCGTCGTCGACGTCAGCCGCGAGGGGGGCCAGGCCTCTACATGCGTTGAAGTTGGGCAGCCGCTGGTACCAGACCAGGTAGTTCCCGTTGATCTTCTCCACCGAGATGGCCGAGAAATCGACGGCCCACGATGGTATGAAGCTGCCGTGTGCATTGCATGCCTTGGGGAAATCGTTATATCTGCACCTGTAGCGAAACTCGGCGAACGACAGGCAGGTGAGGGAGCGATGCTCGAGTATGTGGGACCTGCACACTCGCGTATAGACGTCCGCCAGCTCCTCCCCGTAGTCAGGCTCGAAGCTCTCCGCCGCGAGCCCGAGCAGCGCAAACACGCGGTCGTGGTCGAGCCCCGAGTCCCGGTACATGAAGCGAAGGCAGAGCTCGAGGAGGGGCCTCTTGCGGCCGCGCTCGCGCCGCAGGCCCGCGACGTCGTTGATGCTGTCGAGGAAGCGCTGCACCGCGGTCTGCAGCAGCTTGGCCCCGACGCCGCCCGCCTCGTCGTGGCAGCGCCAGCACCCGGCGTGGGCCCGGCGCGCCGCCCGTGCCGCCGCGATGGTGTCGAGCGGCAGCGACGCGGTGCCGAACAGGACGCGCACCGCGGGGCCCAGCACCCCCTCCTGCACCACCCAGAGCCGGCCGAACCACCGCGCGGACCCCACCCTCGCGGCGAAGTCCGTCAGGCCGTCGATCAGGTCCCTGGTCTCGGCACCGCCGGCCTCCATGTCCGGCCGGAAGGGGGCTATCTCGCTGATGTGGCGCCCCTCGGCGAGCAGCCGGACGGCCCACGCGAGCAGGAACGACAGATGGGCGATCGTGATGCTGCCCGCGTAGGATGTCGTCGTCGTCGCCGCCGCCAAGCCCCCAGGCTCTCCGGGCGCCGACGCCTCCCCACCCGGGACCCCCAGCTGCCCGTCGGTGGCCGTCGAGTCAAACATGGACCGGTAGCCGTCCCAAAGCGGCCCAAAGTCGGCCGCGTCGCCCCGGAACCACCGCGCACTGTCCGGGCCCGCGTCGTGCTTGACGACCGACTGACGCTGCCACTCGTCCAGGAAGACGAGCACCTCGGCGCAGCCCGAGTAGATCCTGCCCATCATGCGCACCTGGCGCCCGCGCTCCTCCGCGTCGGCCTGATTGATGCAGACGGCGTCGACCCACAGCAGCTGCGGCGAGGGCGCGGCCCCCTCGCCGCCGGCGTCCCGTCCGAGGACGTGCTTGTTGTAAACACGCAGGCGGCGCAGGACCGAGAACAGGTTCCAGGTAATCAGCAGGGGCCTCCCGCAGAGCGAGATGCGGTATCGCCACATCTCCCCGGAGACGTCGTCTACGCCCCACGCGTACGAGACGGCGTTGTACCGTAAGGCATCCGAACTCTGCTCGGGGCTGCCGGCGACCTGAAAGTCAATCCTGATCGGGTCGTCCCACTCGCCGTCCTCGAGCTTCAGGAGGCGGATCTCGCCGGCATTGCTATCGACAGGAAAACTCCGAAAGACGTCAGTGGTGTTGAGGCTATTCTCGGCAAGAATCTCGTCTGCGGACCGGAACGCGAAAGCCTCGAAACCGGCAGTATCAGCCATGGCCCTAGTTTGGTTAAAGGCGTGGCGAGAGTGCAGGTTTGTTGGAACCGGCAGATGCATTGCTATGGAGGGTTGGACGGGTATGGCGCTTATGTGGTCATTTTCCAAGGCGGAAATGCCATTCTGGGAATAGCAGTGCTCTTGGTGTGTAAGCACCCTTAGGCTACAGTCGAAAGCATATCACAATTATGTTTATGTTATCGGTCGATAAAAAAAATCTTCATGCGGTAAAAGTTACGAAAGTACGAGAGAAAACAATATAACGGTTTCCGGGGTGCGTTGAAAAGAAAATTTATTTAAACGCTGGTGGTGGGTTTGGTTAGCAAAAAGCAACGCCTCCTTCCTTTCATGGTGTTTTTCCAATTTGAAGGAATTGCAAATGTATGTATTTAAACAATGCAAAACAAAAGATTTGGACAAACGGGGAATCGAACCCCGGACCTCTTCCATGCTAAGGAAGCGTTATACCACTAAACCATTCGCCCTGCTCGGTTGACGAGAAAGTCATGTCATTTGGAGTATTATGAGGGATTTTTTTAATATCCGGGTGGTGCAGGTTTCGACTGCCCCTGGAACCCACCAGGTGCCACGACCCGAGCCTGGACTGCTTCGGTCCGTCGACAACTCGATGGATACACAAATGCAACGCTTGCTTGTTACCAGCTTAGAGTTATTTTATAGCGGTTAACTGCGAAGTGTTTTTTTGGTATCAAAGATCTCATGGCCGAACCCAGAGAAAATGCTTCCTCCAAGGAAGAATCATTGACCAGATTATTTGCCAAACGCAAGAGGGCAGAAAACCTTCCCCCACTACTCCTTCCGCATGGCATGCCACTCCGCCGCCCGCCTACACTCCTAGACCTTCCTGGCGCCGTCCCCAATGGTTTCGATCCTCTGGTCGGCCTCGAAGCCCGCGGCCTCCTCCTTCTCCTGGGCTTGGGTGTCGCGGGCCTCGGCGTCGGCGTTGCCGTAGAGGCCGATTTTGTACCACGGCATCTCGAACAGCCTGTCCATGCTCTCGAGCGAGCGCCCGCTGGTCTCGGGCACCGAAACCAGCACCCAGATGCCTCCGAGGATGGTGATGGCGGCGAACGACCAGAACGTTCCCTTGGGCGAGATGCCGCCCTCCTCGGGCGACAGGAGCATGTTGGGGACGGCGCGGGCGTTGCCGAACTGGTTGACAAAGTGGAGCTGAAAAGCGGAAGAGCAAGCAGCTTGTTAGTCTCGGGCCAATTTGAAAACGGAGTTTATGTGCACATACCATCATGGCAAAGGACGTAGCCAGGGCCCTGATGCGCAGGGGGAACAGCTCGGCAGTAAGGAGGTACTGCATCGAGTTCCAGCCCAGAGCCCACCTGTAGGGAAAACAGTAAGCCTCTTTGTAGTACAGAGATGGAAGAGAAGGGAGTGATAGAGTCCCCAAGCAACTTACCCAAAGCCGCTCACGTAAATCATGGCAATGGCGCCTTTGCTGGGCCCAACCTCGTGGGTATCCAGCTTGTAGTCCTTGACAACGCCCATTTCGGGAATCCCGGTAAGGAAGCCGGCCACGTAGATCATGGAAACTGCTTGCAGGGTAATGCCGATAAGGAGGGCCCGCTTGCGCCCAATGACATCGACCAGGAACAGGGCGCATATGACGGCCGCGACCAGCTTTACGACACCAAACACGGCCGTGATGAGCAGCGACTCGTTCTGGCCAGAGATTCCTGAGAGGTTGGGACATGTTAGCGCTGCGTCGGAGTAGGGTATGCTTCACCGCACCACCGTCTGTCCAGACTTGAACCTACCCAGCAGATGGAAAAAGTCGGGAGCGTAAAGGGTGATGGACCCGGCGCCAGACCACTGAGACAGAAACTGCACCATGCTGGTCAGGTAAAGGCGGTAGAGGTTGCTGGGGATGAGGATCATCTCCTTCAGGATCCCGACCCATGTGGCTCCCTTGGTGGCTTCGAGCTCCTCCTCGTAGGAAACCCGGATGGCGTGGATCTCGCGCACGACGTAGTCGCTGTCCACCGTCATGTTCCGGAGCGCCGCCATCGTCTTGGTGGCCTCCTCGACCTTGCCCGTCTTGATCAGGAAGCGAGGAGACTCGAGCTGGAAAAAGGACAGGACGAAAATGATGCCGGCAAACATGAGATGCAGGCTGGTGGGAACGAGCCACCGCGCGTGTGTGGAATCACCGATGTTGATTGCGCAGCTGCAGAGGGCGTCGAAAGTCAGATGGGGTAGACGATAGACGCAAGTGCTAGGACATGCATTAGGCTGACTGACCCGTAGTTTGTGAAGTAAGCAAGCACGATGCCGATGTAGACGGACCCGGTGAACCAGCAGGTGCACAGGCCCCTGACGCTCGCGGGGGCGATCTCCGCAATGTAGACCGGCCCAACAACAGGCGTCATGCCCACTCCGAGACCAGCAATGAAGCGGCCAGCATATATCATGGCGAAGCTTCCATCGGCAGCCATGAAGATACAGATCCCGAGCATCCAAAGAAGGCAGAGGAGTCTGGTGGCCCAGATTCTCCCAATGCGATCACAGACCAGGAACGCACTAGCAAGCCGAAACAGGTAATATTAGCAGCTGCCGCTATCAGAATTGTGTGACGTATGGGTATGAGAGGGTAAGAAGGACAAAGCCGGGCGTGCGTACATCAGTGAGCCTCCAACGCAGCCAATCTGGACCATGGAGGACACGTTGCCCTTGATGTTGGTCTTCTCCTCCTTGGAAAACGAATCATAGTTGATGGTCTTCTGGAAATCCTTGGAGTTGAAGGCGCCGCTGATGAGGCCCTCGTCCACGCCCCTGGCAGCCCCGAGGAGCCCGAAGCAAAAGACGGCGAACCATAACCTCCAGTTGAAGATCTCCTGGGGTTCGTCCAGGTTCTTGAGCCTGAAGATGTTGACGGGCTTCTTGGCCGGTCCCGCCATGGTGACTGATGAAAAGGAGGAGATCTGCGTGCTCGCGGTGGCTTGACGGGAGGGGAACGGGACCACGGCCGAACGAAAAAAGGACACCGGTCGCGAACGAGACCGCCGGAGCAGAAAGAGAGGGAACAGGATGGATAGCAACAGTCGGCCAGACCCTTTAAATAATCGCCCAGTCCATCACCGCCAGCCCCCACGAAGGTCCACCGAACCATGAAGGATGGGCTGCGGTGAACATACATCATAACAGTCGGCCCGGACCCATCTTCGTTGGAGGCATCCAGGAATGGGGGTGTGAAGGACAACAAGGATGTAAGTGGTTGGGCCCGGGTCTGGCGTGGGTCGTGATTTGCTCCGAGGAGACCCCGCAGGTAAACGATCTCGTCTGTCATTTTTCCGCCGTGCCCTCGCGGCGGCGCCGTAATTGGGCGTCTCCAGAGTCATGCCTTCCGGAGTCTCCCGACATCACATACGATATCACACCCCCGCATGGGGTCCCCGGTCCTCCGCATTCTACTGTGTATACTGTGTAGCAGGGCGTGGAGGACGGGGTTCCAACGGAGCGGGTGGATTCCCCTGGGGAAGTTTTTAGTTATTATAAAGTAAAAAGCGCCGGGGAAACGTCAGGGCGACCGAGTCTACTTCTAACCGGCTTTAGACAACACCATGTGAGTAGCGAGGCCCTATATCCCTACAAGGCAAGTCCAGCCCAAGTGCCACGACGCCAGGGCGCATCTCCCGAGCCAAGCAAGCTTGGTGTAGACCAAGCTCAAGCGCCAACCGGCGTGGCATTGCTTCTTGCTTTGCCGAGCCCGACGGGAGAGCTTGGGAAGACCTAGGGACGGTGGCTCAGGGGGGGCGGGCTAGGTTAGCGTCGAGGAGGGGGCGGGACGCTGCCTTGATTGGGCGACGAGAGCGGCGAGAAGTACCGAGTGGCGGCGTGCTCTGAGCAGCAGATGCGCGGTCCGGAAGCCTGGGCAGTGGGGGGCGACGTCGTTTCTCGTGCTTTTCCCCTCATTGTCACCGCCGCGTTTTGATGAAGGCTCCTTAGCGCGTCGCTTGGCACTCTTGGCGCGCTTGCCATTTGCTAAATTTTGCTGTAAACCCCGCACGAATTCCCAACCAACCCCAATTCTTTAAATTTTAATCCGGGGATTAGCCTCACGTGGGAGGAAGCGGAAGAGTTTTTACCCACCCGCCCACAACAACATTGTCAGGCCCTTTATAATTCCACAAAGCACATGTTGTCTCAACAATTGCACAGGTCCGATGGTGTAGTCGGTTATCACGTGAGCTTAACACGCTCAAGGTCCTCAGTTCGATCCTGGGTCGGATCAAGTAATTGCTTTTTGCACATTCCAACGAAATTGGCTATTTTGCTCCTTTAGGCTTACTTTTGCTCCCAGACATCCATATTTTTAAACGTGGATTTATATGTTTCGCTTTGTTATTATTTTATATCTACGACGTTTCACTAGCTTCACTCCATGCTACTGCTTTCAGTGATTCGTTTTGCACCCACCAGCTCTGCCTCGGAGTTCAAGGCGTCAACCTCAGCTTGAACATAAGGGATACCCGTTTCCAGCCTTTCCTCCATGGTAAGCTGTTCAATCTCGCCGGGAAAGTAGATACGGTCGACGCCAGCCATCTTCTCGCACCCAACCACCCGCTTGTACAGGTACTTCATCCTACTCTTGAACTCGTCCAGGCTCATAAAAAGGTCTGGCTTGATGGCCATGATGAAGTGGCCCACGTCGGCGGGGTGGGACGGATCGTATGGGCCGGTGACGTGGCCGGCAAAGGCCGACCCCGACAGCACGCCCGAGAAGACGTCCATCATGATGGCCAGCGCCGACCCCTTGGGCCCGCCCATGGGCAGCATGACGCCGCCGTCGAGCGCGGCGGCCGGGTCGTCGGTGCGGTTCCCCTCCGCGTCGAGCGCCCAGTCGAGCGGGATCTTTTCGCCGCGCCGCTTGGCCTTGTAGATCTTGCCGCGGGCGGCGACCGAGGGCGCCATGTCGAGGACAAAGGGCCGCGGGTCGCCGGGGGCGCCGCAGGCGATGGGGCTGACGCCCATCAGGCGCTCGCGGCCGCCCCAGGCCGGCAGGGCCGGGCTCGAGTTGGTGAAGACGAGGCTCATCATGCCGGCGTCAGCGGCCTGCTGCACCAGCCAGGCCGACATGCCGAAGTGGTTGGAGCGCCGGACCGAGACCATGCCGAGGCCGAAGACGCGCGCCATGTCGACGGCGGCCGCCATGGCGCGGTGCGCCGCCACGAAGCCGAAGCCGTTGCGTGCGTCCACCTGCGCCGCCGCCGGCGTCACCTGGCGCAGCTCCGGGACGGCGGCAGGGTCCAGCACGCCCTGGCGGATGCGGGCGACGTACGAGGGGATGCGGTTGACGCCGTGAGAGTCCACGCCGCGCAGGTCCGCCTGCACCAGGCACGAGGCCACGATGGCCGCGTCCGGGCCCGGCACGCCGTTGCGCTCGAGGACGTCCCTGGCGAAGGCCTCCGCGTCGGGCGCCTTGACGAAGATCTTGGCATCTTTCGAGGCTTCCGGGGTTTCGGATGACATTTCGCTGGCGATTGGTGGTGCTGATCAAAGTCAAAGGCCGGTGTTTTCAACAGTCGAGGGCACAAAATTAACTTGGGAATCTCGGGTGAGTCATTGGTGAGGTGAATGCATACTTGTTGATTCCGTTCTGGGTGCCGACATCGGGGTGTTTGGCCTCGGGCTGAGATGCAATAACCCCGATTTCACTGGCAAATCGCCCCTTTCGCGAAGCCACCACCGACCCCAAGGTGTAAGCCTAATCGCCATTACTCCGCACTATGATGTCTTTGCGTGAGGCCGGAGCGGCAAACGCTTGAACGTCTGTGTAGACACATAACCTGCGATTTGATTCATCCGCTTCACACCTGATAAAGCTCCTTTTTTAGAGAGTCTGTGATTTACAGTTAATGTAGCTGGGACTGTTTTTATCGGGCCCTGGATTAGTAAACGCCGAACGCCATGCCCAACACAGCAGACACCAAGCCCTCAGCAGTGCTGGCCGAGGCAAACGACCCCGACCCTGACCCCCTGGCCGACTACGACCTCTCGCGGCCCATCACGGCTAACCGGGGCCTGCGGCAGGGCCTCCCGGGCTACGGCGACCCACACTTTGCGCTGTTCCTGCGCAAGGCCTTCATCAAGGCGCTCGGCTACAGCGACGACGCGCTCTCGCGGCCCATCGTTGGCATCATCAACACCTACTCGGCCCTGAACCCGTGCCACGCCAACGTGCCGCAGCTGATCGAGGCCGCCAAGCGCGGGGTGCACCTGGCGGGCGGGCTGGCCGTCGAGTTCCCCACCATCAGCGTGCACGAGAGCTTCGCGTCGCCCACCAGCATGTTCCTGCGCAACCTCATGGCCATGGACACGGAGGAGATGATCCGGTGCCAGCCCGTCGACGCCGTCGTCGCCGTCGGCGGCTGCGACAAGACGGTGCCCGCCCAGATCATGGGCGCGCTCTCGGCCAACAAGCCCGTCGTGCCGCTGGTCACGGGGCCCATGATGCCGGGGAGCCACAGGGGCCGCCGCGTCGGCGCCTGCACCGACTGCCGGAGCAACTGGGCCGCCTACAGGGCCGGCGAGATGGACATTGAGGACATTTCGGCCCTCAACGAGGAGCTGGCCCCGACGGTATGCTGTCCGCCACGTTGAAAAAAAAAAAAAACGATGCTGGATGGGTACCTACGGAGTGGCCACCTTTACTGACAGCCGAGGGCCCGCGCCGGAACCCAGGGAGGAACCTGTGGCGTCATGGGCACCGCCAGCACCATGGCCTGCGTGACCGCCGCCCTCGGCCTGATGCCCCTACTCGGCGCCACAGCCCCGGCCGTGTCCTCGGCGCGCCTGCGCATCGCCGAGGAGACGGGTCGGATCGCGGCGGCCCTCGCGGCGGGCGGCGGGCCGCGGCCGCAGGAGCTGCTGACGGCCGGCTCGTTCCACAACGCCCTCGTGGTGCTGCAGGCCACGGGCGGCTCCACAAACGCCGTCGTGCACCTGCTCGCCATCGCGGGCCGCCACCCTGGTCTCGCCCCGGGCGCCGTGACGCTGCAGACAGTCGACGACATCGGCCGCGCCGTCCCGCTGCTCGTTGACCTCAAGCCCAGCGGCGACAACTACCTGTCGGACATGCACGCCGCCGGCGGCATGCCCGCCCTGTTGCGCCAGCTCCGCCCGCTGCTGCGCCTCGGCGCCGCCACCGTCGACGGCCGCACCCTGGGCGAGGTGCTGGACGCCACCGCTCCCTCCGCCAACGGGCAGCCGTACCCGGTGTCGACGACGTCCTCGTCCTCCTCCCCCGGCGCCGCCGTCATCATCCGCCCCCTCTCGGACCCGCTGCAACCCGCCGGCCTGGCCCCGCTGGCCGTGCTGCGCGGCAACCTGGCTCCGGGCGGGGCCGTCATCAAGGCGTCGGCCGTCAAGGACCGGCGGCTGCTGCGGCACCGCGGCCCGGCCGTCGTCTTCTCGGGCGCCGCCGACCTGGCCGCGCGACTCGACGACGAGTCCGCCGCCGCCGAAATCGGCCCCGACAGCGTCCTGGTGCTGCGGGGGATCGGCCCCGTCGGGAACCCGGGCATGCCCGAGGCCGGGCTGGTGCCCATCCCGCGCAGGCTGGCGGCGCGCGGCGTGGCCGACATGCTGCGCATCAGCGACGGCCGCATGAGCGGCACCGCCGGCGGCGCCGTCGTCCTGCACGTCTCGCCCGAGGCCGCCCTGCCCGAGAGCGTGCTCGGCGTCGTGCGCGACGGCGACGTCATATGCTGCGACGTGGAGCGCCGCGTCCTCCACCTCGAGGTCCCCGAGGCCGAGATCCAGGAGCGCCTGCGCCTCAGGGCCGAAACGCTCAACCGCGCGCCCGAGGGCCAGGGGGCCACCAAGACGCCCGTCAGGGGTTACAGGGGACTCTATCTGAGGAGCGTGAACCAGGCCCAGTTTGGAGCCGACTTTGATTTCCTGACTGCTGCCGGGTGCTAAAAAGCCAGAGTGGCGCGGGAGATAATGAGGGTGACATCACCACATTGTTTTGAGTATCGGGTATCTATCTGATTCTGTAATGTAATCATGAATCACCTCGAGTGACGGACAAACCAGCCAGTGTGTCTAGGGGGAAAGCTGAAGCTTGCTTCACCCCTGCAGATGCCTCCCAAGTGCACGGAATTCCTCAGCCCTGTCCAGCACTGCTTGGTAGAATCCATCTCAGCTCCAGACCAGTTCAGTGAGCTAACCAAGGAGCCTCAAAACCGGATCCCCAAAATGGATCAGGATCTGAACACATCCCAAAGCGTTTGTTATCGAGGCTGTTCCACACGCAAGCCTCGTCTTGTCTGTGCTGCCAGCTTTGACAACATCATCGTCCCCCCACCAGTCCCATCAGAGGCCCCGCGACGTGGCCTGGGCCAGCGCTGGAGGATCCAGCAAGCCATCGGGGTCTGTCGCTCAGCCGATTCGAATCCATGGCACCCATATCACCTCAACAAAGTCTAGGTTTCGGCCAGAAACTGCGACGAGACTCAGTTCGCAAAGATGCGCAGCTTCATATCCACACTTCCTGTGGCGACGACACACCGGATGCGCACCTCAGGGGCAGCCTCTGTCTTTTTACGTGGGGTCCCATTCGACTGTCCTGCATCTCCATCCTTCACCGGCGCGTCCGTGACGACGCCAGGAGCCCACCTCAAACAAGTCACGAACCGCTCGTGCACGTCGCCGCCGATTGTCTTGACACACTTGCCGTCCTGGTCGAGATCCCAGCAGCGCAGCGACTTGTCGTCTGAGACGGAGAAGAGATATTTGCCGCCGGGATGGAAGACGAGAGCGCGGACCCAGTTGTCGTGGCCAATTAGTGTCTTGAGGCACGTCCCACGCGAGTCCCAGATCTTGATGGTCTTGTCTCGAGAGCCGCTCGCCATGAACTCGGCCGCATTAGCGGCTGGTGGTGGCTTTTTCAAGCCAGCCAGACGGGCAAGGTATGGGTATGTGGTTGGCGGTGCCAAGGCACAGCATTCGACGTAGTGGTCGTGGCCAACCATTGTGAGCCTGTTCTCCGGGTTGGAGACTGAAATGTCCCAGAGGCGCAATGTCGAGTCGTCGCCCGTGGAGAGCAGATAGCGGCCGTCAAAAGAGGGGCAGACGTCGCGGATCCATGCTGTGTGGCCGCGTATCGTCTTGAGGCAGAAGCCGGTCGTGACATCCCATATCTTCAGTGTCGTGTCTCTGCTAGCGCTCACCAGCAAGTTGCCCGATCCTCCGGTGGCGCCCGACGGCATGAATCGGATGGCGCTGACGCTGTGGTCGTGTCCCGGCAGTGTGCGGATGTTTTTGTAATCGTTGGATGGGTCCCAGAGCTTGATGCTCAGGTCAGAGCTGCACGAAGCCAACAGAATTCCGCCCCTGGGGCCTCCAAAATCCACATCTAGGACCGGCCTAGTGTGGCCCTTGATGGTCCGCTCAAGCTCGCCCAGCTCCCAGTCCCATATCTTGATCGTGCAATCGTCGGAACCTGAGGCGATGGAGGAGTAAACGGGGTGGAATGCGATACAGTTGATGGTATTTTGGTGTGACTCCAGCGAGTAACGCGGCCTGGGGGCGGGAAGCCATGATGTTGGGTCCGAGTTCCTTTTAGCTAGGGAGAGGGGCGTCGCGTTGTCGAGCTCGCTCTGTAGGGCGCTATTCCGAGACTCCAGGTCCATGATCTGCGCGGTGGGGTAAAGGATGAGGTTAGTCCAAGGCTGTCGGCAGCAGAAGCGCGTGTGGGAAGGCGGTAGCACTACATGCCTTTTTCTGCAGGCGGACAACGCTCGTCCATTTCTTCTCGATCAGGCCCTCATATTTCTTCTGCGTGGCGGCATCGAAGACCTCCTCGGGGAGGTTGAGCTCTGCTCGGAGCGCATTCGACGTGTTGGACAGGTTGTTCGCCGACAGGTATGCTACGATGGCCTTGTGCCTGCGGTGCGGCGGTGGACATGGCGGTTAGGGACGGGTCTCGACAGGCGACTCGCGCGCATGGCAGGGCAGGCGTGGGAGGGGCGGGCAACTCACAGCTCGTCAGCCTGCCGAGGGGTCAGGAGGGAGGCCATCGTGGGCGGGTGGTGGCGGCAGTGTTGCTACGCCGGCAGTCTGTGGTCGTGCGCCCGTTCTCCAGCGATCGAAGGGTTCGGGCGAGCACCATCGCCCACCGGCGGGGAAAACCTGGAGATGGCCGTGGCAGTCGGGCTCCGGGGTGTGGGGTTGTCGCGGCGTCAGGTCTCGGCCACTGGCAACAACTGGCGGTCAGGTCAGAGCGGGCCAAGGGGTTCTGATGGACGAGCTGGAGTGGGCGTGGTTCGAGCCCAAGTGCGGCGATGGCTGGATGGGCGAGGCGGGCGTGATATATTGACAGACGAGAGAGCCAAGCCTGGTTCGCAGTTCTTTGAGGCGTTTGTTTCTTGGGTCGGGGTGGGAGAAGGCTCGTGGCAATGCGATTGATTCAATGCGATTGAAAAATTATGTGCTGGTCGTCGGCACAGTCAATCAATCCAAATTGATCCCACCAGACTGGATTGTTCCACTGCCACCACTGGAGCCAGACCCCTGCCACCATCATTTGGGCTCAAATCTCCATCAATAAATCCCATTGCCCTCCCGTCAGGGAGGTGCCACCCCACTCGCCAGCGCCAGTGCTTGTCTCAATTTGAAGCTGCGAGGCCCTGGTCTGATGGATGGGAAGCTGCTAGAGCCAGATAAAATGGAAGCTGAACTCCTGCCCAGCTTTGATCAAGTGCATCCCAAGATGCTAAGTGCATGTCTATGGGGTGGTTTTTATGAGCCAGCTGCTCTTTCTCCACAGATGCCATCTCCAAATACTTCTCTCCATGTCTTCTAAAAGCCCCTGACAAACGGGGCGAGCAAACGACGCCATTCTTCGTTCCATCTCCAATCTAAGCAGACGCTCAAACCATGCATCTTGGTGGACGTTACACACCAAAGCGGAGCTCCGCTCATGAGATATTGTTTGCCCTGCGTCCCTAGGACTCACTCCCAAACCACTACCTTGCCTCGCTAGTCACGCCGCAAACCCGCCAACACTAACAATGAATGCTTTGGGGTTGCCCGCATTCACCTTCCCAGACTGATCATCCCCGCCGCTTGGTTGGACGTCGTCGTATGCAAACCCGTACCCCTTGCCATCCAGCGTTACCTCGTGCACTATCCTGGAGTAGTGGTTGGCCGGGCCTTGCTGATAGAAGGTGGACGGATGTGACGGATGCTCCTCGGCGTCGACGATGGAGCCGCGCGAAAAGGCGGCAGCAAGCCGTGGGATTATGGCGTTGCGCCTGGCGGACGGCCCTGTGGCAAACGGCCCGCTGTTGCAGCCCAGTATGTCGGCCGTTGTCGGCTTGCCAAACTTCTCGCCCCCGATGACCAGCTCGTTCGTCCCCTCGATGGCGCCGGGAAGCACCCCGGGCGCCGCCTGTGTGTCGATCTTGAGGCTGCACCCGCCATGGTTGCAGTGGTACTTCCGCCACACTTCCTCCACGAGAGGCTCAAAGTAGCCGTCGAACCTAGCACCCACTCCCCTCCCGTGCGTCGGGCTCAGAGCACGGAGCGGTGGCTGCCCCTTCTTTTGCACTATCAGTTTGTCCCACGGCATCTTGTCCTTTTCAGCCTGGGCACGCAGTTTCGCGCAAACCTGCTCGAGCCCATCGCTGGCCATGCCTGCCACCTGCTGGAGACCGCCGCCAGGCTCTTCAAGTGCCAGGGCGATGGGCAGACGGGGTACAAAATCGACGTAGCTGATGTTGGCAAACAGTTGGTCGTTGTTGAGCGTAAGCTCGGCGAATGCAAAGTCGATGTTCGCATTCGGATCCGACGGGTTCAGCACCGATGGCTCGACCAGGGCCGCGCCGGCCGGGCTGGGATTCAGCAGGAACTTGAGCTTCCCGCCACTGCTGAACCAGATGCGCCCACCGGCCATTTGGGGTATGTGAACCGTCACCACATTTCCCGGCGGTCCCAGAGGGATGGCACAGTCCTCCGCCAGCGGAACCAGGAGCTTTGGTGGATTCTCTGGGTAGTACAGCCCCCTGCCATCCGATTTGAGAAGGACCCTGGCCGAGTTCCTCTGCAGCGCAAGGCCGGTAATATAGGCGAAAATGTCGCCCGAATTCGACTCGTTTCGAAGCTGGATGTCGAGTGACTGAGGCATCTTGGCCAGGAGTGAATAAAGCCAAAGGCAGTAAGTTACACTCGCGAGTCAGTGCTGTCTCGGGTCGGTGGCGAGTGTCGATATCCCAAGAATACCAGGCAGACAGGGGGGCTTCTGCGGAGTGAAGTGAGACGCTGTTTGTTGACGGCTATGCGTGGTTCCGCCAGTTTGGGCCTGGTGGGCTTGATATAGCAGCTGCATCCCACCAGCGTGCGTCATCGGCCAACTTGGCTGGCAGCACTGGAATCACGCCAAGATGGTGCAACCGCGTCCGCCACGAAGTCACCCACCAGGTGGAGGCTGGGGTAGGCGATTTTACGAGAGAACGAGCTGCTCCGCAGAGGCACTCTGCAGTTACCAGGCATTACCCCTCTCAAGCCGGGCAAGTGTGATGATTCAAACGCATTCCAGTCAGCTCAAACTGGCTGTCGGCGTCAAAGATTCCCCACACCAGGCGCGCTGGGGAGAATAAAGACACAGCAAAATGAGTCGGACAACACACAGCCCTGGTAGCGCAATTGGTTAGAGCGTGGGACTTTTATTACCCTTATATAATCCCAAGGCTGCGGGTTCGAATCCCGCCTGGGGCGTGCTGAGGGCATTCGCAACGCGACTGCCCAACTCTTTTGCTTATTTTTTTTGCTAACCCAGCGCAACTTATTCTTATGTATTTTAAAATTGTACATCCTTACACGCAATTCTTAGTTTGTTAAATAATTAACCGTTTTAAATTTTACGTACAAAGGTAACCTGCAACCCTTGCAGCAAGCTTTTACCAACAAAAAGGTTTGCGCCCGCTCCTCGTTTTACAAGAGCAAGCTGATATGACAGAAGTGGGATTCGAACCCACGCCACTTGCGTGACTAGCAGAACTCGGTCATCCTGCCCGTTTGGATCGATGTCGGTTAGGGGCTCCCATCGGTCTCTTGTGGCTCCCTACGGCGAGGATTCGCGAGCCTCGAGGTGTAAGTGGTTCTGATTGCCAAAAAGGGCAAGGCGACAAGGCGAGCCCTAAGAAAGCAGGGAGTCCCGTCCTCGTCTCCGTGGATTTGACTCACCCCGAGGAAAATTTTCCCGTCCACATGTCGTGAACGGAGCAAGTGGACACTGGAGAGCAGCACGCCGAGCAAGGGGGGATTTCGACGGCAGAACGTTGAAGTGGTAACAGCAATGTATGGGCTTCAGTTGATTCTCGCACAGTTCATGTTAGAGAAACCGACTTTGGCTTCTGCCAGCTGTGCAACGTGCTCTGCCCGACTCCTGTGCAAAAAAGGGCCGACTGTTCATGGTTGGATTCTAGCCAGCCTATGCGAGGGAAACAAAAAGAACAAGAGCAAGACTGCCAGCCAGCGCGGCAGCTATCGCCTGCAGCAAAAGGTCCTACTGGGATTCGAACCCAGGCCACCAGGAGACGATTCTCGAATCAGAACCTGGTGTGATAACCAACTACACTATACGACCTTGTATTCTTTAGATGTCCGACGGGGACGTGGCGCTTCTCCATCAGGGGGTGGAACGGAATGGGGCGGACCCTCCTGGTCCACGGCCATAGCACAACCCGTCTAGGCAGGCATCAATGATCTTCAGATATCGGATGGTCAGTTGATGGGCGAGTTAAATGGCAGATAAAAGTAGGGTGTGGCCGCGAGGCGGCATGTGTAGAACAGCCCCGAAATGCAGCGTGGACAAAAGGCAAAATGCGAACAACCTCAGGGCCGAATCACGATCTAGACACTAGCATCTTCCAAGCCGGGAGGGGAAACATGTGATGCTTGCCACGCCAGTAGACTGCACAGGGGATTGCTATATCTGCTTGCTCGTAGATGGTTGGAATGCGGTTTCCATGCTCACTGTTTGCCCTGCAAGTGGTTTGTTCCAAGACGGCCGCATCTCGAACCTACTACCAGTGGCAGGGCCACATGTTTCCGTCGGAATCTCTACGTCTCTCTGCTTATCCGAACCTTTCTTCTTTGTTGCTTGTGTTATAAAAGGTCAAGAGTCCAGCTCCATTCCGCTCGAACGTCTCCGCCACCATCCTTCCTCTCCATCGCCTCAACGAAGCACAACGACTTGGTTGTGATCACTGGCACAGAGAATTCTCCACCATGCCGAAAAAGATGGTGCGCAGACTTCCTCCCAGCCCAGACTTCCCAGACTTCCTCCCAGCCGTGACAGGAGCGCCGACGAGAAAGCTAACAAGAGCGTCGTCCAGGGCGCTAACAAGAGCGTCGTCCAGGACGCGGACGAGAGCGTCGTCCAGGATGCGGACGAGAGCGTCGTCCAGGATGCGGACGAGAGCGTCGTCCAGGACGCTGACTCATCTGGTAAAGGTCAGATCGCGATACTCTCAACAACTCCCGCAGCCCCTGACCCCCAGCCGGCCCAGTCCAGTCACTGACATCTTGAGACACATAGATCCCGACCGGCCCGACGCGTCTCTGTCCGAAATTGCCAGCGAAGCTTTGAGTCTGACGAAAGCCCGGGCTAACACTGTAACAGAGCAAGAACAGCCAGCGGCAGCGAGGAAGAAGGCCACGATAAGGGAAGACCTCGCGCCGGCGGAGGACGGCCGGGCCATCCGGCGTCGGCTGCTCTACGCCACGTGGGTCGACCAGGACAAGCGGCCGTGCGGGGTCGACGGCACGCCCGACGAGCAGACGGACACGCGCGACGCGGAAAAGATCGTCAAGCACGAGTACAACCGCGAGACGGGCGAGATGCGGGTGCTGGTGAAGTGGAAGAGGGCGGCCAGCCGCGCCAACTCGTGGGTGCTCGAGGACGTGATGCACCGCCACCGGCTCGACATGCTGGTCGCCTACTGGCGCGCCCACCCGTCCGGCTCCCGCGAGGCCGCCCTCAAGGGCACCGGCCGCGAGAACGACGTGTTTGCGCTCATGTACCCGCCCGTCGTGCGCAGGACCGGGGGCAAGGAGGGGAATGGGGGCAAGGGGGGAAAATGGGAGCTGGCCGTCGAGGTCGAGTACTGCGGGTACGAAGAGACCTACGAGGTCGCCGCCGACCTCCTGTGGAAGGACATGAAACCCCTCATGAGGGAGTACTGGGGTCAGCTTGGCGGCAGGCCGAGGAAGCTGCATTGACGATAGACCCTCACTCTCAGTCGCTTGACTTTGCTCACCCCTTCTTCCTGTCACCAGGCGAGTTGTAGACCAGAAGCATAGCATCACAGCCCCTTGTTGACGTCCTTTTGTAACCATGTCATCGGTTGTCTTTGTATTATGATTTCAGATAGCAATGCATTCACACTTGGACATCAACTCAAACGCGAGGAAACACCCCCCGCGCTCCGTGGGCTGAGCAGGTAGACCCAGTGAAAGATGTCCGGGTCGTGCTCCTTCAGCTTGGGCGTGGGCAGCCTGTCCATGACCTCGACGTGGAAGGGCAGCCCGTCGCGGCGGTAGCGCGTGGCCGAGTAGCTGAGCGAGACCCAGCGGGCCGAGTCGGCCATGCACTCCCTGACGCCGGCCAACATGGCCAGAAGCGCACCGTCGCCGCCGCACGAGACGGCATCGGCGGTGCTCTTGTCGACGACCAGGTCGAACGGGCGGGAGGGACCTTGCCCACATTTGTCGTCCCCGCGGAGGAGCAGCCGGGCGGCCAGGCCGGGCCGCGTGACGTCCTCGGCCAGGTAGCGGGTGCGGACGTCGCCGGCGAAGGCGGCGGCCTCGATGCGGCGGCCGCGCTCGAGGGCCAGCGGCTCGTAGTCGACGTTTGTGACGTCAAGGAAGCCGCGCCGCCGCAGGTGGTTCTGCAGGTCGCTGGTGCCGGACCCCAGGTGCAGGATGCGGGCCGTGGCGGGCAGCCGCGCCAGGAGCGGCTCCATGGCGTCCATGAGGGTCGCCGACGGCGCGAGCCACTCGAAGTCGGTCTCGGACGAGAAGCGGTCGCGCCAGTACTCCTGCTTGTCGAAGTCGCTGGGCATGGCGGGATGCTGGGGGTGTCTGGCCCGGAGATGGGTGTAGCGTGGTGGGTGCAGTGCTTGGGGTTAAGATGTCGAGATGAGTGAGAAAGAACGAGAAGGGATGGGTATTTGGCTGATAGCAAGGTCCGACATCCTCTTCATAAAAAGAAAACGAGCTGGCGGGAACGTGAAAAGCAGCGCCGTAAGATTAACGTCATGTCTATTACCCAAGTGTTACTATTCAGCCCCACGGCCGGTCAGCATATATGCGGACGCTCACGGTGCCAGAGGGCGTGAGCGCTGGCAGCCCGGATTAAGAAAAAAGATGCGCCCCACTTGACTCCAATTAACAATGCTATGGGGAAGCACCGCTCATGGACACACCTTGGAGCCCCCGAATCCATCCAATAAGCGTCGGGCAACGTGCCAGAGTGGTTAATGGGTTAGACTCGAACCGAAGCTGCGATTCGGCAGCTTCAGAGCGATCTAATGGCTTCGGCCGCACAAGTTCGAATCTTGTCGTTGTCGTCCGGGCTACGTGTTGAGGGTGGGACATTACGTCCTCGTTAGTAGTTTTTACTCCAAGATCAGCCATTTTTTTGCTTAATTATTTTAAATTATACATAAAAAACAAATATTTAATACAACTGTTGCTACATCCCCATTTGTTTTGCTTCGTTGGAATTAAGCAACTAGTTTACGGCCGCTATATATGCCGGTTGTGTTTGCACCAGCACAAAAAGTTACCAAAGTAAAGAGAGGAACCCACGCGGATTTCTCCATAGGAAGACTGTGATATCACCCTGATCCTACGCCATAACCAACTTCGGCCATCTTGCCCAAGGAAAGTTGTTGAGGGCAAGGGGCGGCGGGTGTGGAATATGATGGACACGACTCGCCTGGCGACGGGGGCGACTTCTGACTGATTTTTGCTGGTGTATGTGCGGCAGTCAGTGGACATCCATGACAGTGCCCGTCCCACCTGTCGTAGGGCTCAGGGCTTGATGGAGCTGGTGAGATGGGATGTGGTTTTAATCTGGAAGGAGATCCACCATGGTCAGCATTCACCTAATGAGCCAGCACGTTCGAGCAGCCTTGACTGTGGCGGCTGGAAGGAGTCACTTCAAGTGCCACCAGTGAGCCAAGTGTTTGGAGATTCAAGCGCCAGCGTTTCGTTTCATAGGCATGTCACTCGTGTCAGTCGCAGGAAACATCACGCCATGGAAGCCAGAAAGTCGATCATCAACTCTTCATTCATCCTATCCACTAATGTTACAATATGGAAAATCCCACTGTATCGGGCATGTCTTCCAAAGGGGTATTAAGCTTCCCAGCCGGAAAGGGGGGAATCAAAAACCGCAAAGGTCTCGTATCACTGGGTATCCCAATCCAAGGGCTGCGGTGACTGGCACGCGCCCGACGCTCGTTGTGGCCGCGTCTTATTAACCTTGTGTGGCTTCTCCACGGTCCGGCCGAGCGAATGACCATTCCTGAGCACACATACCAAGGGGCCCGAAGGGGCGCCGCGGGGGTATCCCTTTTCTTCCTCCTATTCTTCCGTGTATCTTCTTTTGTCGCCGTCTAAAGCAAGAGACCCGGGTTGTGTGCCGTGTCATGGTATCGTAAAAAATTACTCTCTTCGAAACAAAACAAGCTCCGCCAAAAGCTGAGAGAGGAGACGGCTTACTCCTCCTCCTCCTCGTCGTCCTCGTCGACCGACTGGCGCTTGAGGACCTTGCGGAGGAGGGCCTCGCGGCGGAGGATCTCGCGGGCCAGGTTGGCGCGGGCGGCGACGGCCTTGTTTGCCTTGGTGGCCTTGGCGGCCTTGGCCGGCTCGGCGGGAGCGGTAGCGTTGCCACCGGCGGCAGGGGCCTCGGCGGCGGGAGCCTCAGCGCCGACCTGGATGGGGACGACACCGCCGAAGGGGCCGGCTCGGGCGGCGTTCTGACAGCGGACAAGGCAGACGTTCTCCTGACCGGCCACGCTGCCAGTGCAAGCCTGGCCGGCAGGGATGGAGGCGACGAGGGGGAAGTCGGTGGCGGCGCCCTGACGGTTGCGGGAGTTCTGGCCGGGGGGAGTGGTCTTGACGGTGATGGGGGTCCACTGGGCGGCGGTGCCGTCGGCGTTGATGGAGCAGGTGTAGGGGCCGCCACCGTCGCCGTTGACCTGGTGCAGGGTCATGGTGAGCTCGCCGCCGGCGGAAACCTGGGGAAGCTCTGCGCCGGTCTCGGCCATGATGGCGGCGGTGCCGGCGGCGATGTTGTTGGTACCACCGCCGAGGGTCTCGCCGACGGTGGCGGCAGCGGCGCCCTTGAAGCGGGTGGCGTCCTGCTGGAAGGGGTTGCGCCGGGTTCCGTCGCGGGGGGTGGCAGTGTCGATGCCGAGGGCCATGCCCTCACCGCCGGCATCGCCGACAGCCTTGATGATGGCGGCATGGCCGGCAACGAGCTCGGCACCGGCCAGGAAGACGGCAGAGATGATGGTGGAGGAACGCATTTTGATGAGAGTTGTGAGGAGGATGTGTGACTGGAAGGTCGTGGGTGTGGGAAAAAGCACCGGGCCGAGGAGAAAGTGTGTAATATGGATTGTAAGTTGAAGTGGAAACCAGTCCGGATAGAGAAGAAGAGAAGAGGATGAATGAAGAGGATGTGTTGGAAGATGATGATGATGATGATGATAGGAAAGTTTGATGGACAAGAGGGCGCCGGAACTGATCCTTATATATCCATCTCGGGCTGGGCGCGATGCTCAGCAAGTGAGGGCTCTCGCCGGCCAAGTTGGCGTGCCCAGGCGCCAGACGCCAGACGGGCAAACATTGCCGCCCGCCGCGCTCCCACCGTCAGCAGGCGCGGGGGTGTGTTGCAAGGGGTCGTGGCAGACGAGGCCCAAACAGCAAACATCACGATTTCGCGCGCCTTTGCGCCAACCCCAGGGGGGAGGAGGAGGACGGAATTCGGCAGGCCAAGAGGGGGCCCAAGAGTCGAGGGGCGGCCCTCCAAAGAGGGTCCCTTCCACTCTGGCCAGCCTATCGCATTCTCGAGGGAGATGGCGGCGGGAGAGCAGCTGTGAGCGGCCGGGATGGTTCCTCCCCTGGAAGCCCTGGGAACCCTGGGAGCCCTGGGAGCCCTGGGAGCCCTGGGAGCCCTGAGAGCCCTGAAAGCGCCGGGAAACCCGGGGGCGATCGCCAAACGAGAGCAGTGATTGTTTGTGGAGAGGAGGAACACGATGGCACCTCTTGGTCGTTGAATGCCCGTGGACCAATCGCAACTCGCCTTCGCGCGAGTGCCGCACCGAATCAGGGGTGACAATCCCCACCCGTGGGCCCTCGAGGGCGCGGGAAGAATGCTTAACACGATAACCTCAGTGGCTCCAGACCCCTGGCCTTTCATGCTGGGTGGCGGTGCCAAAGCTGGAGCCGAGCAGCACAAGCCGGCGGGAGCTGGAGCTCTTTGCTGCTCGTGCGTACTGGAGAGATGCCCTGTGAGCCAGGATGCACAAGTCGATCGGCAATATCAAAACCACTCTCGGTGTGCAGTAAACCGTCCGAGCGTGCAAGCCAGGCAGCCATCAACTACCATTGACAGGCGTTTTCAGCTCAACTTCAGGGCAGCGAAATTACACCAGACTCATGACACGTTGCATCTAAACATGTTGCCCAACCACTCGCCCAATGTCGCCGGCCTGCTTGCTAGACGGTTTGCTGTCAGTCAGCTCTGGGCACGAGGTCCGTGGGTTCGCAGGTCAAGACGTCCAGGTTACCATCTTCGACACCGTTGTTGAGCCGCGCTAAATCGTCCCGTCTTTTTCGCCGAGCCAAAGTCGACAGCCCCTTTGTGTCACAATTCGAGGCGCAGCCAAGCAGCGAGGAAGGGGGTCGGTCGGCGGACGCCACACACATGACATATTTCGGTTTCCCCACCATAGCTGCTCGCCATAAGACGATCCGAAAATCTGGGGAGCGAGCAAGCGCACCCGAGAATGTGCCAAGGCGACGCGAGGAAGCACAGGCGAGCGAGCACATGTTAGGCGAGGCATCGCGTGGCTCGAAAGGCGTCCAGGTCGTCGGCCAGAGGGCGCGCCGGTGTTTGATGGGCAACCAGGGGGTGCGGTACTGCCACGCTCCGGCAGGGACCCCTTGACAAGGGCGCACACAACACAGCAAATAAAAAACTTCCGCTGCTACCGCTGAAAGGCCAAGGCCGCAACAGAGAGCAGGCATCACACTAGGCACAACACGCTGCACAGCCTTGCGGGGCCCTCACGCAACAGCGGGCAGGGGGTGCGCTGGGGCCAAGGGATCCGGGAAAGAAACGAGCCGGGCGGGAAGCCACCCAGAACACAAGTCACGAAAAGAGCACAGGTTCGCGGGCGACGACGCCTCACAAGAACTTGACAGACCTGTCACACTGGTGGCGGCGCCCATGGTAGGTACGCATAGGAGGCGCAGAGGGCGGAAGCGCCCTGGCCGACGGAAAAACTTAGAATTGTTCGACCACCCCCGCCCGCGGAAACAAAACAGCACAGCAGTTGTTAATGCACGCAAACACATAGGACGCGGCCGCATTGTGAACAGCATGTAAATGATAAGATGGCGCCGAAACGAAACCAGATTTACGCGCACCGCTCTGATCCCCGTAGAAACAACGAGGGGGTGTTGATGCCGCTTCCCGCCAGATGTGATGTCCTCACAGATGATCCCCCGGCCTCGCGATTGGCTATGCAGCAAGATCGCTCCCAATACTCCCGGCATTAGCAGAAAGAAATGACACATAATAGACCCCCCGTCCCCTCCAAGCCAATCAGCCCATACGAGGGCGGGAAACAACATAACCAAGGAATGGGGAGGCCAAGGGTGCAGCAATGACATGGGTAATAAGAGAGCAGGGAGAATGAAAGAGAAAAAAGCACAGAGATCAAGACCATGGATGAGAAAAACCCCCCAACCCCCTGTCCCGAACATGAATTTTACCAGTCCACCCTGAGCCTTGGCTCTCCGAGGTGAGCCCGGCCCGGACATGGGCGCCAGAGAGAGACAGCACGAAAGAAGAAGAAAAGCAAAGAAAGACGGCAACTGCCAGGCAAGGCGTCGTCACCGCCAGCAACCAACCATCAAGCCACGCTCCCGCCCAGAATTCACAGCGGCGTGATCTGTGTGTTGAGCGACACCGACCTCCCCTGCGCCGTCAGCTCCGTGGCGAGCTCGAGCAGCTTCTGGACGTCCTTGTGTAGGACGCCGCTGATGTTGAGGTCCAGCCTGAACAGCACGTCGCCCTGCTGCATCGCCCCTGCCGCCACCGCCGCCGCCGGCGGTGCCCTCGGTCGCCTCGACGGGGCTGCTATGGGTGATGATTTTGATGAGGATGGTGATACTGAGGTTGCGGCAGCGGCGGGGGCCTTGGATTTCAAGCTTGGCCTCCCCCTCTTGGCTGGCGTCTTTGCCGCCGGCGGTCTGTTGACGTCGTTGGCTCCTGAACCGTCACTCTTGCGCGCGCGTTTGGCAGGCGGTGCCTCCGAGTTGGCGCGGCGCTTCTTAGACGTCGCTGCCGGTGTTGCTGTTGTTGTTGTTGCTGCTGCTGTCCTGTCGTCGGGCGCAGACGCCGAGCTCGTCCTAGCCCGGCGGCCGCGGGCGGGGGTTGTGGTTGTGGTTGTGGTTGTGGTTGCGCCGTTGTTGTCTCCTCCTCCTGCTGCTGCTGCTGCTGCTGCTGCCGCTGCCGCTGTTGCACCGGCACCCCGCTTCTTGGGCGTGAGCTGCCTCGTCAGGCCGTTTGCGGCCAGGTACTCGAGCACGAGCGCCTCGCTGGACCGCATGATGACGTCGAGCGGCTCCCAGCTGGCGGACCCGTCCCGCGGGTCGCCCCTGTAGCCGACCCAGTGTATCAGCAGCCCGGGCGCCTTGCCCGGCCGGTGGCCCAGGATGCGGAAGACGCGGTACGTGGCGCACTTGATGGTGTTCTCACGCGCCCGCCCGAACGACGCCCAGTACGCCACCACTTTGTCCTCGTTCACGCGCTGCACCCACTCCTCGGGCACCTCCCGCCGCGCGTCGTCGGTCGCCCGCCTCGTCGTCAGCGTCACCGTGCTGTCCTTGCGGTTGATGCTCCAGTCCACGATGCTGTCGAGGGCGTCGTCGTAGTCTGGCGCCGGCTGGCCATCGTCGTCGTCCTGCGGGCCTTTATTGTGGTCGTTGATGCGCCGTCAGTATCGCGAGCATTCTGAGAGTTATGTGACCGGAGAGGAGGGGGAGGCACGGCATGCGACAGGTGCAGTTGCTAAACCCGAATGATACTGGAATTCGTCTATAGTATTACATACCCGTAGTGGCCGGCGCATCTTCAGTCGTCTTCACCATGCTGAAGATGCACAGACAGTAAACCCCCACAGATTGGCGGGGGATGCAAAGAGTGCGGATATTGGGGTGTCGGTTCCCCAAGTCAATTGCGCCTGGCGATTTTTTTTATTGGTGTTGGAGATGTTTGCGCCGCGCGCGACGACGCGTCAAACGGGAACTGGAAGAGCTCTAGTGGGGACTTTGAAGCAGCACCCGCGACTGTTCAATCTAATCCTTGGAGCTTAGGTACCCTTGACCTGGAAGCAACCAGCGACGTCAACATGGTCTGTGCTTGCCCTACTGGATTCTGTGGGCCTGGGGGTGTGTCGCCATTGAGGAAAGGGTGACCATCTTGTGAAACGGGCATGACTGTTTGTCTGTTTGCAAATACCAGTATCTCTCTAGATACTGTGCCCTTGAATACCATATAAGATGATAACTACAGGAGAATACTCGAGCTTTTTCTCAAAAGGCTGTTGTCGAGATGACATTCTGGTGCTTAAAAAGTAAACTGCAAAGTCTCGGGTGCCACCAACATATGTTGACATTTGTGTAAAAGATGATACTATTTGTTGTTGAAGTTTTAATACCACGGGGCTGTCGATATTCAACAGAATCGTGGATAAACACCACCACTCATGCTGACGTTTAAACCCAAATCAAAAAAGGTATTTACAAAGGCTAAACAATCAAGTTTGCATCATAACACCAATGATGTGGAAATATCACGTTAGTATCGATCGACACAGTTGTGAACAGTTCAACAGCAAAGTTGGCCGTTAAGCTCATCGACTTCATTCTGTAAACCGAGTCAATGGTTTCTATTTTGACGCGTTTCTCCATGCGCATGTGCCGATCCCAGCGCTCTAGCCACCCGCAGCAACGCCACGGCTCGTGGCCGCGGGTGATGCCATTAACGCTACCCTCACATCCATTTTTAGCAATCGAGAACGCTCCCCCAGCCCGGAAATAGAAGCACCTACGAACTTGAAGGACAAAAACGACAATATAAAAGCGCTGCTTTCCAACCTCAACGAGCTTTATAAAAAAAATTTTCATTATCATTATCCATTGATCCTTCCAGCCTCTCCTCTACAAACTATCAACCACTCGAATTTGTTAGCTACAGCGTTTTGCTTTGCCTCCCATTTTTCCCGTTAACACTTTTTTACTTCTCCGCCGCTACCCTTATTACCCTCCTGGCCGCCACCCAGGTCGCCGCGGCGCCCCTGGGCGCTACCGGGAGCGACGCAACCGCCGTCCGCATCGCCAATCGGGACGTCTCCGCATCCGCCGCGGGCGCCGCCGCGCAGCCGCTCGTCCCCGCGACGAGGTGGCCGACGAGGCTCCGGCCGACGAAGAGCCCGAGCAAACCGCCCCGAGGCTAACCGCCCGGCGCACCGGGCGGTTGGCCGGGGCGTTGACGCGCGCTGGTGGGGACACGGGTTCCGCCGCCGTGTGCGGCGGGGGCAGGTGGTCGGGCTGCTAAACGGACGGCCGCTGCCCTCCGTGCCGGCGGCGCACAAAGCTGCCCGGCTTTCTCATCTTTATCAGCGTTGGAATTCGTAGTAGCGTGGAGTCTTTGCTTTTATGGCTCTCTTTCAACCCATCTTTTGGTTTGCCTTTTTTTTTCTTTACATGCTCTTTTCAATGCAAGTTCAATCTATGGCCAAAATTGATTGTGTCTTGTCGACGTGCAATAGAATCCGGTATTGGAATTGATCTGTAGTAAAAATACACCGCGCAGAGGAGCATCCCCCACCTGGTAGAGGTTTCCTACGAGAAACCGTGGGTTGAAAACTGCCAAGTGCCCAGCCAATTGGGTCCCTGGACAAGCATGGTCGCTGAATTGGGAAGCGAAACCATGACAGGCGATTGCTACAGGCCTGCTCACTTCATTCATCACCAAAACTAAGGGTAAGGAAAGGTATCGGGCTTGGCCTCCTTGGGTGGCGCGGACTCGGCCTCTTTTGCAGGATGATTGTTCTCCTTCAGTGACTCGCTCCCTGCGGCGGCAGATGGTGTGGTGGTGGACGCGTTTTGATCTCTAGAATCCGTGACCTGAATTGCCTCCGTTTCAGGTTGGGAAGCCGTGTTGGCAAGGTTGTCTCTCGCTGGCTGCGTGTTCTGGTCTGCCGAGCCAGAGGCACTGCCATCGTCTGCCTGGTTGGTCTTGGCAGTCAAATCGCCGGTCTTGTCTTCTGTCACGGGAATCGCGGAGAGGGCGCCGGGGCCCTGGTCTTCGTGTTTCGAAACGACCCCCACATTGTTCTCTGTTTGAACATTCTGCTCGGCATTGGGCTCGTTTTCGTCCTTCTTCTCCGCGCTCTGCGTCTCGACGAGCTTCAGTCCAGTCTCGACGCCCTCGGTCAGCTTGCGCACCTCCTCGTCGAGGTCGGGCGGGCCCTCTGCGGCCCTGCCGAGCTGGCGGTCCGCCTCCTCGTCGCCCACGACGGAGCGCCACAGCGCCTCGAGCTCGTCGCGCCAGCCGAGCAGGTCGGCGAGCCTGCGGACGCCGTCGTCGCAGGGGCCGATCTCGACGACGTCGTCGGACCGGTCGCCGACGCGGTGGACGCGCTGCTTGTTGAGCAGCAGGCGCGGCACGCCCGCGGGCACCATGTCCGCCAGGCCCGCGAACGGGTAGACGCTCAGGCTGGTGCCGATGATGATGACCGCGTCCGTCATGACGACCTTGTGCGAGTTCTCGCGGAACCCTGCCGGCAGGGGCTCGCCGAAGAAGACGATGTCGGGCTTGACGAGCCCGTTGCACTCGTCGCAGTGCGGCACGACGCCATCCTCGACGTGCTTGCGCATGCGGTCGCCGTCGAACTCGGCGCGGCAGTCGATGCACCGCTGCGTCGCGAAGCTGCCGTGCGCCTCGACGATCCTGCTATCCGGTACGCCGGCATGGCGCTCGAGGCAGTCGATGTTTTGGGTAAAGTCCACGTGCAGGAGGCCCTTCTTGTGGAGCAGGGCGATGAAGGCATGCGACAAGGTAGGGTAGAAATTGCCCGGATACAGCTCCTTGGCAAGATAGTAGAAAGGCTCGGGATGCTTCCTGAAGTACTCTATATCAAAGACAGCCTCGGCGTGTGGCAGGTTTAGGCGCTCGAGGTTGGAGTAGAGACCAGTACCGGGAGAGCGAAAATCGGGGACTGCGGGGTACAGTAAGCAAACATGCTTGATGGAGTTGCTTGCGGGTAGATGGGTAGGTAGCTTAATAGGTAGATGGTAGGTGGCAGGTGTCAGGTGTCTAGGTGGGTGCCATACTTCCCGCAGCCGTCGAGATGCCGGCGCCCGTCAGGACGATGATGCGCCTCACATCGCCAGACTTGATGTGATCCGCAAAGGCTTCGAGGGTTCGGGCCTCGAGCCTGCGCGGCTCGCCGCCCATATCGGGCAGGGAGGAGAAGAAGCCGAACATGGCGGCGGCGGTGGCGGCGGCGGGCTTGGCATACGGCCCAGGCAGGGGCCTCGGTTTTAGGCTTTCTCTCTTCCCTTGCTCAAATTGCGGTGTGTCTGCAGAGCCGCAGTTGGTTGGGGCTTGGGTCCTGCGTGCCGATAGCTCAGGTGGAATCTGCGTCCACATCAATCAGCAATCGCGGCTGACCCCGCAACGGCTTTAAGGGTCGACTTGGGTTCTGCCGCACGAGTGGTGGCACTTGTGCGGTATGGGACGAACCTCTTAGCGCATGTATGTACTGTGTAGGTATGTTGTGTAACCCCGCGGCCTGGCGTCATTGGAAGGGAGCTAAGCTCCGTGGCACAAGATTTGACTTCCAATGGGTTCAGGGTTCAATGTTATGTGTGCTGATATTGGCACCATCTGCTGCTGGCCGGCCGCCTTTTTCGTGGCCCCCATCCTTGCACATGCACACACTTGAAGCCTGTGCAGATATCTGCTACGGTTCCTACTGTCCCACGGAGACCTTTAGTAGGCCTGCATTTTTTTCTATACGAGAGTGAGGCTTCCAATCTAGCCACCTGATCAAAAAATTCCTCCTGAAAGCGGTGAGGGGCGATTGACGTCAATCTGGCCCGACCCCGCCTTCGGTAGCTGAAGAGCGTGGGGGGACAACAGCATAGGGTTTTGCCGTTACATATTCCGGCCCTGTTATCATAGTGAGGCCCTACCAATGCGTGTCTCGCAAAGTTTACCTCCTACCTTTGCTATACCCGTGCGACACTATATATCTGCGGCCACACGATGGCGCCCAACGCCCTAAGCCCACAGCTCCCCCGACATACCGTTATCGTGGGTGGCGGCATAGTCGGCGCGGCGACCCTGTTCTTCTCGGCTCGGCACCCGGCCCGATTAGGGGCTGCGGAGCGCTCCAAGTTGACGCTGCTGGAGGCAACCCGTGAGCTCGCTCCCGCCGCAAGCGGCAAGGCTGGCGGATTCCTGGCGGTGGACTGGCACGGTGAGGCAACAGCAAGTCTGGCGAAGCTGAGCTTCGAGCTTCACCGTCAGCTCGCCACCGAGGGAGGAGGGGCAACAAGATGGGGATACCGCAACGTTGAGGTACGGGCTGCTGAGGCCGTGACGCTGCTCTTCTCTGATTCCGACCCTGAATAATGTCAAAGCTTGTCGACGCGCGATACTGACAGGCTCCGGGCTGGGATAGACCCTGCAGGTGAACTTTGACACGGCCACCAAGAGCTCCTCAGAGTGCCCCAAGGAATTGAATTGGATCAACCCGAAGATCGTGACCTCAACCAAGAAATTAGGAGGTGGCGGGAGTACCGGTCAGGTGACACCAAAATACCTGGTCGAGTATCTTGTGGAGGAAGCAAGAAAGCAGGAAGGAGTCGATGTCCGTCTGGGAACCAGTGTCATCGCTCTTGACACCACAGGAGACGGACGGGTTAAGGGGGTGCGTGTGCGCAAGTCGGACGGGAAGGAAGAGCTTATAGAATGCGATCGCGTCGTCGTCGCAGCCGGCCCCTGGACCGGTTCGCTTCTGCGCGCGCTGGTACCGGACTGGTCCGCGCGCATCCCGCTCGAGCTGTTGCAGAAAGGCAAGTCGATCGACGGATCGCGGGCGCACTCCCTCGTCATCCGCGGCAAGCTGCCGACAACGGCGCATTGCCTCTTCACCGAAATCAAGTACACGGCCAGCGACGGCAGCTCGCGGGCGGCGGGTCCTGAGGTGTATTGTCGCGGAGATGGTACCGTTTACCTGTGTGGCGCGACAGATTCCGTCCCACTCCCGAAGAGGGCGGACGAGGTGGTGTGTGATTTCGCAGAGATAGCGCGTCTTCTCGAACAAGCTCGTGTCGTGGGCCCAAACGTATTTGGCGAGGGCGCCAAAGTGGAAAAAGAGCAGGCGGTAGGTTCTGTCTTTGGTGGCGTGGCTTGGGTAGGTATAAGGAGTCTGACTGACACGCAAAACTTTGGCGTCTTGCAGTGCTATCTCCCCGGAGGACCCTTCAGCGGCCCTCTGATCGATGGATCGGCCGACCATGGCCTTTTCATTGCTTCGGGCCACACATGCTGGGGCATCACGCTGGGTCCGGGGACAGGCAAGGTGATGTCGGAGCTGCTGTATGACGGGAAAGCGATCTCTGCCGACATCAGCAAGCTGCAGGCATAAGGGGAGTGCTCTATGGCGCTGAGAGCCGTGGGATCATGGAGGTAATATTGGCATGTTGTTGCAAGGACGAGGATTTCAGTTTGTGTGGGATGTTGGGTGCAGGTTTTTGGAGAAGTGGCCGGGAGTAACCGGGAGTGCCAACACCCTGAGCCGACTGTGCTTGCCCAGGTTGGTTGTGGGGCACGGGTCTTTACTTCCGCCAGTGGTTTTCATGCTAATAATATGCACACAAGCTTGTGTCGCCACCGTTCTGCGGCACAAGGGTCATGTACCTGTACCTGTGCTACCTTTTGTGGATGGTGCCTGAACGCCCCCAAACGCACATTCAAACGCTTGTTACCGAAAACCTAACCCAACATACTGATCCCCCGCAATATTCAGACTGGAGGCTTTGGGTCACGCTCCCACGGGCGGGCAGAAATCCATGTGGCTGGGAGCAACACGCCAGCCCAGCAGGCACACACCGCCAGACCGGCCAGACTGATTTGGTTACTGCGACAGAAGTGCCCCCGCCGACCCAAACCCTTGGCCCAAGCAGCGAGCCGTTGGTCGCGGTGAAAGCTGCCGAAACAGGGGCCTCACAACGCGATGGGCGAGCCAATTTCCAACCTCGCAGAAGGGCTCACATCCCCCTATCCATCGAGTCCAACCATGAGAAAGTCCACTGTTAGTATCTACCATCTACTGATACTGCTCCAGCGCTCAGTCGTGGTGCGCGTGCCACGCCGGCGCCTGCTGACCTCGTCGCCCCCGTCCTCCAGAACGGCCCACAGTCGAAGCGCCATGCGCCAGAGTTCTCGCGCTCGCTGACGAAGCGACGCCGCCTGGTGTCTCTGGCGAATGCCAACGAGGACCTGGGTAGCTCACGGATCCTCCACGTCAGCGACGACGACGACGACGCCGCCGCCGGCCACGACGAGCTCTCGGCCATCGACTGGCAGGACGACAACACGGGCCCGCCGCCGCCGCCGTCCTCGGACCGCCCCGTCAGCAGCATGCGCCGGTCCCACGGCCCAGACTCGGCCACATACCACACCACCACCACCACCACCACCAACGGCAACACGAACCAGCTCTCGCGCCATGTTCATGCCACCATGACAGACGCGCTGCTCCCAGGCCGCGCTGCGACGGGCCAAAAGGTGCGCGCGCTCGCAAACGCGCTCCTCACTAACCCGCCCCGGTCCGCCCGCCCCTCTGTGACCGACACCCAGGACGCCGCGGCGCGCGTCGCGGCGCTGCACGAGGACTACAAGACGCTCGACGCCAAGCTCCAGCTGGCTACGGCGCGACTAAGCGAGCAGCTCCTCAGCGCCGACCCGGCGGGCGGCAACAGCGGTGGCGGCGCCACCACGGCTGCCGCGACGCCCGCGTCCCTGCGTCCCGGGAGCTCCATGCCGGTGGCGGTGCACGTGGACGAGGACGACGCGGTCGCGAGCGCGCTGTCACACATCGCTAACCTCGAGGCGCGGCGCGCGGGCCTGCTCGCGCGCCTGCACATGGCGCAGGCGGCCGAGCTCGACGTGCGCCAGCAGCGCAGCGGCCGCCAGCTGGCCGTCCAGGTCGACAACGCCCGCGTCTTCCGCCGCGTGCTCGAGCTCGGCCCCTCGGGCGTCGCGTCCCTGCTGCGCGTCCTGCTGGCGTCCGCCGGCGTTCGTCCGTCCGACGGCGGCGGCGGCGGCGGCTCCGAGGAGGACGACGCTGCTGGTGCCGTCGAGGCTGTCGAGTGCAGGGCCAGGATCAGGCAGGCGCTCGACGACGATCTCATCCGCGAGGGCCTGTTGCCGGGCTCGTCCCGGGGTGTGGACCGCGGTGACGGGCCGACCGACCTCATCGACCTGGGGGACACGAGCCACATCCACGACGAAGAGAGGTGATTCCTTGCCCGCACCTGAACGCGCGCGGCATGTTTCGACAACCTTTGTCTTCATTTGTTTCAACATATTCTCACCCTATCACACGTGGAGTGACAACCAATAGCTCCCTGTTATTATCTCGGCTGGCTACCTACCTCGCACATTTCCCATTTTCTCTTCATATCATGAAAATAATCTTGCTGAACCATCATACCCATTTCTGTTCTGTCTTTTCTCTCTCGATTTCACATGATACCTTTGCTTTGCTGCATCTTTCTTACTGTACGCAGGTTACCTGGGGATCGGAATCGGTTATACCTTGACGCACGCAATGATGGTTGGTGGGCGTGTTTTGTGTTGATAGGGTTTGCTGGCCCCGAGGGGATGGCGCGTCCTGGTAGCGGCGGACGTTTCCCGTCCATCAATCGCAAACAATAAAACTTGCAGGATCAACGCAAAACATCTGTCACGCGCGCACAATTTCTGTTCCCGATGCTGCCTTCTCCTGGGGTAGACATCTCCGGTGCCATGCTCATCGTGCAACCCCGGGTCAGAATCACCTCAGCGGCCGTCGGCGACGTGTCACCGATACAGCACATACATGTCCGCTTGAGAGGGGGGGCCGCACTAGGGAGTTATGTAATAGGCTCGGCGCTCTGCCTAATGGGGGGGATCGCGTGCCGGAATTACGTGAAAGGCAGGGGCCCCTGCCGGCCTGCTCGTGATGGCTCGACATCCTTCCATAACGTCAAAATGACGTAAAATGCCGATGTCGCGATGCCAATGCTGCGGACAACTAAGTGGTAACACGACATGGCCGGCATTACGGCTTACGTGCGATGCCTCGACCGGCAAACGCGCCTTGGAGGAGGATATAACAGCTTTGAGGAGACGCCGTATCTGCAGCTAGACGTTTTTGCTCCCGAGACTCGGGCTCCGCGGCTCAGCCAAGGACATATAAAAGCTCGCCCATCTCCTCCTTTTACCAACCGCCACTCTACGAGGACAGCTTTACGCATCCGACCCACCACGCGGACAGCTTTATACTCTAGACACACACAAGGCCACACACATGCCAGCGGCACCAGCACCGACACAAAGCCACCCCCGCCGACGACCCGCCAGGACAGCGCAATGCCGCACCGCAAGCACGCCCCCGTGGTGAAACCGCTCCTGCTGGCGGGCGGGCCGTCGGCGCGCCTGGGGTTCCCCAAACACCTGCTCCGCATGCCCGACGGGCGGCCGCTGTACCAGCACCAGCTGGACCGGCTGCACCGCGCGTGCCCGGGCGCCGACGCGCTCTACGTCTCGCTCGGCCGGTCCTCGGTGCTCGACGGCTTCCTGCGCGACGTGGCCCGCCCCCTGCTGCCGCGCCGCCGCGGGAGCGCCGCGGCCTCGACCCCGGGCCCCATCGCCGTCGTCTACGACAGGGAGGAGCGGGACGCGCTGGGCGGCCCCGTCGCCGGCCTGCTGGCCGCGCACGACGCGGACCCGGACGCCGCCTGGCTCGTGCTCGCGTGCCACTACCCGCTGCTGACGGGCGACGTGCTCGCGCGCGTGCGGGACCTGCACGAGGGGGCGCTGACGTGCGTCAGAGGCCCGGACGGCGAGCCCGAGCCGCTGATCGGCCTGTGGAGCCCCGAGGCGCTCCGCGAGCTCGCCGCGCGGGTGAGGGGAGGGAAGGCGGATGGGGTGGACGAGGCGCTGGGTTCGTTCGTCGCCGAGTGCGGCAGCCTGGTCGTGGATCCGCCGGAGCCGAGGACGAGGGTCATGATGAGGGTTGAGACCGAGTCGGACTGGAACCAAGTCTACAGGCTGGCGAGTGAGGCGGCAGCGGTTGGGAAGAAGGACCGCGTAACCAAGGGGAGCTCGATCCAGACGATGCGCAGCGTGGCCGCGTGAACTAGATGTGCCCACAAAGCCAAGGGGCGAATAGCGCCCTAGGATATGACGGCTGACGGCACTAAAATCATGGCGCGGCCCACGCGTCAGGTGTCCAACCTCCAGGGGTGACGTCTGGCCAATAAAGCCCCTGCGAGTACGAGCCGTCGCCGTATATAGACGAATCGATGAACTGAAGATCAAGCGCGGGCTGCGCCAGAAGCTGATGTAGGGAGGACTCGAGCAGTGCGGTTCCTGTGATCCCATTCTGCGTCGTCCAGAGCTGTTGCTGGGCTGGTCCGGCGCCCATACCGGCTCCCGCTGTAGCCACTGGGGCTCCAAGCAAACCGGTCGTGTCGGTCGCGAGTGCGGCCCCGCCGGTGCTGTGCTGCCCCCTCGCCGCGGTAGCGATTCCAGTGTTGGTGCTGACCATGGGTGAGACCGAGCTCGACGGGGCGCCGGCCTTCCGGAGCCGTGCTTCCGCCAAGGCCGTCTTGATAGCGTCCACGTGGCGGCACCACTCGCGGCCGGCGAAGCTGCCGTTGTTCTTGACCTGGTTGAGGATCGAGGCGGCGGCCTCGAAGTGTTCGCCGTCGGAGCCGTTGTCGGCCCCGCTGGGGAGGAGGCTGGAGACAGCCATGACGGTAGCGGCCGAGAACATGTACTGGGAGTAGAAGTAGTTGAATGTCGCAAAGGAGCCGTCAATCCACGCCTCCTTGAGAAGCTGGACCGAGTGGCGGGCGCTGCGGATGCAGGCGTCGGCCACTGTCATGGCCACGGCGGGGATCGGGGGTGCCGGGTCCCTGGGCTCGGGCGGGCGGTCGTCCGTTTCTCGCGGCGGCCACGAGGCCACGTGTGTGCGGAGCACATGGAGCAATATGGGTCTAGTCGCCGTGACAAGGCACTGTTGTAGAGCACGCAGACGCGTCTGTGGTTAGCAAGTTGCGGCTTGGACATCTGCCGAGCGAGAGGAGGGGGGCGACCGGGACTTGCCTGGTTGAAGGAGAGGTGCAAAGGAAGGGGCTTCGGCACCGCCTCGGACAAGCCCGAGCTGCAAGAGTCTAGATGCAGATAACTTGGGAGCTCGTCGGCCCAGGCCCGAAGGTCAGACAGCGCCTCCTGCACCCTCTGAGACAGCGACTCTTGGTGAATCCTGCGACCGTATATGGACTGGGTGATTTTGCCGGCTACCCGCGCCAGCTTGATCCTCGCAAGACTGTATCCGGCATCGAAAAAGTCTCCCGCATCGATCGTGCCCTCGAGTGCAGACTGATCTGAAGGAAAATCGACCCGGATCTCATTGTCTTCAATCGCAACTGGGTTCCCGAGCTTCGCGGCCCACAGCCTGTCAAAGGTATAAGCGGTCCACCAAACCCTGCATCGGTGTTCCCGGGCTGCCACGTCAGTGAGCTGAGACGGGGGCACGTTTACGTGCAGACCCATCACAACCGCCAAGCGGACTGCCGAGCCGGCGAGCGTGTAGGCCGTGTGTCGTCTGTTGAGGGCAAGGGAGTAAAATGACTGCATAGCCAGAGGAAGGAGAGGGATTAGAACATGTCATCAAGAAGTGCAGGGCAAGTGGCGTCTGGTCAGTTCTCACCAGAAGAAGCCTGATCTCGATGGCCCCTATCCGTGGGCGCTCACTGACTATGCGCATGATGCGGGTAGCCCGGGCAAAATAGTGAATGCCAGGGAAGCAGTTTTCGGCCGTGTCGGCAGAGCGGGCCGAGTACATCTCGCCCAGCGCAAAGAGGGCCCACAGCTTGCACCGGAGGAGCGAGTCGCTGGACCGGGTCGGGTTCGCGAGCGTCTGCTCCAGCCCCTCGAGGATCCTGCTCCGGCGGACGATGTGGTAGTGGTGGCTGGCGTACCGGAGCGCGACGTCGACCAGGAAGCGGGCGCGCGAGGGGCTGGGCCACTCGCAGTCGGTGTCGGACAGGGCGAGCAGGTCCTCGTCGGTGGCGTAGTTGACGCGCGGTATGTGCCGGCCCCCGGCCACGGCCTGGCGGAACCGCGTCGCGAAGGCCGCGTCCGAGGCCTCCCCGAGCAGGATCGGGGTGTTGGGGATGTTGAGGTCGAAGAACCAGGGGCGGTCGTCGAGCGAGATGGCCTGCTGCCCGCCGACGCAAGCAACTTCTCTTGCATCCTGGCGGGGAGCAGCAAGGGTGCTTGGTGGTGGACGGTCGCCCCCGGGCTGTGCTGCTCGAAGCCTCTCATTCTCGGCGATTAGGTCGTCCAGATATCTTTAACCACGTCAGCGGACTGTCTGGAAAAGAGTTGATGTTGGCGAGGGGACATAAAGGTGTGCATGGAGTGTGCACAAGCCACACGCCGCCACCCACACGCCAGGAGAGTACCATGAACATACCGCTGGCTGACCTTGACCAGTCTGTTTCGACGTGGGTATGTGCAGTCAGAAGTCTTTCCTGCTTGGCGGCAGTTCTGGCAGGGCTGCCCGCCCGAGCACCTGACCTTGCGGGAGTGACATCTTCGACAGCTGGAGTGAGTGTTTGTCAGCGCACATGTCAGGTCAATACTCGGCGAGGTTCATCGCCGGAGCTTGCTGCTCACGCTGTTGGCTTGGTCTTTGCAGACGGCTTTGCCCCTGCTTTTACTGGAGGCAGAGACGGTGTCGAGCCCCCCTGGGAGGCCGTCTCATCGGCGCTTGGTGTGTCTTCGGCCGGCGTGCGATTCATCTCGGCGGATACTGGCTGATCTCGTACTTAACAGCGGTTGCAGCGCTACTTCGGCAACCTGACCCTGGCCACCAGAGTGATCAACAAGCCGTGAATGTGCGTTGCCTTTGTTTCGGCAAGAGTGAATCGAAGAGAACTTCTTCCATCCTGCAGGCTTGGTAGGCTTGTGCGGTCAAGGAGTCGAACTGGACGGTGGAAGACTCATCACAAGCAGTGGCGGGCGCCCCAGGAGCCGACACCGGGCGGCAAAATCGAGAAGCTTTGCCGAGGGTGAGAGATTTGGACAGTCTGTGCACTGTGAAATAACGCGGTAATATTCCGTTTAACACTGTGGTTCCAACAAGCAGTGTCCCCAGTAAATCGGCCTGCTGGACTTTTCCGCCGAAGTCCAAGGTCGGTCAGCATCTGCAGCTCGACCTCCGTCAGGGGCTTACATGCCGCATCGGGAAATGCCCAGTTATCGCAGTCACACTCGCATCTTCGCTCTCCACAGTAAATCTTGGGACTCTGGCGGTCGAAACGGCGAGATGTCTGGCGCAGATGCTTGTTGATCGGCAGCTTTGGCCGAAGGGCCAAGCAATGTTTGGCTTCTGGGGATAAAGACCAGAGAGCTGCCTGACCAGCAGAGGGTAAGAAAAGGGTGATCCATAGTGACAGATACAATACTACTTTTGGATTATTTGGATCTTGTTTCGCCTTCCCTGTCTATCATCCGCCATGCCACTACGCTCGGGCTCCGCCCTTCCTACCAGCGATGCTGCCCGGACACCACCGCACATACCAATCGCGGACCAAGAGGCTGGAACGACGCCGGTTGGGAAACCCGACCCTGGGCTGGTCGAGTCCGCCGGGCCATCATCCACACTCGGCGAAACGGTCGAGGTGGTCTTCCAGATCCCGGCTCGGCGACGATGGCTCATCCTCTTCAGCCTCTGCTGGGCGTCCTTCCCGCTCAACTTTGTCAGCAACTCCATCCTCGCCGCCATACCAGAGGTGGCCGCCGAGCTCAACGCACCGGCGTCCGCCGTGTCCAACGCCAACTCCGCCGTCCTCGCCGCCATGGCTCTGAGCGCGTTCGTCTGGCTGCCGCTGTGTGGGATCCTGGGTAGGCGGACCGCGCTGCTCAGTTCCCAGCTTGTGGTGATCGTGTCTCTTCTCATCACCGCCTTGTCTCCCAATTTGGTGTGCTTTGCGACTTTTTGGGCCTTGGCCGGCTCGGCGACGCCCTTTTTTCTCGTTGCCGGTCAAACAATCATAACCGATGTCTTTGAGCCTGTTCGTTCTATATCCCAAAAGCCTTTCTTTTCACAAAGTCTTACACGATGCACCGATAGACAATCCGAGGCACCGCTACTGGGTATTTCCTGGGAGTTTCTGTCGTCACCAACCTTTTGGGTACGAGTTTTGCAGTCCGTCACGAGAACCCTGGAGGTGATGGACGCCCAGGTCGCTGCGCTTCTTACTAACGGCCCGCCTTTTGCGCGCCCTCCGCAAAGCTCCTTTAAGCGGCGCTCTGATAGCGACATACACCACATGGCGGGCGGTTTTCGGGATCACGAGCGGAACCACCCTTGTCGCCTTCTCGCTCTGCTTCTTCTTGGTGCCAAGCGCCCAGGAGCTGAGCGGTGGGCTAAAGCCGGAAAAGGCCGAGAGTGGCCCGACCCTGGCGGGTGTACTCCGCGCTTTTAACCCGTCGGCGGTATTCCGGCAGCTCAAATACCCAAAGGTTCTCTTCTGTGTAGGCATTTTATTCCTTGCGCTACCCTAAAGCCACAAGGCACCAAGAAGCTGACAGAAGCAGCACATCGCCGCGGGCCTGCTTGGCTTCAACATGTACGCCATCCTGAGCTCGGTCCGGCGCATCATCAACCCGCGGTTCAATCTCACGTCTCCCCAGACGAGCGGTCTGTTCTACCTCGCGCCCGGCATCGGGTCCATCCTCGGGAGCACGCTCGGCGGGGTGATCTCGGACTGGGTCGTCAAGCGGTACATCAGGAAGCGAAACGGCCTCCGGGTCCCGCAGGACCGCCTTAGGGCTTGCATACCGCCCATGCTTTTCTTCATGCCACTTGGGACGCTGATGTACGGGTGGAGCGTGCAGAAGGAGCTCGGCGGCATGGTGATGCCGGCCACGGGCGCCTTTTGCCACGGCTTTGGGTTGATGTTGGTTTTTAGCTCGCTCAACACATATGCGGGTGGTGAGCTGGTTACCCAAGCATGAACCGAGACTCCCCATGTAGTTACGCTCCTTGCTGACGCTTGGCTGTGCAGAGGTGATCCCCGATCAGAAAACGGCCGTCATAAGCAGTAAATACCTTTTCCAGTACGGTTTCGCGTCGGCAGGAATTGGCGGTGCCGTTCCGATGATTGACAAAATCGGCGTTGGATGGGCGGTTACGATCAGTAAGCGGGCCTTTGGGGATGGCTTTGGAGAGAGACCATACTGATCCTTCAACGCTTTGATGCTCCTAGCAACCGGGGTGATTATTGTGGCAACTGTTCCTCTGGTTGCCATCATTGTGAATCCAACACTCGATCTGCTCTCTTGGCTCAAAACCGATGGCAAGGGTTCTCGGAGCGGTACTGATGGACACGCCGAAGTGTAGCTGTAAAGGATACTTCATCCAGAGACGATATATCCTGCCGCAGTGGCGCTTACGGTTGGCAACAGTGGCGTGTGGTTCTCATATGTTGGCGATGCTTGACGGCTAGGGCAGTGCCTTCTGGCTTTCATGACACACGTGGATGGTATACCCTGGCGGACTCGCGCAGTAATGAACAAGAAAGCGGCAAGAATATGCTCAGGGCCCAGCAGCTACGGGCGCTGCATGGATGTGATGTTATTAAACCAACTCCATCCCCTTCTTGATCATCTCTCGAGTCTCCGTGTCGATCTTCTCCTCGTCCAGCGCGACCTGGAAGCCATTTTTCCATACCGCCCACCTGTCTTGCTGGAAGCCTTTCCAGTTCTTGTCAGGGTGGAGGTCCCCGGCGACGCCTGTTCTATCGGGAAGATTACTGCCGGCCATGGACAGATCCCTCAGGCGCGCCCCGGCGTAGCGGAGCCACACGGCAGCGTTCTTGATGGCGGGCGTCTTGTCATGCGCTTGTTGATTTGGCGACGGCTCTTCGAATGCGTCGCGCATGGACCACAGCGCGTACATCGAGTAGTCGAACGGATGCCTCTTATCGACCCGCTCAACATCGGCGCGCATGGTCAAGCGGGCCAAAAACGCCGTCTGGTTGTTGAAGCTCTCCTGCTGCGCTGCCGTCGCGCTGGTATCAGAGGGGCCTTGGAGGTCGCCGTTAGAATACGACTGTATCTTATGGGTGTCCTGCGTACAGGAATATGATAATGCGCAACTTACTGAAGTTCCATATATCTCTGGCCACCCAACCGAACTGGGGAATGTCATCCCAAACTTTCTGGTTCTTGTCTGCCAGAACCGCAGCGCCACCAGGGCTGGACACTGTCGTCTTGCGGAGCTGGGTCATGAAGTCGACGAGCCCGCCACTCTGACTCTGGTGAGGGGTATCTGCGGCGACCTGGAAGACGGCGTTCCATACATCCCACAGGACATCGCCGATCAAGTCGCCGCCCGGCACAATGGACCTTTGGACAAGCTCAGTGAGCTCGGCGACGGCCTTGGTGATGTCAGGTTTCTCAGCATCGCTGGCCGACTGTGTACTCGCCAGCGGCTGGAGCAGCCTGTATGCCGGGTGGGACGAGTTATCCCCGCTCATCTTGGTGTTGTTCTTGCGGGCGCTGGTCTGAAGTGGTCGATTCACTGTCCGAGAGGCACGAAGGCAAGTGGATGGCAGATATCTTGGTGTGGCGTTCGCTATTGCGACAAGTCGATGTCTCATTCCGGAGAGTTTGGGGGTGCGGGCGGTACCTGAGGGAGCTCCCCCGCGGCGGCAGGTTCGTGAGCCGGGATGGAGGGGGTTCCGTTAAATTGTGTTTCGTTTGCTGCCGCCAATGCTTGCGTTAATGACGTGTCGAACCCTGGCATGTCTGCGTCCCAGTTAGAGTGAGGGGTCAAGGATAGGGGTGACAGGTGGAGCCCAGCGGGACGCTGCAGCGCAGCAGTGAGTGGCTTGAATGCGGCATATCCCTTCAAGTGCCGTTAGGCCCAGGTCGCCCGCATAGGGGCAAAGGCACCCCTGCTTGTTGTTGTGACTCGGAGGTACGGATTTGCAGGAGCGCGGTGCGAGTATTGCGAGGTACCGCTTTGTAATAATGACTGGAGCTGGTACTTTTATCACGGGCTAGAAAAGGTGCAGGTGGAAGTACCGAAAAAATGAACGTTTTTATTGGCTGAAGCACGCGAGATCAGCGACCGGGGGCTCAACGGCACCCAAAGGGAAGCGAGCGTGTTGGCGCGTGTGCCCCCCCTTGGCAACGGCCTCCCGCGGGCCTCAAGCTTCGATCCAGGAACGGGCGTGGTCAAATGCGTTTCTTGTTTCTTTGTCTATGTATAGCCTGTAGCCAGCCCTTCGCTTCTTTACACAGTACGCAGTCACCATCGTGTCTCCCTCACCACCCTCCTCTCACTCACTTCTCTTTTTTTTCCTACACAGGCCGCGCCTTTCACTTCGAGCCCGCCCTCATCTCTAACCTCAAATCCAGTTAGGCGCGACCATGGTCTGCCTGCGCTCCACCCTTGTCCTGGCGCTGTGCGCTATTTCCGCCAGCGCCGCCCCGAGTGCCGGCCAGCTGCTCGACAAGCGACAGGGCACGACTGCTCTGGACACGGTGACGTGCGGAAGCAACAGCTACTCGCGCACCCAAATCGAGGCCGCCACGGCCGAGGGCTGCCGCCTCAACGCCGCCGGCCAGACGCTGGGAAACAACCGCTATCCGCACACGTTCAACAACCGCGAGAAACTGGTCTTCGCCGCGGGCGGGCCTTTCCAGGAGTTCCCGATCTTGTCCAACGGCCAAAACTTCACCGGGCGTAAGCACATCCCCTCGCCACCTGCAAGGCGCAGCCAACTTGTGATTCATGCACGCGGTTGACACTGAACCGAATAGGATCCCCTGGACCCGACCGCGTGGTTTTCAACCCCAACATCGGAGGAAAGTGTACCTATGTTGGATCCATGACACACACCGGTGCCTCCGGCAACGGATTTCTTTTGTGCACGACCAAGCAGTCTCGGTCGCAAACCCAGTCCGACAAGTCGGCCGCCTCGTCGCTAGGCGGCACCCTGGGAAAAGGCACTGCGGCTACGGTTCTGTCGATGCTCATCAATGCTCGCCTGTAAGGGTCGATTCACGACTTTGAGCGGCTCGCTCGGTGCTTGTGCAGCCTACAATTCAGTGCGCGCGGGGACTAGGAACAAATGCCGCCGTGTTATGTTATTTCATCTAGGGCCTGTCCTTTCTTTTTCTCTGCCCATATTTCAGCATTGATTGAGCTGATTCGTCCCCGTCTTGTCAATACGACGCACCTGAATTCAGGGGCGGCCGATCTGCATCTCCATCTCCTGTTTATTTGCTAGTCGGCCGACACTATGCTGGCCATGCCCCACAACGTCGCTACTTGTTCAACTACTGTCGGGACTCCAACGCCATCTTAGGGGTTTACACATATTCAGGACACAGCAGGCATCTTGGACAAGTTCAAGCTGTCACTTCGGCATTTCCATGCCGTCCATATCCCGTGTTCTGGTTTCATTTGACCCCCATCATGACCATCTTGGTCGTCAAGTACTCGTCGATTCCGTACTTGCTGCCCTCCCGCCCAAAACCACTCTCCTTGATGCCGCCAAACGGTGCTGCGGGATCGCTGATAACTCCTAGATCGGCCAGTTTTGTTAGCGCCAAAATGCCGGTACTCGCTGGTAGGCGGAATCGCGGGAAACTCACCAGTGTTGACTCCGACCATGCCGACCTCTAGCGCCTCGGCAACCCGCCAGCAGCGGTTGACGTCCCGGCTGAAGAAGTATCCGGCCAAGCCGACGTCCGCGTCGTTCGCGAGGCTTAGAGCCTCCTCCTCGGTCTCAAAAACAAAGAAAGGCGCAACCGGCCCAAACGTCTCCTCGGAGCAGATGCGCATGCCGGGCTTCATGTCTGCCAGCACCGTGATGTCGAAGTAGTTGGGCCCCAGGTCGGTCCGCGGCTTGCCACCGAGCATAACCCGGGCACCCTTGGCGACCGCGTCCTTTACGTGCTCGTCGACTTTTGCCACCGCCCGGGAGTGGATGAGCGGGCCGTGTGTCGTCTTGTCGCCAAAGCCGTCACCAACGACGAATTTGCTGACGGCGTCGACGGCCATTTTGAGGAACTTGTCGTACACGGCCCGGTGCACCAAAATGCGGTTCGCGCACACGCACGTCTGCCCCGATAGCCTGAACTTGGACGCGATGAAGCCCTGCAGGGCAACTTCGAGGTCGGCATCGTCGAAGACGATAAAGGGCGCGTTGCCGCCCAGCTCGAACGACAGTTTTTTCAGCGTCGACGAGCTCTGGCCCATCAGGAGCTTGCCGACCCCCGTGGACCCGGTGAACGACACCTTCTTGACGGCCGGGTGCGTGGTCATGACGTGGCCCACGGCGGCCGTGTTCTCGAGCGCCGTGATGACGTTGACGACGCCGGCGGGGATACCCGCCCTCTGCGCGAGCTCCGCCAGCGCCAGCGCGGACAGGGGGGCCTCGGCGGGCGCCTTGATGACGAGCGTGCAACCGGCGGCCAGCGCGGGCCCAACCTTGCGCGTGATCATGGCCGCGGGGAAGTTCCACGGCGCGATGATGCCGCACACGCCCACGGGCTCCTTGAGCGTCAGGAGGCGGTGGGACGGGTTGGCGGCCTGGATGGTGTCGCCGTAGATCCTCGGGGCCTCCTCGGAGAACCACTCGAAGAAGGAGGCGGCGTAGGTAACCTCGGTCCTCGAGTCGGCGAGCGGCTTGCCGTTCTCGAGCGTGATGATGGTCGCGAGGTCCTCGGCGTTCTCCATCATCAGCTCGTACCACCTCCGCAGGTACCGCGCCCTCGTCCTCGCGGGCGTCTTCTTGTAGGACGGTAGCGCCGCATGGGCTGCCTTTATGGCCGCCTCGGTGTCTTTGGGGTCAAACTCGGGGCATTGGGCCACCTCGACAAGCGTCGACGGGTCTGGAGCATGTTAGGAGCAGGTAGACTAGAGCGATGATGGGAGAGACACGTACTCTCGACTGCAAACAGCTTCCCTAACGCAGATGTGACCCATTGGCCGTCCACAAGACACTCCTTCTTCAGGAGCGAAGGGTCTCTGAGCTGTTTGCACATGTACATTGTGTTGTGTTAGCAAACGTCGTCCTCCCCGGTTCCTCTGTCTCGCGAAGCAGAAAGCGCACCTTGGGATGCGACATTTTGGGCGGCAGACAGCGCAAAACTCGATAGACTCTAGGGCTGTATTCTGTTGGGAAGGTGCATGCGAGTAGGAGAATGCCTGATCGATCGCCAACAAGGCCATCGTAAAACCTCGCCTCCTATATACGTCCATGGTGGCGGGCATTATCGACGTCGAGGCGCGCCGGAGCGCTTGTACTTTCCTAATTGGGAACAAGATTGTGACGGTTCGCCCCCCTGGCCAACAAGGTGGTCCCCGAGCCAAGTCACTGGACCAAATGTGCGCCTGCATTCTTTGGTGTCACAGCAGCCGAGGATGGCCGTGCCGATCTCGGCGATTTGGCATTCGTAAAGACTCGAGCTTGTTGATAAATCTGTCGAGCGATTTGAGCCATTGAACGAGAAGGGAGGACGCCAACTGTGGTTGGAAGGAAACATAGCACACAAAGCAAACAACAACCAAGGAACCCAAAGCCTGAAAAGTCACAGGCGGCAGGGACGCCTGAGCCGTGCTGGGCCGCAGCGAAAGGCCGAGAGCCAAACGCGCTGTGGGGAAGCCTTGTCGTGTGGGTGGGGCACCAGCGCTAGCTCAAGCGGGCTGCTCAAGCTGGGTTAGACCCCGGACTAGTTCTGCATCTGCAGCGACGGCTTACACAAACAACTCGGTCTGGTCCATTTGCCGGAGAAGGTCGCCTTGACACGGAGCCTGGCCCAATGGGAGGCCAAGGTGAGTCCTGCCCACGAAGGGCAGGTCGAGCCGCTCCTAACGGGTATAAATCTGGTCCTCCGCCTACCGAGGGGCGGGTCTTGGGCGATGGCCCAGCTTCATCTTCTTCTCTACCTCCTCCAGCGCTCCCATACCGCCCCTCGTGTGTCTTTTTCCGGCCCTCGCCACGCCTCTACGCTGTACGCAATATCGTCATCACCAAGGAATTCATCCCTCCAGCAGCCGACACCATGAAGGCCGAGGGGATGCCCGCTGCCGTTGCCCAGACGGTCATCACCGAGGTGCCTGGCCCCCTCTCCAAGGCCAGCACCAAAGAGCTGAACAGCGTCTTTGACGCTCGCGCCGTCCACTTTGTCGTCGACTACGAGAAGAGCTCTGGCAACTAGTGAGTAGTGTCACTACGATCCCTTCGGTCTAGGCTTAACCAACACCTGCCTGAACCTTGCCATGGCTCCCTAGCTGACACAGATGCATCTGGCAGCATTGTCGACGTTGATGGCAACAAGTACCTCGATGTATAAGTGCGCCTCCTGCTTGCGACGGCCCCTAAAGTTATACACCGCTGATGCAAGATTTCGTCCTCTAGTTACTCTCAAATTGCATCTATCCCGGTTGGCTACAACAATGAGACTCTGATCGAGGCGGCCAAGTCTCCAGAGATGATCTCGGCCCTGGTCAACCGGCCAGCCATCGGAAACTTCCCATCTTCATTCTGGCACGACATCCTGCAGGACGGTCTGTTAAAAGTTGCCCCGACGGGTCTGAACCAGATCTTCACCGCCCAGTCGGGCTCGGAGGCCAACGAGCTCGCCTACAAGGCCGCCTGTATGTTCTACAGGCGGCGCGAGCGTGGTGGCGCCGGCTGGGCGCAGGAGGAGATCGACTCCTGCCTCAAGAACTCCAAGCCCGGCTCTCCCGAGTTGGCCATTATGAGCTTTAAGAATTCGTTCCACGGCCGCGGCTTCGGCAGCCTATCGACCACCCGGTCCAAGGCTGTCCACAAGCTCGACATCCCGGCCTTCAACTGGCCCCAGGCCTCATTCCCTGCTCTGAAGTACCCTCTTGATAAGCACGCTGCTGAGAACGCGGCCGAGGAGAAGCGGTGCCTAGAGGAGGTCGAGGTCTTGATTGAGCAATGGTAAACGCTCCCCCGGTCCTTACTGGCGCGCTAGGGAATCTCCGCCTAGTAAACGCTCGACTAATTTCCATTCCAGGCACTGCCCTGTTGTCGGACTCATCGTTGAGCCAATCCAGAGCGAAGGAGGCGATAACCACGCATCCTCGGCATTCTTCCAGGGACTACGAGACGTTACCAAGAAGCACAATGTTGCTATGATTGTCGATGAGGTCCAAACCGGTAAGTTTCTTGAAAATCCTGTGCTTCTTAAGCCTACGGAGCTCGGCTCCCAGGCAGTAGACGATCGACTGGCTAACACGACTACATACAGGCTTCGGTTCGACTGGAAAGTTCTGGGCCCATGCCCACTGGAACCTGACCTCGCCCCCAGACATGGTCACGTTCTCTAAGAAGGCGCAAACGGCGGGATACTTCTTTGGCAATCCCGATCTGGTTCCTGACCAGGCCTACAGGCAGTTCAACACGTGGATTGGTGACCCGGCCCGCGTCATTGTCAGCAAGGCCGTCGTCAAGGAGATCCTGAACAACAAGCTGGTCGAGCAATGCGTTCGTGCCCCCACCATAAGCGACTCTGGCTTCGCGACCTGCTTGCTAACGGGATATGTGACTATAGGCGCGCGTTGGCGATGTCCTGCACTCCGAGCTAGAGAAGCTCGCGACCAAATACCCCGAGCACGTCAAGAACCTCCGTGGAAAGGGCCAGGGGTGAGTTGTACAGACCACGCTGTCACCGCGATGGGATGACGCATCATACTGACAGGGCTCTGGCAGCACCTATATTGCATTCGACACCCTGAAACCGGCCGAGTTTGTCAAGACGATGAGGCAGCTCGGAGTCAACATCGGCACCTGCGGCCTCCAGACCGTCAGGCTCCGGCCGATGCTGATCTTCGACGAGTCGCACAGTGAGCCCAACAACCGCTTCCCCGCCTTCTCTCAGAGACGCCTGCTAACCAACCACACCTGATTTGCAGTCCCGATCCTGATCTCTGCCATGGACAAGACGCTTGCGTCTCTCTAAGCACCTTATTCTATGCCAATTTTGCCATTTTCCACATATACCCCCCATCAGCTAGCTAGGGTATTTTAGGAGTCTTGGAGTTTGCTGCGGTTAAAGCAAGTGTCACAGGCTGAGATTGCTTATTATGGTTCGCGTTCTAGTGTCTCTTTAGCTTCTAGATTTACGCAGCACAAGACATGATATTTTAACTGTCCGCTCACGTTTTGCCGTGAACCGCCACGCTTTGAACCACCCTGTGGCCCTCGAATCGGAGTGTTCCTGGTCACAGGACCGATGGGTGACAGATGGCGCCTCACCGACGATAAGGCACCCGACAGGCGTTTCTGTTGTGGACCGCCAAGAATCCTTGTGTATAGACGCTCGGTACCGCCTTCGTGCACCGCCATCGGGTTGTTATCGCGTTTCGTTTGTGAACGGGTGGGTGGGTTCATTTGACTCGCCCCCACGGCTTGATGGCCAAGATTGTCTCCCGCGACCCCGCTAACTGACAAACCCAAGCTTAAGTACCGCCGTAAAGAAACGTCCACCCACCCGATTTACCTACCAACCCTTTTCCAGGCAAGCAAAAGCATATAGTTCAAAGAGGGGGTAAAATGTCGAGTCCGCGCAAGCACGTCGTCTTCGACGTCGTCGGCACCTGCATATCCTACGACGGCGTGTACGAGGCCCTGGACGAGCGGCTGGGCGACAAGCTCCGCGCCGAGGGCATCAAGCCCAAGCTGTTGGGCTACGCGTGGATGGAGGCGGCGGAGCGCGAGTACACGTACCTCAGCATCTCGGGCCGGTACCGGCGCTTCGACGACGTGTTCCGCTCGCTCTTCTACCGGGTCCTGTGGTTCGCGGGCGTGGCCGAGCCGCGCGCGTTCGCGGCCGACGCGGACCTCGAGCACGTGCTCGCGCGCTACCTCGAGCTGCGGGCGCGGCCCGGGGTGGCCGAGTGCTTTGACGCCCTGCGCGCCGCCGGCTTCACCGTCTGGGCCTTCACGACGGGCGCGGCCGAGCGCGTGAGGGGGTACTTTGTCCGCAACGGCATCGACATGCCGCTCGAGAACTTCCGGTCCTGCGACCAGCTCAAGGTCGGCAAGCCCGCCCCCGAGGCGTACAGGCACCTGCTGGACGGGTTCGCTGGCGAGGAGGCGTGGTTCGCGGCCGCGCACATGTGGGATGTGTCGGCTGCCAAGACCATGGGGTAGGTCGAGCTCCGTGATCTGGCCTTTTTTCTCTCTCGCACTGGATACTAAAGCTAACCATGGTGACCGCTCGGGTTGTTGGTGGCGCAAACAGATTCAAGGGGGCGTACTGCACCATCATGGAAAAGGAGCCCTGCACAGATATCTTTGGAGAAATGGACGTGATGACGGACAACTTCCCCGAGCTGGCCCGCAAGATCATCGAACAATCTGAAAAGAGCGCGTAGTAGGATTCTGTATAATAGATACGGATGGGAGTAACGAATGACGGGCGTTGCTTCCATGCTTACACCCCCATTGCCCGGTGTCACCAAACACCAGATCCCATTTTATGTGCCTATCCTCCCGCGTAGACTATCGCAACGTGTTCCCCAGTATAACCGCAGCTATCCCCACTACAGTGTGGCACCACATCCCTCCGGGGCCGATGAATGCGGTTTCCCACCAGTCTTTCGGTTGAACGGGGACTCCCCAATAGCCACTGCAAACGTCGAATCTGCCGTGGCACCCTGGCTGGCCCATGCTTAGGCAGTCGATGTCCGACATCAAGCACTGAGTGGGATGCTGCTGGAAGATGGTCCGCTCATTTATAGATCTGAAGTCGTGGACGAATCGGTAAACTCCCGGTACCAGCAATATCTAGTCGGGCATGGTGGGAGCTGCGCATGGAATCTATGGTGGTGGCTTGGCGAGACTGATATCCGTCATGTTATCTGCCCCCCTGGCCCCCGCCGTCAAGCCCCAGCGGGACCTCTGGGTTTTACAGGCGGGGTCTCTCGTCTGCAGAGGGGAAAACACTCTCGAACCAGGATGACAGCCTCGCGTGTAGGCGGGGTCGTCTGTGGAGCCCCAACCGGTTTCGGGCGGTGGAGGGACAGTTAGAACGGATGGGGGCGGGCCATGTCCCATGTCCTCCAGACTTTTGGGGACAAGTAGGAAACAGGCGGTGGGGGAAGTCAAGATAGGTGGAAGACGCTGGCGTTAGTACGTGTTGAAAAGCGCGTTCGGAGTGGTTTGGTATTCAAACTCCAGCACCAGTTCATTCCATATAACTCCCACCACTTCCGGCAGGCAGCAAAATGGGACAATTTGTTTTACAATGAAAACTGCCAGTGAAAACGAAATAAACGTTAAAAACCTACCTATTTAAACTTCCTACTCGTCCTTTACCTACCTTAAAACCACCCCCAAACCCCACTTTGTCACTTTGGCACCACCCACTCTCCAACCTATATCTTCACCACCCACCACCTCCCACCTTCCACTACACGTGTTCAAACACAAAAGCCTCACAGAACACCAGGTAGATATATCTTACCCACTTTGGATGCACAATTCGCTGACAATCAAAAAGCAACAGCAACAACGATATCAGCAACAACACCAACAACACCAACAACGATATCAACAATAACACCAACAACAACAACAACGACAACAACATGAGCAGCAGCCCGGCGTCCCCGCACCTCGAGCCCGTCGCCAAGCCGCGCTCCTCGTTCTGGAACGAGGAGAAGCGCGCGCTCGACGAGGTCCGCACCACGGCGGACCTACCCGTCACCGTCGATGTGGCCATCATCGGCGGCGGCTACTCGGGCGTCTCGATGGCCTACCACCTGCTGGAGCATGAGCTGGCTCCAGACAACGTCCTCGTCCTCGAGGCGCGTCAGATCAGCTCTGGCGCCACTGGCCGCAATGGCGGCCATATCAAGCCCGAGATGTAAGTTTTTTTTTTTTTCTGCTCTGCCTCGCGTTCTTGCTATCTTTATCTCATCACCGCCTTGATCTCATCACTAACTGAGCCTCGTCTTCATCTTTGCCCCATCATTCATTATTTTCCTATGATTATCACTTGTCCCATCACCACCGACGTCCTATCGCGGTCGTCCCAACATCGTCCTTTCCCTATCGTCACCTCCGTCCCATCACCATCAGCATCTCCGCCTCGTCGCCATTTACTAACTCCTTCCTCAGGTACTACAGTCTCGCCAAGTACGCCAAGGCGTACGGCATGGAGGCCGCGGCCGAGCTGAGCGCCTTCGAGGTCGCTCACGTGTACGCCCTCAAGGAGCTCATCGAGAAGGAGGGCATCGATTGCGACTTCCAGCTCACCCGCGCCATCGACGTCTTCCTTGACGCGGGCCACTTCGCCAAGACCGAGGCCGCATTCCACGAGCTGGTCGAGGCCGGGCTCGCCACCCTGCGCGACGTCGCCGTGGTCGGCAAGCAGCATGCCGAGTGGGTCAGTAGAACACAGGCTCACACACTCACGTCTATGCCACTTGGTATACACAAGAGACTCGAAAACTAACACAGAAAATAAAAATCCAGATCTCGGGTTTCAAGGACGCCAAGGGCGCCTTCACCTTCACGGCCGCCAGCGTCTGGCCGCTTAAGCTGGTGCAGGGCATCCTGCAGAGCATCATCGACAAGCACGGCGACAGGATCAACGTGCAGACCAGCACTCCCGTGCAGTCCGTGTCGCAGGAGCGGGACAAGCACGGCATGTGGACAGTCTGCACATCGCGCGGTGAGGTGCGCGCCCGGCGCGTCGTCTATGCCACCAACGCCGTACGTGATCACTGCTGCTTGCTTTGTCTGCTCACACGTGTTCTCAACTGCCCTTACTAAAACCCATGTTCCTTTTTTTTCACCTCATAGTACACCGCCGGCGTCCTGCCCGAGTACAAGGACCGCATCGTTCCCGTACGCGGCATGTGCAGCCGCATCCTGCCCGGCATGGAGGTGGTGCCGCCGCACATCAACAACACCATGGCGATCCGCTTCAACGAGCGCCACTACGACTACCTGGTCCCGCGCCCGGACGGCAGCATCATCGTCGGAGGCGGCGGCAGCACCTTCTGGCACAGCCAGGAGGCCTGGTTCGGAAACCACGACGACGGCGAGATCGTCGGGCTGGCCAAGAACTACTTCAACGATTACATGCAGCGTCACTTCTACGGCTGGGATAACACCTTTGCCTACCCAGATAATGTCTGGACTGGAAGTGAGTTGTCTACCTACCTTTGTGTTGTCTTGCATTGATTCTATAAGCTCCAACACCTGCCCAAACCGTCCAATTCTGGTCCCGTCACTGACAAACCACCTTTTCCTCTCCAGTCATGGGCTACAGCGCCGACTGGATGCCGCACGTCGGCCTCGTCCCCAAAAAGCCGGGACAGTACATCATCGCCGGCTTCACCGGCCACGGCATGCCGCAGATCTTCCTGTCGGCCAAGGGCCTGGCCGGCATGGTGCTGGCGTGCGACGCCTTCGCCGACACAGGCATCCCGAGGCTCTTCGAGGCGACCGAGGAGCGCATGCTGAGCAAGGAGAGTCCCCTCAGGGACTACTATCAGACCTTCTGGGCCAGCAAAGACCTGCCCATCCGCGGCAAGAACAGCACGGCCTGAGCGTGGGCCGGGCAAACTTTGCCAAAGTTCATGGGATTTTGATCGGTCGCGTTAGAGGAGGGTCATTGGCAGGACAGGATGGCCTAGAAGATCAAGCCTTCTCGTTTGTAAAGTTATTTGATGTGGGCCTGCAGGCCTAGTGATGCCGCAGAGACACAAGGTATTTACAGGAAACCAAAGAGAATTGGTACAGTACAGGTGGTTTGACAAGCCCAGGAAAAGGGTATTAAGGGAAACAGGGGGGAAGAAATGGGGGATGCCAAAGCTGGCCAGGACTTTTTTTCCCTGTCGACGCGCGAGGAAAAAAGTCTGTATCTGGACCAGACAGCTCCGCCGGGAATGCAGTGTATCTTCCCAGCGGCTGCTTGCCCATCACCCCATTCCCTCCCATCTCCATAAGCGAGATGGACGATCAAATAAAGAGTCGCAACTCTACATCCTTCCGCCACCCCGCAAAAAAAAAAAAAAAAAAAAGGGATTATCCGCCCTATTTGCAGCCGGTGACGCGCTGGAAGTAGTAGCTGTGGGCCGATGTGCTCAGGGTGACGCCCTTGCTGGCCCTGCAGTCCTTTGTGCGGACGCCGTTGCAGACGGTAACTTCGCTGAGCGGGTAGTCGGGGGTCTCGGCGTCCTTGCGGGAGAGCCAGAACTCGGGGCTAATGTGGGACATGTTGTCGATCCAGGCGGGCGGGATGGCGGCGATGGGGTCGTTGTAGTGCGTGACGCGGTAGTTTGCGCCCAGGCGGGGCGCCTGGTCCGTCACGAATTGGGCCCAGGCCTCGTTGCCGACGCGGGGCGAGCCGTACGTGTACAGGTCCACGGGGATGCCGTGCTTGCCCCGCAGGTACGACGTCGCGATGGACACGAGGCCGCCGCCGCCGCTGTGGCCCGCTGCCGCGACGCGGAAGCCCGGGAACTGCTGCCGCGCCCGGTTGATGCTGTCGACGATGGACCGCTGCGTCTGCACCCAGACTAGGTTCAAGCCGTAGCTGATCTTGCAGTTCTGGCACAGGTCCGGAACTTCCGCCACGGTGAAGTCGAGCCTGGTGGAGGAAGGGTTTTTTTTTTCTGGTTAGCTGGTTGTTCCTGGTTGGTGCGTCACGGATGTAGAGGGCGAAAGACTTACTCGAGCAGGTACGACGACGCCGACTTGGAGCCCATGTAAGACAGGACGATCAGCCGGTTGGTGCGGTCGACGTAGATGGCGCCGTCCATGTTGGCGTTGATGTCAGTGCTATAAAGCGGGTGCGTTGAGCCAAGGTTAGCCAACAACATTCCCTGCTTCGTCCTGTTCGACAAGGGCGACATCGCGGAACATACTCAATATGGGCAAAATTGATGACGTCGTTGCGCTGCACCGTGACGCAGGCATTGTTGGCGCAGGTCACCTTGCTGCCGACCTGGGACTTCCGGTTGTTGCAGTAGGCGGAGGCGGCGAACTGGACGAAGTACTTGATGTCGTCCAGGTCCTTCTGCGTCGCTTTGCCGTTCTGCCTCGCCACGAGAGACAGTCTCTCGTCGCCGAAGTTCTCGCCCAGGGACGGCGCCGCCAGCAGCCCCCGGGGGAGCGCCAAGGCGGCGAGGACGGTAGCGAAGAAGGAGGAACGCATCTTGGAGGGGCTTTTTTGTTTATGCTGCGGGTAGCTTCTCTTGGTCTGTCGAGTCGAACGAGTGGAGACTTGAGCGAGAGCGAGAGATAGCGAGTGAGAGACACGCAAGAAGGCGGAGGCAAGAAAGAGTGGAACGACCAAAGAAGGGAGGCCTTGGAGTACCGCGAAAGTGGTGCTGTCCCAAGATGGAGGCTGCTCGACATCGGGGGCGGACGGCGACATAAAAGGAAGTCAGCGTCGCGCCAAAGCGCGGACTCTGGATGTAGTCGAGCCTCGTACCAGCACCGACGGATAGGGCACATCTCCGCCGGTCATCGGGAATTACAGTTCATAACCCCCGCCCCCGCGCAGCCGGGCCATGTCTTGGCGTGCCATCGCCATCCATGTCGCCGGCGCTCCTGTCTTGGGGCCCCCCCCACAAACCTGTGATTGGTAATTTGCACCTTTACACCGAGCGGTCCTACCAGGGAGAACCTCGACCTTGGACACGTCCGGGTTGTTGGCTGCGGGCAAAAGGGCGGGCGGGCGCGGGCGAGTTCGATGAGCCCGCGCTTAGCTACAAGGGCAGGACTATGGAGGTTGCAGCCTGCTCAGGTTGCTGTCAACATGGATGAGGCCCACCCTGCACGGGCCCCGAACGGCTTTCCACACTTGATCAACCCCATGCCAAGGACAAAAAACACGAGGAGTCCCGGCCCTCCAATTCGCTCAGCGTGGCGCTCCCGCCTCCGAGGGCGGAGGAGACCAGGGACGGGCTCGTTCGACGGTCATCTCCAACGCCCCTGAATCAGAGTTTGCGGGCAAGGCATCTATCATGGGTTGATTGTATCGCACCGTGCTCGAAGCTAGGGGATGGATCTGACCAGTGCCGATTTTGGGTCTCCATAGAAGGTGTGACATGGGGGATGCACGTGGATAGTGCGGCCCCTGCAGCAGCCAGCAGCCACAAACTGGGCCCGACGGATCGGGCGACTCCCACTTTGGGCCTGGCTTGTCTGGCCACATCGATACGATATCTGCCGTACCTGCATGGAGAAAGCCCACCTTGCCCACTCACACTGGCGCGACAAACAAGAGGACGCGGTCCGAGCGGGATGGCTCCCCACGCGACAAGCGACAGAGTCGTGAGAAGCCCAGAAATTTGTTTACCCGTTATGGGCTCGACCAGGACTTGACAGCCCTAGCGAGTGCTACTAATATGAACTTGGCGAAACATTATATGGGCCGTCGCTCAGGTTTGCGTTACCACCTACCAAGATGCCGTTAGCGCGCTTGGTTGTGGTTGGCCAATAGGGCGTTGGGCTCCCCGACGCTAAAACATGGGGGCCACACACACACACACACACACACACACACACACGCCATTAGGTCACGCACGAGGCCGGGCATGCATGCAAAATTGGTCGCGGGTGATGCCGCTGGCCACGTTTGTTGGTGTGATGAAATCCCATGTGGCGTTTCTTATCCGCAGAACCTCCTTAACGGTATCGCTCTATAATAACGACTCCCTTACTAACAAGTGCGCGGGCTGCAGGGTAAGAGCTCTCGGGCCCCTCGCGGTGGGATTTTCACAGTGATTGACAGATGTGACAGACGAAGGTCAAGGCTCTGGCAGATTACTGCGGGGATCTGAGGGATTGAGGCCGCGCAAAACAGGATGATGCTTGATCATAGTGACAACGGCGAAAATTTAACAGGCGCGGGCGAGGCGTGATCCCGCGAGGGAGATCATGGAGTAAGCGAGAACAGGAGAAGGGAAGGGTGGATGAAATGCTGCATGCTACTGTGTATCTAGGTGGTGCCCCATACTTGGCATTGTGCTGCCAGGGACGAAACGAGAAGAACGCAAAATAGGCTATGCCTGGCGAATGCGATGCGACCAAAGCGCGCTATTTTTTAGCCATGTCGGGAAGGAGCATTTAGAAACTTCAGGAGCCAGCGGCTAGACAAAAAGGGTAGAAAAACGGTTCCAGCCGATCGGTAAGAGTCACGATACTTTCATCGGCCTGTCACAGATACAGGGCTGCAGCACGTTCGTCATTCAGACAGACAGGGTCTTAATACACAACAGTCAGTGTTTCTCGAGTCAACAGAAAAAAATGGGGCTCTTTTTTGTCCAGGAGGCCGTGAACGCATATGATACAGGTAATAGGTACATGTGTGGTATATTGACATAAGAAAAATATGCGTGATCGCCGATCGTAGAAATGCGTGTGCACAACCGTGAATAAATAATACAGGGGTATGAAGTGAAGCCGTCCGCCCAGAGAAAGATTATACAGTCGAATCGTCGAAGGAAAATGTCGTTAGGATGGGCGCCGCCACCAAAGAAGAAGAAAGAAAGAAAGAAATGCGCATTATATGAAAGGCGTGTTGGCCCGGCTGCCAGAACCGGGGTGCGTGGGTGGTGGTGGTGGTGGCAGATAGTCCGTAGACAATGCGGTGCCGGGCAGCGGCGATATCGGCGACGGTATTGACGAGGACGACGCCGACGACAGCGGGTAGGGGGAAGGCGCCGGCAGTGCCGGGGTCACAGGTGACGGAGTCGACGGCGAGCTGAGGTACGGCAGCTCCGTCGACGACTCGTACTGGGCCAGGGTGGGCAGGGACCTCACCCGCTGCGCCCTCCCGCTCCCATACAGGGGCCGCGGCGGGGCGAAGCGGCGGGGCGACATGGTGCGGCCCCTGGGCGAGCCGCAGTCATCCATCTGCATGCTGCTACTCCTGCTGTGGTAGGTGGCGGCGTCGTTGTCGTTGTGGTTGTGGTTGACGCGCGTGACGTTGACGCGTCCGTGGCCCCCCTCAACGTCGGCCTCCTCCCACATCCCCTGCCGCTGCATCCGGAAGCTGCCAGCCAGGCTTTCCTGGCTGCCGTGGCGCGTCATCTGGTGCCGCAGCGGGGGCATGTCGGCCGTGTCGCGCCAAGCGACGGCCCGGCCGCCGCCGCCCGCCTCGGGGGCGACGGGCGCCGCGCACTTCTCGATGTCGACGCTGATGGAGGTGTCGACCGTGATGGGGCCCTTGACGTCGCTGGCGCTGAACATGGTGCCGGCGCCGCCCGTGACCAGGTCCTTGGAGCCGCTGCCCTTTTGGAAGCCGAAGCTGCGGCTGCGCGAGTGGAAGGTCGACTTGCCGCCGCGGCTGCCCTGGCTGTAGCCCGTGCCGTACCGGTTGCGGCTGTGCATCGTACTGGTGAACACCTTGAGCTTGCGGAACAGGGGGCGGAGCGTGGCGGCCGACGAGGCCACGATGGCCAGGCCGATCTCGACGGCCGACCAGTTGGCGAGTTCGACAAAGTTGGCGAGGTACTCGGGGTTATCGAGGAGCTGGTACAGGTACGGGACTCGGACGATGGTTGCCAAGGAAGATCTGCACAGTCGGAGAAAAAGACGAAACGGTGAGCTTCCAGAACACGACGGAGTCAGTCGACCGACAAGGGGGGTGGGGTACTTACGCCGAGCCGACAGCGAGAATGGCCACCACCGAAATCTTAGTTCGGCGGTCGAGCTGCGACTTCCAGACTAGCGAGATGGGCAGTAGGGCCAGAGCCAGATCGGCCACGATGTTGATGAGGTTGACGGTATAGGTGGAACCCAGCGCGATGGCGGGCTTGAAGCAGTTCCTTTGCATGGTAAAATCGTCGTCCTTTTGGTGCCAAAACACCCATATGGGCGTGCACTGGAATATAGAGATGAAAAAGTAGGCCGTGTTGGAGATTCCGACCAGGACGAGCAGCACGATCAGGAAGTAGGTCTGCCACTTCTGGCGCGAGTTTTTGAACAGCCGGATCAGGTAGATGCCGACGACGAATTTGATGAGCCCAGAGACGGCGATGTAAGCCGCCATGCCGAGATACTTGTAAAGCAGCGCCTTGTGGTGCAGCCGGTTCGGCACGTCTGTGGTCTTCTTGCCGAGCCCCCAGGAGACTCCGATGCAGCAGAAGACGGTGAAGACAAAGTAGACAATCTGTCGCCCATCGCTCGGGTTAGCTTGTGCGCGCTCGAGTCCCTCTCCCCTCCAACCGCGTTGTCTCCGAGTCCAGTCCCCTCCAAGGGCCGCGCGGGGGCCACACGTACGGTTGACAGGATAGCCAGGGCATCCTCAATCACGAAGCGTTTGATGAGGACGAGCGACGTGTAGATTCGGGCCGAGACGGCAACGACGCTCAGCACCAGCATGATGACCGTGACCGCGATCAGCGACGGACCCCAGTCCTCGCCCGCGTGCATAGTTGAGACTCCCTTGGCCATCTTTGCGGTTCGTTCCCAAGCTCCCTGCTCCAGGCAGTTGTCGTCGTTGTAAGGCAGGATGTCGAGGTGTGTTCGTGTGTGTGTTTGTGTGTGTGTTTGCTTGTCGGTCAACCAGACATGGCTGGGAGGGACGGGGTGCAGGGAGTGTGAGGCGGGGTGATCACCGCGGGAGGACGAAGAGTTTGTGATCGGCTGGGAGGCGGTACGGTATAAAAACCAAACGTTGTGCCTGGCCAGCAGGGGGGAGAGAATGGGAATGTTTTCCTTTTACAGGTCCCAGGAATCACAAACCCTAGTGCGGTGGATGCAAGATACATTTTCTTAGAAAACCAAGCCAAACTGATGTACCACCAGGATCCACCGTACTAAGGTTTGTGACCTCTGGGACCTGTAACGGTTTGAAGGACCTCTGATATGGGTAGCATCGCTAGACGGTGAGGATACTGTGACAAGCTAGCACAGAGCCTCGCTGCTCGCGGTTGCCACTCACTCCTCCCCTGACGACACCTCCGCACAGGGCCGCACAGGGCCGCACAGGGTCGAGGCACGAAACCCGCTCGTCCCGGCGCCGAGGAGCCAGCCCGGTCGCAAAAAGGAAATGGCTGACTCGCTGCAGACTCACGCATTGGGACCGGCGCCCCGCCGGCTGCCACTCTGGGCATGAAGGGCAACCCACGAGGCCGGGGGAGGAGTCCACATCGTGTCGAGGCGAGCACCGCGAGCTCACCACGACCCACGGCTGCGGAGCTTTTTGTGGCCCAGTGGCCCCGTCGGGTAGAGCCCTCTAGACAGGCAGGGCTACCCCCGTTGCTCTCATCGTCATCCATCTCTTGGCCTTACCACCATCAGATGGTAGAAATGCCCAGCCGTGGTAATCCCAGCTTTGGGTCGTGAGGGAGGGTTCCATCAGATGGCGCCTTGCGCGACTGCACGTGGACGATTTCGTTTATTGTTGTTGCTTTTCTTCTTCTTGTGGACCAGAAGAATGTTTTTGTTTCTTTCTCCTTGTAATCCGCAGGGCCGGGGTTTGCCTCGGTTTCGCAAACTTGCCAAATCGGGAAGCCCCCTTCATGCGGCCCCGCCGTCTGTCGAAGTTGCCCTCGAGAACTGGGAGAGCCCATGCTTGTTCCTTCAGGCGTCACCACGCGCACTGCCCTCTGGCACTTTCGCGACGTTTTTCTTTTTTTTTTTAGGCGCGCTCCTTTCGGGAGCACCCGCCGGGACCGGCGTGAGTGTGAAACCTTTGCCGTCGAAACAAGCATGACCAGAAAAATATGCAGTAGTACGGAGCCGCGCGTTTGGGGCGAGCAGCGAGGCCACGCCGGAACCAACTTCTCACACCACGGCGGGCCCGGGACATGGATCGCCCGCCGATGGGTTTGCCGCCTCTGTGTATGTGGTTCGGTTCGCCCATCGATAGCGCGCCCGGTTCTCGTCATCTGGCCCCTCCTCTCCCAAACTCGAAACGTGGCTCGCTACCGCTTTTTTGTCTGAGGAGCCCCTTTACCATGCTCCTTTCCCATCATACCCCCAGACCACCTACCTGTCTAGTACTGTGGTAGGCACCTACCCAGCAGCACGTTTACGGCTAGCCAGGGGTTGCCGTCGCGACATGGTCGCTCGATGTAACGACAGCGAAAAGTATGGTCTGCCAAGTAATTTACCGATGGGACGTTGGAAATAATGAAGTTGAGCGGTGCTTGTTTAGCTCCCAGTCGGGCGATCGCGACCCAGGAGTGAGTCGTCCGCCACGTGGCGCCCCTGCCCGTCAGCGCCCGTCAGCATGTTGTGCCTGCATCGAACTCGGGCTATTTTCTTCTGCTCGTTAACTGGGTGTCATGTGGGGTTTTTAATTTCCCCTCGCGTGCTCCCCCTGCGTCAGTTCCATAGTAACCCTTAACGGTCTGGGTCTTCCGGCCGGGTGCCAAAGCTATGTACGGAGATAGGAGGCGAAAAAAATCGCCATTTTCGAGGTAGCGCTAAGAGCACCCCATGTTCAGCCTACCGAATAAGGCCTAGCCTACTTTTTTTCAACCAATCGCAGCACCAATTCGAATACGCCCGCACGCGTTTGTGCATACCCTAGCCCCTGCCCTCGCTTCGAGTGACCTCCCCACTGTAGATTATTTAACCCTCACACCTCCGGAGTTCCTCAGCAGATGATATTGCGCCTTTTCCGGGTAGCTCGTGGGGGGGACACGGGGGCACACGGGCCAAACAGTCGTCCGCCTTCACCCCAGAGGTGATCGACACACCGACGGCTCGATTTCCTGACTTTGTCTAGCGCTCGCGCGTCATCATGGAGTTGATGTTTGCTTGTCTGTCCGCCGTCCGTCTCTGCGAAATCGCCGACGACTCCAGGCCGAGACCGGGTTGCGACTCCACGGCAGGTTAACCTCTCAGGTCGTGGTGCTCAGACACTTGTCCAAGACTGCCAGCTCCGCACATACACACGCACTGCCGCCATCCTATACGGGAATAGACAGTAAGTAGGTAATTGCCCGAAGAAAAATGGCGCACGCACCGCATGCCCGGACTCGCCCACCCCATCCGACCAGACCAGTCCGCAGAGATGGGCACGCTGAAGGTTGAGCCCATGTTTGTTGTTAAAGAGGTACCCCCCAAGACAACCCAAATAGGTAGGTCCTCCAAGGCCACCCGATCCCATGTTTGCTGCCATCAAAGCCCAAAAAAGGCACGCACAGTCGTCATGGTCGTCCAAGGGCGGGCCAATCCATCTCCAACCTGGCCGAGTTTATCTTGAGGTCCAAGATGCACATAAACTCGGTCGTTGCGTTATGACCGGCTGGGGCACCGATGCGCCCTCGGGCGCAATACAAACGGTAGCACGACAGACCTGCCGGATCCGGGGCATGTCGTTGCCCAGGCGGCATCAACGGCTGTGGATGCGCCCGCAAGAGACGCGAACAGACCAACGTGTAGTCATCCATTATCGATTGCTCGCTTATGCGCGGTTGGCTGCTCGGCATTAGCGCTAGCAAATTACCCCATAAAATTGTTAGTACTAGTACAATTCATAATATCCTAGTATACATAAGACCCCGTCGCCCCTCCTCGCGGCCGGCGCTAGAGCCACACTATCAAAACCCGCTGCGGGGAGATTATCATCCGAGGACTCGAGTGCCGGAGTCGAAATGTCTTGTCTGCGATGCAAAATGACGCTAGCAAGCATCACTAATATCTCTTGACGCCCTTTTTCGCCGGATCTTGCTTCGCGATGATCCACCATGCGTCTAGATTCCCAGAATCAGCAAGCGTTCGTGAGGCAGTAGGAGACAAGGGTTGGTGCGAGGCTTAGGGTTAGCTTACGGATCATGCCAGGAATCCAGCCTAGAATCGTCAATCCAATGTTTATCAAAAAGTCGGCGCCGCATCCCCTAGCTAGGAAGACGGGGACGGGTGGCACCAGGATGGCCAGCAGGTAAAGAAGGACGTCGGACTGCAACTCCCGGGGGATGGCATCCGGTCAGTGTTGGTCTAGGCGCGATGGATCTCGTTGCAACGCATCTGGGGTCTAGGCAAATGGATCTCAAGGTTGCTCACCGTCGAGGAAGTACCGTGCGTCATATTTCCGATGTGGGCGGGTGAATATGTCTTCGGTGTGTTTTTGTCGTGCCCGAATGGAGGTGTTGATGTCGCTCGCAGCGTCGGTGTGCTGGCCAATCAGATCAAATCAAGTTGTGAGTACGGTGTTGTTCGGTTGGTGTCCGTTTCAAACGAATCGCAGCGTGTTGTCTTTGTCGAGCAAAAAAAAAGGGGGGACGTTGGATAGAGCGATGGACGAACATTTGACTCTTTAATCAATCGTTGGGAGTTTCCCTGACTGTGACGTCAGACATCGTCAACCTGCAAATTGTGGGGGCAGCGATGTGGCTAAAAAGGCTTACGCAACACCGAAACGTCACGAAGGAAAAAAAGGGGGCCGGTGCCGCCCGCAGCAGCGAACAAAGGCCAGAAGACCGACTCCAAGAAAGACCAAGAGTGCCGCCAGTCCCGTTTGGGCGGTCGGGCGGCTCGGCGCGGCCGATGCTGCTGTGACTTGGCGGCAGCCACGCATCGCCACCATGTCGGGCGTCTGGCCAAGTCGGCAGGGCGATGACGTGGCTGGGTGTCGGCAAGTTGGGTCATCGGCGTAGGTAGTTAGTCGCACCGCCTGATGAAGCAAACGAGCAAGTTATTCCGTCTAGCTGAGGTATCCAGTCATGTCTATGTCTATGTCTATGTCTATATGCTTGTCTGACGCCATCGCGACCCATAATGCACCCCCGTACGTGCTCAATGAATACAGCGGAATAGAATGAAAAAAAAGAAGAGGATCCCTCCAAGAACCGCCTCACGCCACCTCGCTCTTGGGGGGAAACTTGACGCGGCGTCTCGCGCGGACGTACAGGTTGTCGGGCCGGATGAGCTGGAACATGGGGTCGTACTCGATGGGGCCGTCCTGGGCCAGGCTGAACTCGTAGCGGTACAGGAGCTTGGGCAGGAACACCTTGACCTCCTGCAGCGCAAAGTTGAAGCCGATGCACATGCGGGGGCCGGCCGCGAAGGGCATGTACGAGCCTGCCGGCCGGTTCCGCACCGCGTCCGTGTCCCAGCGGTCCGGGTCGAACCGCGCCGGGTTGTCCCAGATGTCGGCGTTGTTGTGGATGTGGTGCAGCGCGGGGATCACGATGGCGTCCTTGGGCAGCCGCAGCCCGCCGGGGAGCACCATGTCCACCTTTGCCGTGCGCGCCGGCTGGTACGACGGGTTGTGCCGCCGCTGCGTCTCCTTGATGTACTTTTCCAGGAACGACAGCCGGCCCGTCAGGTCCGCCGTTATCTGTGTGTCCTCGTCGAAGTCGTTGTCGACCAGCTCCTGCAGCAGCCGGTCCTGCATACCCTCGTACTTGACTAGGCCGTAGATTAGCCACGATAGTAGCGAACTGGTGGTCGTGAAGCCGGCGCCCGTCGCCACCACGAGGGGCTCGAGGATCCTACTCCTGGGCACCTTGTTGCCCTTGTTGTCCGTTGCGCGGAGGATGTAGTCTGAGTGAGTGAGAACAGGGTGTTAGTCACAGTAACGAGAAATATCAATATGCTACGTCGCTGAGCCAGTGACACTTACCAACCATGTTCTCGGCCGTGACGGCCGCCTCCTGAAGCTCCAGATCCTCAACACCCTTGGAGGCGTTCGCGATGGACTCCTGCATCATCTGTTCTATCCTGCCCCTGGCGTTGCGCAGCTGTTGCGGCGGGCCAAACGGCAGCATCCCGTACCAACTGCCCATGGCCGTGACCTTCTTGTTCAGCTCGAGCGACTGCGCGATCCTGATGACCATCTCGTGCGGCGGTGCTGTTGCCGAAGTAAAGTGGTTGAAGTCGATACCCAGCACGAGCTTACCGACCGCTTGCGAGCCAAGCTTGAGCATGTACGAGTAGACGTTCCAGGCCTCGTCCTTCTCGTCGAGCTCGTCAAAGGTCGTGAACGAGTCCTCGACAGTTTTTTGCATAGTAGGAGCGTAGTGTCTCACTGCCTTGGGACCTAGAGCCGGGGGCAGGAACTTGTGAATCTCGCGCCACTCGGGGGTGTCAGTATCTCCCAGGAAGACGCCAGACTCCTTGTTCTTGATGGGGTACAGCGGGTGACCCTCGATCAACTTCTTGGTGAAAAAGTCGCTCTCGGCAAAGACGATGTTTGCCAGCCGGGGGTCGTTTGTGTGGTAAACAACGCTTCCCATGTTGCTTGTCTTGAACATGGGCCCGTACTTCTCAAACAGCCGCTGGTGATTGCCGAGGTGGTCTGGGTACACTTCAAAGTAGTTTCCGACGAAGGGCAGCCCTGTCGGGCCGGGGACTTGACGGACTGCCTTGCCATCGATGGTGATGGCAACCGGGTCTGCGGCTGCCAGCACCTCGGCAACGGTCGTCAAGGCCACATCGGGCGAGACGAAACCAACACCTGGAGACTGCGTCAGCGGGTGGGTTAGGTACTGTGATGGGAACGGGGTACTTACCAGATGGATCAACGATGGCAAAATGTGACGACACGAGGTGCTGCAGGCCTTCCTCGTCGGTGCCCGAAGGGATTTCTACTCCTGTTGCGGTTGAAGGGGCGTCGCCCAGGAGGTAAAATAGTTTGGAAGACATGACGACTGCGGCAAGCTATCTGCCCTTCAAAGCCCAGGGGCAAGGGGACAGGAGGAACAAAATTAGGTTGGTAGATACTTGAGCGGGTTGTTTTTCAAGAGGTAGTTTGGATTATAACCTGCGTGGGCTGTTGTCTAGGACCGGTAAACGGATCAAAAACTGGTGTGACAGGATAGACCCTTGGCCAGATCGACCATACTCTCGATATATATCACCGCCCCTGCGCAGCGACGCGGAACCTGCGCGTGTTCGGCATTCCGTCATTCTGTCATCCAGTCGGTCCTCGGCGCCGTCCCCTGGCAAGCCCTTAGGGTCTACCATGCAAGCTAGATGGCTGGCTCGGCGGTTGCGGTCTTGCCGAGGCAGTTGGCTTGGGTGGGACGGCAGATACGGAGAAAAAAAAAAGGGGGACGAAAATCCTGCCAGAGCCCGGCGATATCGAGGGGCAGGATGGCAGGATGGTGGGGCTCTGGGAGGTGTGTGCCGGGAATTAAGCATTGGAGATCAGCGGCAGAGATTGCTAATCCCGGGGCGGAGCCGATGGGTCGACGCGCTGACGAATGAGGTGGCGTCGGGAGAAAAAAATAGCAGGGGGCGGTGGCACAAGTGGCCTCGGCTTGACGCAGGGCGGTGGGACCCTGACACACGTGCCGGCAGCCAAAGCCAGCCAAGGAGCATTGATGGGATATGCCGTCGACCAAACACCCTCGTCTCGTCGTCTCATTCGTCTGTCATGTCACCACGGTCCTTGGGCACCACCACCGAACCTGCCGGTTGTCTCCGAGCTTATTGATGCGGCCCCATTCTTACACATCTTTTTCCTTGTCATGCTTCTGCTCGGAACCACATCCAATGAGTTGGGCCCTCGACCGAGGCCAGACGGGGCTCCCGGTTCGCGCGGAGACGCCGTCGACTTCAAGCCTCGGCACCTCGGGCCGCAATGACCATCCCAGCCGTCGACCGGCATGCCGTTTGTGGCGCCGATAAGGCATTGGGGGGAATAAATCACTGCCTGGTCGCTGTCTTTGGCGGCTCGCGTCGACAAAAGGAGACGCTACGCAGCAGCAACCAGGCGACACCACACTTCTTTGGCTTAGTTTAGTGCACCTGAATCTTGCTCCAGACGCCGAGGCCGCTTTTCGATACCAATACACATTGGTCACGTTGAGAGTCACCGCCATGTCGACAGAAGACGTCGAATACAGCTTCAAGGACGTGGCGGCCCACAAAGATGGTGCCGACTGCTGGATGGTGATCCACGGCCAAGGTATGTATGACAAAGTCAGCCCCTTTGAAACATTTAGCGGCTTTGCCGTAGGGTAACACGCACACCAGCTAACCTGTTGCCTCGCCCCCAGTCTACGACGTCACAAAATATGTCCAAGATCACCCTGGCGGCGCCGACGTTCTCATCGAGGCCGCGGGGCAAGATGCAAGCGAAGCCTTCGACAGCGCAGGCCACTCGGAGGACGCCTCTGAAATCATGGCTTCCTTTCGTGTCGGCAAACTCAAGGGCGGCGCTTCTAGGAAACCAGGGCCAAAGCAGGTCCGCGTCGCCGTGAGAACGCCCACCGAATCCCCAAGCTCTGGCAGCGCTAGGGGAATGAGCCTGGGGTCCAAGGCAGTAGTTGCAACAGCCGCAGCCGCGGGCGTGGTCGCCATCGCACAAGCGATCAGGGTCGCCCCAGCATTAGACGAAGTTTCCATCGTGGCGAGCCTCGGCCGCTCCCTGCTCCCCTGGCTAGCTTTCCCATCATCGCCTTCGCCACGCCAGGGCGGCGGCCCGGGGTTTCTCGGGGGTTTCGCTCTGGCGTCGGCCATCCTCACCATCGCTGGCGGGCTCGCGGTGCGGAAGGCCTCCCAGATCATCCACTTCGAGGGCGGCCTCGGCCGGTACCCGCCGCGCATCAAGGCGAGCACGGCCGCCAAGCCGGACCTGCTGCTCCAGCGGGGCTGGCTGGACCCGACGACATACCACACGCTGCCCCTGACTGCCAAGGAGCTGCTCGCGCCGGGCGTCTACCGCTTCGTGTTTTCGCTCCCGACCGAGACGACGGTCCTGGGCCTGCCCATCGGCCAGCACGTGTCGATCCGCGGCGTGGTCGACGGCCAGGCCGTGGCGCGGTCCTACACGCCGACGTCCAACAACTCGGACCGCGGCACGCTCGAGCTCGTGGTGCGCTGCTACCCGGACGGGCTGCTGACGGGCAGGTACCTGGCCAACCTCGAGGTGGGCGACGAGGTGCAGTTCCGCGGGCCCAAGGGCGCCATGCGCTACCGGCGGGGGCTCGCCCGGCGCGTCGGCATGCTCGCCGGCGGCACGGGCATCACGCCCATGTACCAGCTCATCCGCGCCATCTGCGAGGACCCCTGGGACACGACCCAGGTCAGCCTCGTGTACGCGAACCGCACCGAGGCCGACATCCTCCTCCGCGACGAGCTCGAGGCCTTTGCGCGTCGCTACCCAAAGAATCTGAGGCTGCACTACCTCCTGGACCGCCCGCCCGCGGACTGGGCCTACGGCTCCGGCTACGTCACGCGCGACGTCCTGGCCGAGAGGATGCCGAGCCCCGCGCCGGACGCCAAGGTCATGCTGTGCGGGCCCCCGGGCATGGTCAACGCCGCCAAGAAGCTGCTCGTCGAGCTCGGGTTCGAGAAGCCCGGGGCGAGCTCCAAGATGACCGACCAGGTCTTTTGCTTCTAGGCTGGGAGGAGCAGGCTGTGAGACGAATGAGGAGTGCTTCTTTTTTGGGGGGACGAGTGAATTTGCATGAGCGAGGGCGTTGACATAGACTGGTCTCGTTTATCTACTAGAATAGATCGTCTCTTTTGTTCGCTTGCTTTGTTTTGCCTTGAGAAAATCACATGGTACACACGTATTGAAATATTTGGTATGATAGGACAGGAAGAACCATAGAGTAGTAATGGCCTCAGATTCAAGTTCTCAATCTGCAACTGAGGCTATGGATAGCAAAGGGGCGAGAAAGCAGTGGCCACAATATGTACAGAAAGCGTGCTATTTACCCAATTTTCTCAGGGCCCGGGAGGTGGATAAGAGACGGAAGCCGAGGACGAGGCCCACGACCGTCATCGTGCCAAGTCGTCCACTTCTCTCCTGCTCGCGCCCGTCAACGCTGTCCGAGACCGTCCTCAGACCTTGTAGGTGCTGCCGATGGGGCCGAAGCGGACGTTGGACCAGATGACCTTGGCGTTGGCCTGCTCCGTGACGACCGTGTTCGGGTCGCCCGAGTCCTGGGGGCAAGGGCCACGAGCGGCGCCGGGCTGGCCCTCCTTCTCGGGCGGGTAGATGGAGTCGAGCCAGAGCATGTTGGAGTGGTGCTGTAGATGAAAAGGGGATGCGAGTTAGACAGTTTAAAGTTAAGAATCTTACGAGACAAGAGGACACGTACGTCGTTCCAGATGGACATGACCAGGACCATGGGGATGCGGATGGCGGCGTCGAGCTTGGTGAAGCCGCCGACCTCCTTGAAGCGGTTGCGGTCGTCAAAGACGCTGAACTGGGCGTCGCAGAACTCGGGCGTCAGGTGGGCGTTCTCGCCGGGGATGCCGTCGAACTTGGCGCCGGGGACCTCAAAGGTGCGTCCTCCTTGCATCAGGACCTGGTACTGGCGGCCGGGCTGGAAGCGCGTGATGACGGTGAACTTCTTGGTCGTGTCGATGGTCTTGCCGGGGCCGTAAAAGTCCGGGTTGCCCATGCGGTACGGGTTGAAGTCGCAGCCGTTGGCGTCGCAGCCGCCGGCGAAGCGGTCTTCAGAGTAGGTGCCGCCGCAGTTCTGGTCCTCGCACACGTGGTAGTTGTTGTTCTCGCACGGGTGCGGCGTGAAGGCGAAGGCCTGGCTGTTGGACTCCCAGATGTCGATCTCGGCGCAGCACGCGCCCAGCCGGCCCACTCCCGCGTTCTCGTCCGAGTCGGACTCCTTCCACCCCTCGACGTTGGCCTGCCCGCCCACGAACTTGAGGTCGCGCGCGCACTGGGCGTCGCAGTAACCCGTTCCGTACTTTGCGCCGGCCTTGTTGTTTGGCTCCGAGGACATGCCCTAAGGAGACGGAGCGGTGTTAGTTTTTTTTTTTTTTTTTTGGCGGTGGTACAAGTATCTGTTGCCTGGAGTCAGGGAAACTTACGCCGTCCTCCTTCATCGCCACAAAGTACAGGGCGCTGTTGAGGCCGCAGCCGATGGTTGAAAGGTCGACATCAAACGCGAACTCGTTATTCATCAGGGTAAACATCTGGTACTTGGAGGCGCCGTTCATCAAGTACATGCGCGACCCGATATTAGTTCCGTACTCGTGCTTCTGGACGAACTTGAGCGTCAGGGCATTGCCGCTCGTCGATACGCCGTAGGTCTGGCTGTAGTTGACGCCTTCGACGGCGCACTTTTTGGCGCAGTCGGCGTTGGTGCTGCAGACCGACGTATCCCACGAGTTGCCCTCGTAGCAGTTGGTGTAGCCGTTGATGTCGTGCACCCAGCGCCAGTTGGCGTCGATGGTGACCTCTCCGTTGACGTTGCTGCACGAGCCCGCGGCCGTGCACCTCTGCCAGGTCATGCGGGGGTGCGTCTCCGACGTCTCCTTACCGACCTGCTGGCCGACGGCAGCGGCCAGCATCGACAGGGAGGCACAAAGTGAGCGCTTCATATTGGGCAGTGAGGCGAGTTCAAGCTGAAGGAGTGCTGGCGAGTAAGCTGCTGCAGAGCTTTTCGTTCTCGATGGCGGACACGAGTGGCATTATGACCAGACGTAGAACACAGGTCGGGCCCGGGCGTTTTATATGCCTAGAACTGGTCGAGGGCCCTTGTGGACATCTCCATGATGCCATCCTCCTGTCAACCAACCAGCTCTCTGCTCTCCCTCCTCAAGCACTTCCCTATTCCGCGTGACGGAGAGACCAGTGCCGAAGAGGGACACGGCCGCCTCCCGGCATCCGGAGCAGGCCAAGAGTCGAATGGAGGCATCAAGTAGGCTGCCGATTTATCCCACTCACCCTGACGGGTAGTAGGCGACGCGATGGAGCTTGGCCTCACAAATGAACCCTAGGAGGCTGCTCCACGCCAATCTCTCAGAGGCCGGCTCGCGCTCCGCGAGCACAAGGGGAAACAGGGGCGCCTAGGTCAGCCCACAAGGGGTGTGTTTAATGAAAGTTTGGTGGCGGGCCGGGCTACCAGAGGTCGAGGAAGGCCAAACCCATCGCCATCCGTCGCGGCCACCCGTCACGGCACAGCACATCCTTGGCGCCGTCCTGAGTACCGGTCATGTGGCGCTCATCGTGGCCTTCCTGAGCTTCGAGATATGGGGGGACTCTATAAAGATTCATATATCGGACAGTCAGCCAAGGTCTTGTCGGCGGGGGGACAACGTCCTATGGCAGCAAACACGATCAAATCTCACCCATGCGATCATCGGCCAAGACGACGGCGATTTGCGGGACCAAGACACGGGCCTGAGCCAAGGGCTCGGCGGCCAAGGGATGTGCAACTATCAGGGCCTCGGCGCTCGGGCAGGGTGGCTGCGGCCACTGACTGGCCGGCTAAAAGCCTGTAGGGGAGATTTCTGTTGGCAACGTCTGAGGTCGGGAGCCTTCGCGAGGGGCGAGAGACAAGCCGCACTGGCAAGGCTACAACAACTCAAGCATCGGGGATGATCCAGCCTCGCAGAAGCGCCGACGGTGTCTCCCGGCGCTCGGAGATTCGATGACAGTCTTTGTCGAGACCCGGAGGCCGGATGTTGTTGAAATCGGGGGCGCCGGCTCGGGGATATTGTTCGGCGGCAGTACTCTGACCATCAAGAAGACCGACGTGTGGTCAGTCACACGGCTCCTCCTGGTCCGGCGATGAACGGCCAGAGCGCTCCGATCCGAATCAGCCGGCAATATGGGCGGGATTGCGACTTGTTTGCCAAGAGACTTGCTCGCGCAGGGCAAGCTTTGGACAGGAGATGCAAGACACTCGGTAGGCGCTTTGACATGCCGAACTCTGGGATGTCAAGCGAAACTTGAAGCAGGGTGTCTGAGTGGGGAGGGCAGGAGGATTCCTCCCGCCCCATGCAGGGCAAGGCAGGTGGTTATGGCAATTCTTTCGGGGTGTTCTGCAGCCAAGACTGAGGGGCTGTGTACGGAGATATGTTGACGCATCTGTGCCTAGTCTTGGTCGCTTGGGTGTGGGTAAGTGACGGCTCTGCTGCTCGGTGGGAAAAAGACCAGACCTCGATGCTACTCGCTCGCCTTTTACCGGGCGGATAGCGCCCCCGAGAACAGTGGGGACGGGCTGCCAGCCGATAAAGAGGCGAACCATTGTTTCGCTTCAAAGACACCAAATTGCAGAACAAAGACTAGCGCAGAATAGATTGCTGTGACGCCCAAGCATGTCTGGCTTTCTGTGTGCGCCCACACCTAACACTCACCAGCCTTGGGCCGATGCAACATCGCGCTGGGATCCTCAGCAAAAAGCTGTTCGCGATGGCAAAGATCCCGTCGATCCGGGCCGCTTGTTCCTGTCGCCTCGACGAGACCACGCAAAGAGACGATGCTCCGTCGCCGCCCAGCTCCGTCCCCTAATTTGCGCGACGGCAAGGTCGTGTCGATCTCGGGGCATCAACGGGTCGCGGAGCCGACAGTCCCCTCGAGTGGCCATGGCGTGGAGCAACGACGGCTGGACTTGACCGAAGCCGAGTAGATCTGACGCAAAATCTCAATGCGTTCGCTGCCTAGAGCAACATATACTGCTGTGTGTTCTACATCCCCCGCCACCTATAGCTATCGGACGCCCTTTACTCCTTTACCCCCGGCTTCTCAGACGCGTTGGGCGGCGTGACATCCCCAGACACCACCTGACCCTCACTGACAGGCTTCGAACGAAGTCCGCCCCCAAACAGATCCTTAAACATCATCCTCGTAGTCCGGATAATCGTCGACCGAGATTCGAATACGGGGAGGAAAACGACCATGACCGCTGAGGCGGAGAGCCAGATTATGCCGACCACAACCCAGCCGGCGAAGAACTGAAGACACCATAAAACAGATGGTTAGCAAGGGCTGACGTGAACACAAAGAATGAAGATGAGCCAGGCAAGAAGTATCCGACGCACCTCTTTGCTAAAGATGTATCCAGTGCCAAACATGGGCATGGGCCATAGCACGAGTAACGCTAGCGTCAGCACGACGGTCAGCCACCGGGCGATCTTCGCCGCCTTTGCCAGCTTGGCCTGCTCCTGCGCCGCCTCCTCCTCCCGCTGTCCCTGTGCGGCGAGCACAACCTCGGGGTCGTGCGCCTCCTCAGCGAACTCGCGATCGTCGCCCTTGCCAATGTCGAGCATGCTCTGCCAGTCGTACTTCTGCAGCCTGAATGGCGGGATGTAGGTTAGGAGCGGGATGAAGAGCATGGGCGCCAGCAGCGACGTGATATTGCCCGCCAGCATGGGCTTGTTGGCGCCCGTGGCCGCCACAGAGAGCTCGCCGTACTCTGTCTTGGCCGTGACGAGCCACACCGTCACGGAGCAGGCGAACCCGAGGATGGGGCTGAAGGTGGCCGCGGCCCACGACTGGCCCGACCACATCAGCGTCAAAGTTGCGGGGAGGGCCGCCGAGGAAATTATGACGCCCATCATCAGGTACAGGTAGCCCATCGAGATGCCGATATAGTACAGGGCGGTAGCGAAGGCGGCCATGAAGAGCGCAAAGAAGAGCGCAAAGCACACCATGCCGATGTAGTTGACGCGCATCAGCTGCTTGCCCGTCGCGCCGGGGTTGATGTACGTCTTGTAGATGTCGTAGGTGCAGATGGACGAGACGGCGATGAGCTCGGACGAGTACGTGCTCATGATGGCCATGAAAGCGAGGATCAGGGTCGCGATGGCCCCTCCCTGCCCCAGGAGCGCCACGGCGGCCGAGGTCTTGACCCCGCACGTCCTGGGGCCCCGCCCTTCTTCCGGCGTGGTCGTAACATCGGTGAGGCGTATCTGGGGCGAAGACAAGGTTAAATATTACCAGTGGGCGAATCGAGGAGTAGGGTTCTGTAACAAACTGTTAACGGCGGCTCGTGAGGTGAGGGACTGGGACGAAGTTGTGGTAAAGTTGAACAGGTTAATTCACAGACGAGCCTAGCAACTCGGACGACGCAACGCTAACGAATCGGTCAACCCTATCGAGCTGGACGATCTGGTAAATCTGAAGGCCTGGTCTCATAAGGATCCGATTTCCATTCCCAAATCACTGCGCCGCTTTCCTGTGCCAGTGTACAGCAAAGTCTTTGAGCAGCTGCCAATCTTTCCTCCCACTACGGCGCCCTCCATCGTCCCAGCTTCTTGGCCACCCTGGGTTGCCCCTCAGCGTGCACCAGTCGATCTTTTTCGGGACTAGAAAGATCCGCCGTCCGGGAAGGAACACCGGCCCTAAAAGGCGTTAGAATAGTTTGAAATGAGACCGAGGCCACTCGGACTGACAGCAAGATCGATCATATTGAATTAGCTGGCAATGACAGTAGTAAGACCGAATACTGGGCAGGTTATTTTAATATTCCCTTATTTTTCATATTCTACACGAAACCTCACACTATATTAACCCGGCTCCTCCTTTGCCACACGTCATGCATCTCATCTGTAAGGGTTCCACAGGCTGAGGCTGTTCAGGGTTGCAATTGTAGCAGTGTCCTAGCAACGGGGCTCGGATATACGAGCTCAGTAGATCCTTCAAAAACTCGGGCGTTTCGGTAGCAACCTCGTCATAAACTTCCATTAGACTGTCGGCGGCTCCTCCACTGTTGTCCCCGGAAGTGCTAGGGCTAGCAACGGTAAATTGGCGTAGCCGTATCGCCTGCCCTAGCTTAACACGAAGGGCAAGAACTGCCTTGTCGCGAAGGGCCCGGACCGAATAGGGAGTCAGCTGATAAACGTCCGGGATCGAATCAAAGAGGTCCTGGATGTTGGATCCTTTCTCCAGCGCCTTGCCGTATTTGGTGGCAGCTAAGCTCTGCAGGCGGTCAACTTGATATATGTCGGCCAAGGCGAACATCCTCGCGTGGATACACAAAGCCGTGAGCCCCTCCTCATCGCTATGCTCAGGCTTCTCCTTGCTTGGATCTTTCGTGGTTTCGTTGCAGTCCGCGTAATCGCCGGTGTAGAAGTATTCTACCATCCGCCGCACCATTGACGGCGATTGTTGAACAATTTCGTATTCGCCCGATGCCGCCTCCTGCAACGGCGTTGGTTATGTGGGCATGAAGTAGATTCGAGCGACTGCTTACCTTGAATGGCTTGCTGCAAGCCGCATGGAATACTTTCGACTGGCTGCACACGATGACTTTGTGGACGGGAAACCTTTCAGCGCCACAAACCAGCACGAAGTCGGTAAATTCGTCCCTTTCACGGGCCCTACAGGGGTGAGCTGACGAATTGAGATGGTGTTGCAGAGGAGAGTGGGAATGAGCCGACGGCGGAATGCCGAAGCTTCTCAGAGATTCAAAGATCCTTACTTCGATATCTCGCCCATCAGTCGCTTGAATGCCGCCATTTTGAGGGGATTGACTAGATAGTGCTGTACGCACAGTCCCGGATCGATAGGGTCAAAACGATTGTATCACTTTTGCTGAGATGTCGTAGTTGTAGTGCAATTGCGGCAGAAAACCCACCTAAAGTAGCGAGGGGTATCTTTGGGAGCACGCAACGTCATTGACCGTGCACAAATCGTCGGCGGGGCACAGAAGTGGAGTCCGGTTGGAGTGCGAAGTCAAATGATCAAGCGTGACTAAATTCGAAGCAGAACCCGAGGATGCTTTCATTCCCTACAATTGTCGGCATCCTTGCGCGGGATAAGAGTCCCCCGCCACCATATCCAGATCCGATGCAAGTTAGATAACAAAAACTAAAGGGAAAGAAAAGGTGGTGCGGCATCTTATCGCACGGGCTATTCCGCGGCGCGTGCTCACGTGGATGCCTGCGGCGTGCGGTGAACTGCCCTGGGCCGTCACAGGCATAGGCCTCCAAAAATTGGGACCCTATCTTTTGGCGGTAAAGGCCGGGTGCCTGCAAGGCTTAAAACAAGCCCGTTGCCGGTTCTACCCTCCTGTAGGCCGCCCTCGTCCGCGTTATACGTATTTTCCGGCTTAATGCCGGCCACCTCGGGTATCTACAAGCGCTGCCACCACTCCTTTATTGTTGCAATAGTAGCCCCTTTAACGCGTGCAGCTTCTATGCGTCGAGATCTCCCAGTTCGGATTTCCGGATATCGGCTTAAAAAAGCATGGTTCCAATGCTTCCCAAGCGGCTGGGAGGCCCCCCTTTGCCGGAGGATATCCTTTGCAAAAAACCGGATTTCCGCGTGCGTTGGTGGGAGCCCCAGAGAGTCCTGTAGTAAAATCCAGTTAGCTAGGCGCTTTTCCTGCTCAGGGGCTATCCGTTAATACTGCTTTTGCGACTGCCGGATAGGTAGGGCGCCTTTTAGGCGGTCTTTTAAAGTCGACCTGGGTATCCTATGGATCCGGGCAGCCCTCCGGATTCCGACCTTTCGGTGCACCGCAGCGACGGCTCGTTCGACGTCTTCTTCTGTATATCCTTTCTTTGGCATTTTGTTGTTAGATTGCAGAAAAAAGTAAGGAAACCGGATTAGAATTGATAGAAATAGGGAGGGTTGAAGTACTCGAGAAGATTCCATGCGTGGGCCTACAATGTGCGCGGACAGGGGGTGCACTGACTTAATAGCTAGGTCACACATGCTTTAAATCGTGTGGGGATGCTTGTTGTTGAGCACGTCACGCCTCAATTCCAGCACTTCCACCGATATCTTCTCTACTTCGTCGTACCTCCCTAACGCGTGGTATGTCGCCACGAGCTCCGCTATGCTCCCGATCGTGTGGGGATGCTTGTCGCCGAGCACGTCGCGCCTCAGTGCCAGCACCTCCACCTTCATTTTCTTTGCCTCGTCGTACCTCCCTTGATTGTGGTATGTCGCTGCGAGCTCCGCCATGCTCCAGATCGTATCGGGATGTTTGTCGCCGATGTCACGAGAACGGTCGGGCAAGGAGACTATGCTGCGGTAACCCTAGGTTGAATTGGCTATCTAAAGGTGACGGAAAACAACGACGACGGTGCGGTGCACCGACTGCCCGCAGGCAGGCTTTGTGGGCACCGGCAGGCGGTACGGCGGCAACGGCCAGCAGTATTCAGCGTGGTGGGGACCAATGGCCGTGCGGGCCCGGAGGGCCGCCACGCCATAACATTAGGCGCGTGTCGCGCCGGCGCGACCAGCGCCTTTTCCTTTCCCCCTTTTCGGTGTAGAATTTTCGTTTATAGCGCCAATGCAAGGCCAACGTGCCTCCATTAGTCTGGCCGCAACACCTACAGCGTAGGGAGCTCGGGCTACACTCGATAAATGGGTCCCTCTTAAACGGTGGATCCTTTCCACCTCCTCTTTTGCAACAGATCACCATCCACAGTACACCCGGATTTCCCCCTCAAAACCCCATCAAAGGCCCTATTGGATAGTCTCCATATCCGGTAACCATGCTTAGATCAACGTGTATGTAGTGTTCCTCTCAGCTAGCATACCGTAACTGAAATCACTACGCAGGACTCGAACCATGTCCGCAGTCCAGGGGCACAGGCCAATCCTTTTGAAGGTGTTTTCGGCGCCGCTGACAGGAACCACGCCAAGCCCAAAGCCCCCCATATGGAGCACTAGGCCTTTCCCTCTGGCATACTGCGGTGAATCCGGCCACCACGTCGACCCTCGCTCGAAATAAATAAGATGCATTTTGTCAGAAGGAATTCCCGGCTCGTATACCTGTGGATGCTGTCGAGTTGAGGACCGGACGAAGGATAGTGTGCTTCCCCGGAACTTTACCGGGATCAAGGGCCCTCGGGCAAAGGTTATCGACCCTTGAATTCCATTTGCAGAATCAAAGACTTGGACGTCCTCAGCGAGGTAGATCTCCAAGTCTTGACCGGTTAGATGCTTTATAGAGCCAGTCGCAGAGCCCCACGACCATGAAGGGGCGTCTAACTGCTGGTGCCGCATACTTGGCCCGTCTCTGTACCAGGCCAGATCCCTTACCACGTTGCGTTTCCAGACGCCGCCCAGGTTCTGGTCTTCGAGGCGTGCCGCGAAGAGGGACTCGACACCCTTCAGGGCGATGAACCGGTCAGACTCTCGAGTCAGATGGCGCCCGGTGTAGTCTCCCAGCACCGCATGCCAGAGCCTGTAGCCGAGTGCCTTGTCTTTCGCGTTCCTTGCCCATAATTGCACTCGCCGGTTCATATTGGGCTGGTCCTTTAATTGTGTCCAGGTCGTTTGCTCATCCTCAAGCTTGGGCGGCACCATCCCGTCAGGACAGTGGTCTGAGCAATCCCATCTAGCACACGACCAAAATGCGCCCGCCTTGGTGAAGCTGAGGATCCGGCGCGAGAGGATTTCCTCTTGAGTGACCCATCCCCGGGTATCCAGGTTTCCTCGGAGTCGAGGTCCCGGCGCGGACGCCGCTGGGTCGCTGGGAGTGAATAAATCGCCAGAATCAGGACCAATGTCTTCCGGGGGATCGACGGCGGCAATGGTTAGAGTCGAATTGAAATAGATGGATCCCATATTGGCAGCCTCGCATTTCCAGTCCTCCTCGCTGTTTTGTATGATGCAAAGCGCATCGACCCAGAGATACCTGAATCCAAGCTGCCGAGCAACCCGTATGGCGTGTTGGATCTGAACAGGCAAGGCCCCAACAGGCAGGGCAACCTTCAGGTCCTCAATGTTCTCCAGAAGCAGTCTAAGTGGATTGTCACTCCATCGATAGCTCAAGGCGCAGTATGCCGCTTTCTGGTCTTGGCTGGCTTCCAACAGGCGCGGCGGCTGTTCCGAACCAATTGTGCCGACGTCAATAACTCTCCTCGGAAGGGCTGAAAACTCTGAATCTTGTGCACACTCCTTGTGGCTTTTCAGGCATCGAACGAGCCAGTATGCTGGCAGAAGCAGATGATGGCGGGGATCGGCACTTTTATCTCCAGAAATGGAAGCGCGAAGCCGAAGGAGGGAGAGCAGGTCCTCTAAAGATAGTTAGTGCCCAAGAATCCTCGGTAAAATCTTACTTGATGCTGGTCGGTGTACTTGCCTTCTCTATTCCCTCTTCTAGCCAGCGAGTTTTCGTGTTCCGCACATATGATGCCTCTTTCGCTTGACCCGGGACGAAACTGCTCTGACAAGCAGCTGATGGATTGCCTGCAGATTCGGCAGCGCCTGATAAAGCCGTAGCTAAAAGGGTCTGCAGCCGCTGTCCAGTCCTGAATGTTGCGCTTCCGCACTTCGAATTTTGTCCTTGCGCTCTCTTCCGCGGACGTGAGGCCGGCGCTGCACTCCAAACATTCCGCAGGGTCCGAGGTCTGCGACATATTGCCTCCAAACTGGCTGAGTAGAAAGACCTCGAGAGAGTTGAGGAGCTCGGGCGGGGATCCGAAGCAGACGAGGCGATGGCTAACGGCCACTGGTGGCCCGCCAGGACTCCGATTGAGCGGCATGGGATGTTGGAGAGTTTTAGCTCCGAACTCAACAAGCATCCAGAAAATGTCTTCACAGCGCATCTTCACTGCTCGAGAGAGCGGCGATTCCTGCCTGAAAGAGAGCGCTTCTGAAGCCCCATGCTCCAGAAGCAATCGACAAATTTCGTAGTTTGTGTTTCTGATCCCATAGAAAAGAGCAGTCCACCCTGCAGTAATCCTGGAGAACCAACGCGTCATGTGGGGCCTCGGCCAGGCGCGCGCGTCGACAGGGACGCCCAGGGAGATGGCTAGCTTTGCCACAGGCAGATTGTTCATTCTGACTGCGGCATGAAGGAGGGTTTTGCCATGTCCGGAGACCGAGAGGGGGTTCAGCCCATGGTCGATGTGGTATCGGACTCTGGCCTCGGCTTCCAATGGGTCTCCATACAAGAGGGATTTCCAATCAAACTCTGGTATCTCCATGGCCAAATTATGTTATATTCAGGAAGCAGCTGAGAAAGAAAAGGCCAAATCTCAAGGCTGGAGGAGAAGCTTGTGCGTTGATTAAGGGCTTGGGCAGCTTGGTAGTTCTCGAATTGATCGAGGGAAGATGGGGGGACAAGCATCTCCTGAGAGTGCGACAGGAATATACACCGCCACTTCCGCGCTTTCACATGTGTCTAGAGTACCTAAGGCACCCACTAGTATACGTGCCCTACGGCCGTGCCTAGATTAGGCACCTCCCCATACGGTCACCTCGAGTGCAGATTTATTACTCCATCCCGTGCCGAGTGAGACGACGGGACGGGATCGGGACTCAGCCACACCACACCGCCTTGGGAGCCATTCCTGTTTTGTCAATTGCGGCGCGCTCGCAGTGCCGGATAAGTAAAGCGCTTTTAAAACGGTTATATAAAATTAACCTGGGGATGCCATGCATACAAACAGCTTTGCAAATTCCGACTTTCGCATGTACCGCAGCAACGGCCCTTTCGACGTTTTATTTTATATATGGTTTTTCCGGCATTTGGGCATTAAATTGCAAAAAAAAGTAAGGAAAACGGACCAGAATTGACAGAAATATGAGGGCGTGAGTACTTTAGAAGATTCCATGCTGTGGGGCTACAGAGTGTCCGAACAGGGGGGGTGGTCGAACAGGGGGTGCATTGACTTAGAGGCTTCGAGCTCCCAAGCCAATTCTGCGGCTTCATTGCCCAACGCCGATGTGGCAGTTTGAGGGGGTCTCTTCGCTGTTGCGTCTCCAGCGCCTCAGTCTACGGAAGCCGTGCTCCACGCGGCAGAAGCATCCGACGCGCTGGTTAAGTCTTTACCCGATGCGTCGTTTAGAGGTGCATCGTCACTGCTGCTGTATATGACTTCCTGTAGCCCCTCCCGGAACCAATTGTGTTTAAGCGCAGCAGAGGCGGAAGGCCTCAGGCCGGGGAGTGCGCTCATGGTCGCGGCGAGGAGCTCGGCTGCGCTCTCTGAGACGTAGAATCGCCGTAGAGGCTCGTAGGGAAAATCGCACCGCCCTTCTGCGTACGCGACCAGGGCGCTCAGCCGGAACGGGACCGTAGCCGTGAGGATGCGGTATGCGATGGCGCCGAACGACCAGATATCCATGGCGAACGGTGAGGTCCGCACCGTGCCGGTACCTAGGCCGAACTCAAGCTGCTCGGGGGCGGCGTAATTAAAAGTACACCACTTGGATGTGTATTGGAGCGTCACGTCGGGGAGTTGTCGCTTGCTAACGCCAAAGTCTGCGATTTTTACGAACCATTTTGGCTGTTTAGCGACAACCATGATGTTCTGTATGGATGTGATGCCAAATTTGTTAGTTTCGGAGGGCTCAGGCGGAGCGGAATCGATAGGCTCACCCCCGGCTTTAGGTCGCGATGCAGGAAATCGTTTTCGTGCATGTACGCGAGACCTTCGAGGACCTGGGAGGAAATCTGACGGGCCTCGGTCTCGGCGAGCGGCTGCGCGATATGTCTCTCGAGGTCGCCGAGCTCAAGGTACTCCATCGAGATAAAGATGGAGTCGCCGAGCTCGAACCAGCCGTCAGAATTAACGAAACAGTGGGCGTACTGGACAAGGACCGTTAGTTGTAGTAGGAGGAGGGGAGGTAGCAGGTAGGACGGGCGGGTAGTAGGGAGGAGGGCGGTTAACGGGAAGGGGACCAGGTAGCGGCGAGAAAGGCGGACAGCAGGCAGTAATGTAGATAGTAGCTAGGAGGGCAAATAGCAGGCAGCAAGGGCGGCAACCAACCCTGCGGTGCGAGAACTTGACAATTGCCTCGAGCTCCCTCGAATAGTCCAGCTCGGCGCCAATGCTTTTCTTGATCTCCTTGATCGCACGAATCCTGCCTACACCCTCGAGCCGCTCGCGGTACACTACGCCATGCGCGCCCCCGCCCAACATCGCCTCGCGCACCCACCGCTCCTCGACCCTCACGATTCGCTCTTCGGCCGCGCCACCGGGCCGGGTAAAGGTGTGACGGATGCAAGACTGCAGGTCCGTCGCCTCTAGCTTAGAGTCGAGGACCAGGTCCGAGAGCAGGCGGCTTAGCAGAGAAGGGCGGCTACGGCGCCGGGGCGGTTCGACTCGTTTTTCACTTGGACGGGGAGGGGGGGGAGGGGGAGGGGGGGGGGGAGGGGGGGGAGGTAATAGGTAATCGCTGGGCAGCTGACTGTCTGACATAATTGGCGTCGCCGTGGATATTGGAGTATTGCTAATTTCCTCTTCGATTCATCATCGATTGCTTCCCCTTCGACACAAGACGGCGGGGACAATGTTATGGAAATTGGCAGCGAGGCGAAAGTTCAATCCGGGAGCGGTCTTGGAAGTCGGAAGGAAGTCCTAGGGATGGGCCGGGCCGGTAAAGGGGTGGTCAGGCTAGCCTGAGCTTCATAGCATTCATGGGTGAATCCACGCCAGCGCAGAACGGGCCTAGCCGACGGTGCCCAAGTCCCCAAGCCAATCGCCAGAGAGTGATGTATTTCGAACCCGATTGTTTGTGTGCCTTCGCCTGGCTTGGGCAGAAATCAGCGACGCAAAGCAGCCACCCAGGCAACAGGCACATGCCATCATAAAATGGAACGACCACCGGAAATTTCCATGGATGGCGTCCACGGGCAACGACGGAACATCTCGTGCTAGGCGAACGACGGAACATCTCCCGCTAGGCGAAGGGAACGAGGACGGCACCAAGCCGAAATCCAATTGATCCATCGCCAACAACAAAAATGTCGGCAGAGCTCGTGCTGGCGGCCCTGGGCGGGGCAGACCTCTGTTTGAAGTGTGTCGCCCCTTCCACTGTGCTGTCCGGTTGCTCCTCCACTTGCCATTCGGACCAACACTTGGGAGCACAGGATAGCGGCTGACAAACAAAAAAAAACCATCCCCAGATACGGCGCCATCCTAGTCGAGGCCTACAGAGCCTTCAAGGGCGCGAGCGATACCATAAAAGAAAAGATCCTGACCTTCGAGGCCATGTGGAGCCGCACGAGGCTGCAAATAAAGTTCCTGGGCCGCGTCGCCGGCTCGCTCGGCGAGGAGCACTATCGCGTCCAACTCCAGGTCCTTGAAATGCTTAAAAGCAAGCTCCTGCTCGCCAGCAGCAAGCTCGAGTCGGTCAAGTCCAAAAACAAGTCGGAGGCGGGAAAAGGCGAGGGCGTTGGCATTAGCCGCTGGAAGTATATGATGGTGCGCAACTCGCTCGACGAAACAATTGAGAGCCTCGAGCGCTGGCAGCGCATTTTCGACCCGTCGTGGTTCCTGATGCTGCGCGTCGCCGACGGGGTTATCGACTCGGAGCTATCAAACTCCGCGCAGGCGCCAGTGTCGGAAGTCGCCAGGGGCGATGGCGGCGGCGGCTCGAAATTGGTGGCAGCTCAGAAGCTCCGCGTCTCCATCAGGGGCGACGCCAGCGATATCCACGTCAGCCTGCCTGTTGACGGCCTCGATTTGGCCACAGCCGCCAACATCGCGCATTCCGAAACAAAACTAATCCGACGCGCCGGCGGCTCGTCCAAACTGTTCGCCGTCGATGCCATCGCCTTTGCTCAAAACACCGACCCCGCCCGCGCCCGCTTCGACGCCGAAGCGCTCGCCAAAAAACTAAAACACGTCGAGTACGGCGGCGGCGTCCTCCCTTGCCACGGCCTCATCAAGCGCCGCGATGCCGCCACCAAACGACTGTCCTCAATCGACCTCGTGTTCGCCATCCCCCCGCAGCTCACCGAGCACCAGCCTCACCCACAAACCCTCCGCAGTGCCCTCCAGGCCGGCGCTATGCCCGCCCGCACCAGCCTCTCCGCCGTTCTGGGCGTCGCGCGCCAGCTCGCCGAGGCCGTCAGCTTCCTACACACGTGCGACTTTGTGCACAAAAACGTCCGGCCCGAAACGGTCCTTTTGTTCAACCAGGAACTGGACCCTGCGGGAAAATGGCGGGACAGCGAAATGGGGTCCGCGTACCTGGTTGGGTTCGATTCATTCAGGGGCGCGATGTCGCATACGGCCAGGAAAGGCGACAACGATTGGCGGCGCGACTTGTACCGGCACCCGTCGCGGCAGGGACTGCTGGCGCATGACAATTACATTATGCAGCACGATGTGTACAGTTTGGGCGTGTGTTTGCTCGAGTTGGGGGTTGGGCGGAGCTTTATCGAGTATTCGGAGGCTAAGGGGGAGCAGCAGCTTCGGGCGCGTCCGAGCGACGTGCTCTTGGACGTTACCGCCGTGGACAAAGAGGCCGACAAAGACGGGGCGGTCCCCGCCACCAATAAGGCGATGCTCCAACAACACCCGGGCTTGGGCTTAAGTGCATCTTCCGGCCTTTTCTCGGCGTCGGACGCCCAACGCGGCGGCGTCGGGCTTAAGGACCACCTGGTCCGGCTAGCGAAGGCGCGCCTGCCCGCGCGCATGGGAGACCTGTACACGGCCGTCGTAGTCACTTGCCTCACGTGCCTAGACCGCGACAATGGCGACTTTGGGGACGAAGAGGACATATGTGACGAGGATGGGATCCTGATTGGGGTGCGCTTTATCGAAAGGGTGTTGCTTCGGCTCAACAACATTTCGGTTTAACGTGGTTTTATTGGCCGGTTACACCAAAGATCGGGACCGGCGCTAGAATGCTCTCCGCGCCATTTCCACGCCATTTTCTCCGAACCCGGGATTTTCGGGTGGTCTTGTTGGTCGCAAGTGCCCCCTAGCTCATTGGTGTCGGTTCGTTGCTAGCCAACTCGCGTATTTGGGCACATAAAGAATATGGGAGGTCCCCTTTGCACTGCTACCGGCCGCGACTAGTGCTACCAAGCAAGGCAGGGTGCGGAGGCATGCGTTTAGATTAGAGACGTACATAGCGAGGGCTATTATATTGCGGCTATGGGTAGCGGCTGACGTAGTAGCAATGACGAGACGCAACAACACGACGCCATCATCCGATGCAGAAATCCGGCATTGCTTTAGCCTCAACAGCAGCCGGCTTAGCAAATAAGAGCCCTGACAGCCCGGATTGGCCGGACCTGCAGGCTCGAGCTTGGGCTCCGGTCCGAATTGGACAGCCTGAACAAGTGGCGGACAAATCGTGGACCCAGAGCGGCGTGATCGTTTCGCAAACCTCCACGCAACATCGGCCGAAATAAACCAGGCTCCTGGCTCGCCCCCGCTAGGAACCATGGATCAACACCCCTTCATTTTGTGCAACTTTGGTTGCTTGCCTCTCGCCAAGCACCCGGTCCGTGCTACCGGCGCACCGCCAGACGCTTGGTCACGGATCGTCGTGCAGCGTCGTCCGACCTTGTCGCGTGCTGCCACCTGGGTGCGTCGTCCTCTCTGAATCTCGTCCGTCTGCCAGTTGTTGCCTCAGCTTCTCTCTCCTCCTTGCAACAAAGCTTCTGCGTCGCCCCTAGCGCCAATTCTGGGAAGAACGATGCGTGGCTTACTGTGTCCCGCCCTCCTGGGGCTGCTTCTGGGAACGGGAGCCTCCAAGCTCGTCGTCCTTGAGCAGGTCCAGACGCTGCCGGAGCGCTGGGCCTTTTCCGGCGCGGCCAAAGACGACGACACCCTTGCGCTCAAGGTCGCGCTTACCCAGCCTCGCCTCGGGGATCTCAAAACTAGGCTCCTGGAGATTAGCACCCCCGGGCGCCCCGAATACGGCCACCACCTCAGCGGGCCCGAGTTGAGCGTGTATCAAGAGCACAGTCGCGCCTCCGAGGACAGCGTATCGAGATGGCTGGAGTCAAACGGCATCGTTGACATCCGGACCGAGGGCCATTGGGTCAGCTTCAACGCAACGGTACGCCAGACCAAAACGCTCTTGGACACCGACCTGGGCTACTATGCGTACAACGGCGGCGCGCCGGTGCTCCGGGCGCCCACGTACGCCGTTCCCGCAGAGCTCCAGGACCACATCAGCTTCGTGTTCCCCCTGTCAAACTTTATGGCACCTCCGGCGTCGAGGCTGCGGGAGGAGAGCATCGACAGGCAGTTCTCGGCCCTCTCCAGCACGGCCGCCGACGAGTACCTCCAGTGCAGCAGGGGCGTGCAGCCCGAGTGCCTCCGCAAGCTGTACGGAATCAACTACACGGCGCCCGACGCGGGGCCGTCGCCGTCGCGACTCGGCATCGCTGGGTTCCTGGAGGAGCACGTCAGCATGGGCGACCTCGCATCCTTCATGAAGTCGTACGCGTGGGACGTCCCGTCCGACTACAGCTTCGCCGTCGAGAGCGTCAGTAACGGCACCAACGACGAGGGGAACCCGGGCGTCGAGGCCATGCTGGACGTCGAGTACGGGGTGGCGCTGGGCTACCCGGCCCGGGTGACGTACTACATCACGAGCGGGCGCGCCGAGAAGATCGACCCGGACGGCAACAAGGTGGTGCCCGGCAGCGAGCTAGACGACAACGAGCCCTACCACGCGCTACTCGAGCACCTGCTCGCCAAGCCCGACGGCGAGATCCCGCACGTGCTGTCGGTCAGCTACGCCGACGATGAGCAGAGCGTGCCGCGCCCCTACGCCGAGCGCGTGTGCGGGCTCTTCGCGCTGCTCGCGGCCCGCGGCGTGTCGGTGCTGGCCGCCACGGGCGACGGCGGCTCGCGCGGCACGGGCCAGGTGCAGCGCGGCTGCTACACCAACGACGGCGCCGCCGCCCCCCGCCGCCGCGCCGCCCTGCCCACCTTCCCGGCCTCGTGCCCCTACGTCACGGCCGTGGGCGCCACCTCCAACGAGGGCCCGCCCGTCTCGGCCGCCCAGTACAGCGCCGGCGGCTTCAGTAGATACTTTGCCATGCCGGCCTGGCAGGCCGCCGCTGCGGGGCCCTACGCGCGCGCCGCCGCCGAGATGGGCGGGCCGACGCCCGACATGTTTGACGCCGGCGGGCGCGCGACGCCCGACATCAGCGCCGTGGGCTCGCAGTTTGTGATCCGCCGCGCCGGCGCCGACGTCGGCGTCCAGGGCACGAGCGCGAGCACCCCCGTGCTGGCGGCCATGGTGGCGCTCGTCAACGACGCCCGCCTCAGGGCCGGCAAGAACTCGACCGGCTGGCTGAACCCGGCGCTGTACTCGGACCGCATGCGCGACGCCATCGTCGACGTCACCGAGGGCCGCAGCAGGGGTTGCTGGTTCCCCGAGGGGAGCGTCGCCGGCTGGGCCGCCACGGCGGGCTGGGATGCCGCGACGGGGCTGGGCACCCCGAACACTTTTGAGAAGCTTCTTGCTATTCTGGGGTGACCCTGAGAGCACGAGAAAAGGGGGAGCGACGGAAGCCTGAGTTTGGCGCGTGTAGCCGTGTCTCGGGGGACCAACACCCCGCCAGCCCCAGTAAATGTGAGGGAGAGAGTGCAATCTACATCTTTGTACATGTGGCATAAAAGCCGCGGGGTGTGCCATGTCGATACATATCATATAGAAGCGAAAAGCGGAGGTGAAGTGCATATGCGACAAGGTTTTATTTTTCGCCCGCCTCATTCCTTTGCTTCCTACACCCTGACGAACTTGTACCGAATCTTCTACTTAGGCAAGACTACGCTTCTCCGCGCACCGCCTGCCGGCCACCTTGGCCTGGGGCGCCAGGCTGACGCAGCCGGTGGAGCTGTCCTCCATGAAGATTCCACCGTAGATGAGACCCTCATTGATGCCGGCCGGCTGGACACCGTTGCGGACGATGTCGGCGCCGCCACCGAGGCCCTTCTTCAGCATGCCAAAGTGGTACTGGCCGCCGCCGCTGAGGTCGTTGGCGATGGGCTGGGTCACCGCCTTGAGGGGCTGCGCGCCGGTGGAGAACAGGACTTGCACGGTACTATATTTGGATCACGGTTAGTTTCTTCGGTTATTGTGGTTAGCAAGAGTGATGAGAACATACTTCTTGTTAAAGTCCATGGTGATGCCAAAGTTATGGAAACCGTTGGCGGCAAAGGGGGTGCTGAAGAGCACCTTGGGCGGGCTCTCCTTGACGTTTCCAAACAGCTGCAGAGTGTCGGGGTTGCCGCCGTTCTGGCCGGCGACAGTGCCGGTCTTGAGGACGACCTGGTTGGTGCTGAAGCTGTTGTCCTCGAGGAAGACGAGCTGGTACTCGTGCGTCAGGTTCAGGGCCCTCTGGCCGTCCTTGGCGATGCTGAAGTGCAGCGTCTTGACGCCCTTGGTGGAGTCATCGGTGCCCGAGTTGCTCGCCGCCAGGAGCTCGACGCGGCGGAAGCCATTCTGCACCGTGTCGGCGTTGGGGACAAAGATGGACTTGTCGCTGTTGGAGAGTCAGCAGTGCTCACAAGACAAGGGCTGGTATGGCCGCTTAGGCGCGTGGCACTTACTCAATGGTAACCTCGAGAGGTTGCGTGCCGTTGTTGTCAAACTAGAAAGCAAGAAACAAAGTCGGTCAACATGTGAAGGGCGAGGCGCCGAAATTCCCTCCAGGCGGGGGGGGGGCCAAACCAACGTACCAGAGAGCCCGACGTCTTGGGAAGTTGTAGGATTTTGCTGAAGGCCAGATCTGTCACTTTGTTAGCTGCAAAGTCTTCCGCATCGGGTGCGAAAGGGAAACCCGACGCTTACCCTTTCCAAGAACGTTTTTGGGGTTGAAGATGTTGTTCGCGGCGTCGAACTGGGCGACCTGGAAGTTGTTAGGGATGCGGCCGTCAAACTGCAGCTTCCTGCACTGAGCCCAGACGCCCGAGATGGGCGACAGGCTCAGAGCGAGCGAAAGAGTCGAGGTGAAGGAGTAACGCATTTTCGGAGGCGAAAGCGGAAAGTGGTGAAACGAACGTGACTGTCAAAAGAGGGTCGGTCAAGGTGTTGGAAGACACTAAGACAAAAGGTCTGACTAGCAGGATTGAAGGGAAATTGATCAACGAAAGGAAGAGAAGCAAGGACTAAGACTAAGAGTTCGCGCACACAAGAAGAGGCTGTCGTCAGTGACGGTGCAGCCGCGCTCTGTTTTGTACTGTCGAGAGACCTGCCCCTCGGCCCGGCGTGCGGATACACTCCCAGCAGCCGGCACCCCGGGTTTCAGGGTCGCACAAGCCAGCAGACCGGGGTGGTCCGCTGGAGCGGTTTCATCGCCGGCGACACGGTCCAAGACGAGGATGGGCCCTAGACGAACGTTAAGCTCTCGTGACCTGACTCCCCCTTGACCCTCCCCCTTGAGGCTGGTGGAGCAAACTCTAATGTCGATGTACCTATTTTCCAGAGTCCACCTCGGGCCCCTATCCGGGATCATCGTCCGCGGACTCGGCCAGCGCGAGTGAGCACGAGCAGAACCAGAGCCCGCCTCGGTTCCAGCCGTGACAGGTACGAGGGGGCGTTGCGCTCCGCTCAATGTGGGGATGGGGGTATTCCAGACGAAAGCATCGTGCAAGCGACGAAGGCGTCTTGTCGGTCGTGTCAGGGGCTGGATGATGGATTTGGTGTTTGGACGTTTCTTCTTGACCGAAAATCTCTCCGGCAAGCCTCATACTATGACGTGATGGGCTTGTTGGAACAGCCAAGCAAACATTCTCGTCTTTGAACGGCGGCGCGTTTGTCGCTGTCCCTTGGCGGGAGTCTCACTCCCGTCGACGGGATGCAGCGCACCCATAGACAGCTCTTGGAGAAATACCATCCCAACGCTAGCACCCATGTGTCGCAGTGGCAAAGGGTTGGCTGCCTATTAATGAATTCAGGCCTGTCGATTCCTCCACCCCTTGACCTAGAAATGTGTTCATGTTGTGTCACTGCGCAAAGAGTCAGGCACCCAGGCTCCGGCTCGAGTACCCCGGCCTTTCAGACGAGTCGCCGAGTCATACGCGGGCGTGATGGGTTCAGGAGCTGTTGCTTCCTGTTCCTCTTCTGTGTTTGAGAGCTTAACTATCTTTGGTCGTTCCTGGTCCTGACATGTTTATGATATGTTTTGAATGTACCTAACCAACGACAACTACAGGACAATCTTGCGCTATGGAGGATTCCCCATGTCACGACTTTAGTCCCGGATTTGGTAGTCGACGGGTTGAGCAATGTCAAAATCTGATGATGGCTTCGATTTGCATGGTCGCCACTTCGGTTTGGGCAACGCCACAGCTCCAGCTGCTTCGCTTCGTCTGATCTCAGCCATCAGGCCATCGTCAATTGGAGAAGGCGCTCCTTGTTGGTGGTCAAGATGCTGGTTCGCGGCACGGGAACCAATTGAGCGAGCACGAAGAAGCGTCAGTGCTGCTGCCGCCCCACTTTGATCACATTGATCGGGCTCATTCTGAGCTCGATCTGGAGACACGCAGGAACGGGGTGTGGACGGGGCTCCAAGCACATGCGGCGGAGGCTTCAACCTCAAGACACCATGGCCGTCCGCGCTGCCACTTCGAACCGACGGTTCAGATCGAGCTCAGATTCGATCTGGAGCATCGGGCTATTAGCTCCCTACTGACGAAATTCTGCCTGATGTTTCCCCAACCCATTTCCCCACCACGCTCACCACTCTCTAGGGCCTGCATCTTCAACGCGAATAGAGACTGCCCTAGCAGACCATCAACGTGTTTTTGAGAGGTCCTGATTGCAGCCGTGCTCTGCCCATCTTTCTCGATTTGCCATTGATCCTACCTGGTCACGGTTTCTCCTTTCCACCCTCTGCACGGGATTGGAGTTGCCCAACCAGAATGCAGTAGCTCAATTACCAACTCCGCATCGATTCCGACTCCTCATGCTTTTTTGCTCACCTCACCCAACCCAACTCTTGACACGACGTCGGTTTCTTTGCTGCGAAGGCGATTTGCCCTCCTTATTCTGAGCGCTTGGCCTATTCCCGTTCCTCACCGGCCTTGCAAACTCACCATTGACTGTCTCTGACAACCGTGCCGAGAGAAAGCCAGTCAGCCCACCAAGAGGACATGTCCTAATCGGGCGCCGACCCGGTTTAGCTGCTCAGGCGGGCAAGACGGCGCCAGCAACGATCCCCGCGCGGGAACAAGCTCCAGTCAGAAGCCACCACGCCCCACACACTCGCTAAGTCGGCTGGAACCATAGCCCACATCCGCCCGCGCCTCACCGAGACGCGTTCGAAGCGGTAGCTCACTGCCGACAAGCTCAACCCGGACGCGTCCAACCGACATCCAACCTTCGAGACGATCACATATGCACTCTGCGCAGTGCGAGCGCGCCGGCGCAGCCAATTGATGCGCCTTCGCTCCTTTCTGGTACCTATGGCGCAATGCCCACCCTTCATGTAACGCCCGACGGGCACGACAGCCTGCAGGCGATCGCGGATGCCCTGTGCAAGGCCCGCAAGGTCGTGGTGATCACCGGCGCCGGAATCAGCACCAACTCGGGCATACCAGTGAGTCTCACTCCCCCCATACACTCTGGCGCTGCCGCACTGCTCTGCTAGACAAGGGAATCTGACTTGAAATACTTCGCCTAGGACTTCCGTTCCGAGAACGGGCTATACTCTCTTATCCAAGCGCAGTTCGACCATGCCTCGAGTGCTTCTGCCTCGCAGCCAACGACGGCTGCTGGATTTCTAGACGCCGCGCCGACCACCGCTCCCCCTCTATCGGCCGATGCCACACTTGGACGCGAGGACGACCTTGACCGAGACCGGGCTACGAAGAGGCGAAAACTTTCACCAGAACCGACAAACCCCCATGACGAGCCATCTACGGAGCTCCAGGAGGACACACAGCCTCGAGAGAGCCATGAAACTGTACTCTCAAATCCTACGTCACCCAAGCCTGTCCTGAAGGAACCGACAGAAGAGCTGCCGTCGCAGTCGGTCGAGGCGCCGCCGCCACAACAGCCCCCGATCTTTCCATCAATATACGACCTCCGGGCCCGGCAGGCGACATCGCCGCTGTCCTCCCCTCCCCCAGGCCTTTTCGATCCCCTTGGACGTCAGTCGATGAGCCCGACGGCTAGCACCCGAAGCTCGGAACCAACCGAAGGCGACGAGACGCCGCCATCATCGGCGCCCATGTCCCAGTCCGCGTCCTCGCACAACATGCAGAACCTGCCAAACATGAAGGGCAAGGATCTTTTTGATGTGTCGATATGGCGCGACCCCACGCGAACGTCGGTGTTCTACACCTTCACCACCTCGTTGAGGCGCAAGGTGAAGAGTGCCGAACCGACCAACACACACCATTTCCTTGGTCACCTCCGAGATAGGGGCAAGCTAGTCCGCTGCTACACCCAGAACATCGACGAGATCGAGGAGAAGGTCGGCCTCACGACTTGCCTGAAGCTTGGCCCGGGTCATCGAGGCAGGTTTTCCACTCGCGCTCATCGAGCCTCGGCCCCGGCTGCCCTGAACCGGGCCATGAGCGACCCTGGAGCTCTCGAGGCGCCGCGCGAGAAGCACTCAAGCGGGGTCGAGTGTGTCTATTTGCACGGTTCGCTTAGTTCGCTCCGTTGCTTTGCATGCGGTAGGATCAGCGACTGGGAGGACGAGCGCGAGAGCGAAACCATGTCTGGCAAGCAGCCTGCCTGTCCGCATTGTGTTGGTGCTACTGCCGCAAGAGAGGGCCGTGGGAAGCGCGCGCTGGGAGTCGGCAAACTACGGCCCAACATTGTGCTCTACGGCGAGGAGCACCCAAGTGCCCACTTGATTGCACCTGTCGTGCAGCACGACCTCTCGCTGAACCCCGACATGCTCCTTATCCTGGGAACCAGCCTGCGCGTCCACGGGCTCAAGGTTATGGTTCGGGAGTTCGCAAAGGCCATTCACAGCAGGAACGGCACGGTCGTGTTTGTAAACCTGACAAAGCCCGCCGAGAGCACGTGGGCTGATATTATCGACTATTGGGTGCAGTGGGACTGCGACGCTTGGGTCAATGACGTCAAGGCCAAAAAGCCGGTTATGTGGCTGCCGCCCGGCGCCGAGCTCCCAGAGCCAGAGAAGCAGCGGAAGGAGAGCAAGCCCAAGGCTACTAAGGCTACCACAGCCTCAAAGAACAAACAGCCCAAGACTTTGGGTTCCAGGAAGAGCAAGGGCTCGCTCTCTCCGCCGAGTGTGGAAGGCTCTGGGACTATCGCGGCTGAGCAGGACACTTCCCTCGAGGTTCGGGGCACAACCGATGCCGTTGATCTTCAGGAGGCCGTTAATCCGCAGGAGGCCGTTGATCCTCAGGAGGTCGTGTCAGGTAGCGGCCAGGAAGTGAAGATGCCTGGGCGCTCTGATCAGCCGAGGCAGCCCAAGGAGCCGAAACCACCGCCAGTTCGCTTTCCCCAGCTACCGGATGATAAAACCAACACAGCCGTCTTGGTGGCAACGCTCCAGGCTCATCTAGCCAAGATTGGTCGGCGTCGGAACGACTATCACGCGTCTATGCAACATCCCCTAAACCCCCGGGATATCCGAAGGTTGACATCCCGCAACAGCGCCCTTGCCGGCGACATGGCCGTGTCTGGAACCCCTGGCAGCGTCCCTGATGGCCACAGCTGGACCGCAACGCCGACACCCTCGCATAGAGTAAAGAAGCCCGCCACGAAGCGCAAATCACAGGTCAAGCTGGAGCTCCCATCGCCCCTCGCTACACTTCCGACACAAACGGAACACCCCGATAACTCATCGCTCATCTCCATCATCCCGAGTGTCAAGAGCGAGGACGCACAGCCCCCTGCAGTGTCGACTGCCATTCTGTCGGATGAGGCCGGCGATTCCAGGGATTCCATTGCGGCGGCGATAAAGTCGAACCCGCGAAAACGGAAGCCAAAGATGATTGATGGCTGCGAGATCATAGTTCCTGGCGCACGCAGGTCTATGGCTCCGGTGCAACCCCCTACTCCGTCGGCTGTGCAGCCGAGTCCTTCCAATAAGCCTGAAACCTGCGCTACAGAGCCCGTGATTTCCGGCATTCCAGAGACAAGGGGCTCTGGCGCTTCCACAATGCCCGACCTAAACCACGCCTCACCTGCAGCTGGCCCTGGACCCCACGACAAAACTCGGTGTGCATACCAGGTACCAGCCTTCATCGTGGCATCGGCTGGACAAGCAACAGCCTGGGGACCCAGTGTAATACCACCCGATGCCCATAGCGACCTGCCACCGCCCCCCAGGAACCCATTTTCTGCGAACCCAATCTCTGCATCGGACCAAGTACCGACTTTGAGGCCATCATCGGCCTTTTCTGCTGTGACCCCTACTCTTTATACACCGTCAAGACTCGTACCCCGCGTTGGCAGTCGGGAGGCTTGTCACGGCCGCGCACAGCCAAGACGGAAATCTCTAGCCGCACAATGTGGCTCTGCCCAGCCCCCACCCTGGTCCGAAGCGCATATGCCTAGATTCGTGGCCGACGACAGCCAGACGCCTCCCGGATGGCTAATAGGCCAGTACAGCCGTGACAAACAAAAGTGGAAGGCTCCAGTCATCTACACTCCCCTTTCGTTCCCACCTACCCCTATGTCGAGCCAGAGGAACCAGGCATTCCAACTGACGCAGCCCCTGCTGCATGTCTACGGATCAGAGCCCCGGTTCGCGCTTGTTTGCGAGCCGCCACCCAGCCCCTCCTTTGTCAGCGAGCAGGACCGCACAGCCGAGGCAGCGCTCGCTCTCACGTCTATGAAAGCCGTCCGGCCATGATCTCGGTGGCTTTCGGTTAATTCTCTTGCTCACGCCATGCCATGATGATTTGGGGTTCGGTTAATTCTCTTATTTACGCCACGTCATGATGATCACCGGCGAGTGATTCGGCTTGTTTGATTTCCCTGAGCGTGCTTTTACATCTGGTATATATAGATTTATCGCATATGCTTGGGCTTGGAATGGTTTGCCCTCGGCCGGGGCAAGGAATCACGAATTGCTTTTATGAACCTCCACCTTAGAATACCCTTTTTCTTCGTACATGACCATTCATTTCTTTGTTGTTGGTTGTTGTGGGGGGAATTTTCGTTTCTTTTTAGGGGGAGGGTTTCTGGTATCGGTGGCAAGTCTCTCGACACGGCCAAATCATGTCGCTACACAATTTGAGGTCCCCGCTAGTCACCTCGAGCTGCGTCTCGAGAGACGGCACAAACCGGGGACATTTAGTTGTAGGATGGTTTGGTGAAGGTCGAGGAACTTTAGGTGGAGAGGTGAGAAGCAACAAGATCTACATTCAGTTAGCTAGTACAGTGGTGCCATTTGGATGTGAATAGGTGGTCGATGAAGGCGCCATGGTGATTTCGCCAAGTTGAAGTGCTCGCCAAAACACACCTTCCGCAGAGGCACTGTGTTTTCAGCCTGGGATCCCGATACTGGTCGCTCTGTTTTCGGCGGACGTCAAAACGGAGAGAAAAAAAACATCGCTCCCTCTCTATCATGCAAAGCTAAGTCGCTGAACCTTGAACGCTAATCACAGAGAACTATAACGACGCATCTCCCTCTTCTTCCTCGCCCCCCGTCTTCCCATCCCGAATTACCCCAGAGAGCAGCCTTCTGCTCCTCCCATCAGAGGCGGCTTGGGTGCTCATCATGGCGTCTAGCGGCGGCGGCTCCTGCGGGGCAGACAAGGACGACGGGGCGGAGCGCTCGAGCGATGTCTCGACCGTTTTGGTGATGCCGCCGAGCTCGCAGGCCGCGCCGCCCGACGACGACGTCGTGGCCTCGGGCTGCTGCTGCTGCTGCTGCTGGCGCCGGCTCGCCGCCGGCTCCGTGCACGACGACGAGAAGGCGTGATTCCCCGTCCCCGCGTCCGTCGAGCGCTCCGCCGCCGTC